AGACACACGCGCACACACACACAGGCAGAGAGAAGCACACACAAACACAGCATCCAGGCAAAGAGAGAGAGACAACACACACTCACACCACACACACACACGTATACACACCACACACACCCACACCACACAGGCAGAGAGGGACAGACACACACAGGCAAAGAGAAACGTGCACGCAAACACACACTCACACATATACACATATAGGTGTTGGGGTGAGGTAAGGGGAGATGTGGGAGTAGAGAAAGGCATTGCTAGTCATGGTGGTGGGGTTGTGGTGGGGGGTGGGGGTGCTGTCACCTAATGTAAGAGTATGCTTTTAGCTGCTGCTCTGGGCTGAAGGAGTGTACTGTTCCCAGAGCCGCCCACCCGCCCAGCCTGCCCACCTGTATGGCCTGGCTTCCAGGAGAACCTGTCGCGTTACATTTGTCAGTGAGCTCCCGGATCAGTCCTGCCTCGCCCTGGGGCCTCCAGCACTGGATCATCACATCGCATTATACACTGTCAGCCTCACTGCCCCTGACGTGAGCCAGAGCTAAAGGCAGATGCCTCCCCCCCACCCATCCCCACCCTCCCGGGTGGCAGGTTGGAGCTGCTGTCCCTCGGGCTGAGGAACCGGTTTGACCCACTGAACGGGGTGGGCACTGGGATGGGAATGTCTAGCGGCTGTATTTCACCAGACACTGACTCAGCCCAGTATCCTCTTTGGTAATGAATCACGGACTGGTTTGTAAACTACACAAATTAATTGTTGTATCCTTCGCTCGGTGCGCTCCCTCCTTCCCAGCGAACCTTGTACAGCTGGGGGCAGCCCTTGGGGTGGCACTCTCACCTACAGGTGGGCATGCTTCATGTGCTAGTCTGGCCAGGCTCATGAAGCCCAGTCATGCGTTAACATTAGATAGTCTGCCTGGATCTCTTTGGCCCATTGTGATCTGATCCAAAGCAGTGGGATTTCAGTGGGCATTGACTTGACTAAGCGTGTGCTCAGTCGGTAGCACAACATGGCTGTTTGTAGCTGTCGCATTCACCTATAAAATGCCGTCACTCCACTTTACAGTATATCCTGCAAAGTTTTGGATGCATATCAAATCCAAAGATGTTTATTATGGTTCTTCTTAGAGCAGAGAAGGTTGCGTGGAGATTTAATAGAGGTGTTTAAAATTATGAGGGGTTTTGATAGAGTAGATACAGAGAAACTGTTTCCTCTGGCGGGTGTGTCGGTAAACAGAGGACACAGATTTAAGAGAATTAGCAAAAGAACCAGAGAGGAGACGGGGAGAAAGTTTATTACCCACAGAATTGTTACGGTCTGGAATGCACTGCCTGAAAAGGTAGTGGGAGCAGATTTGATAATAGATTTCCAAAGGGAATTGGATAGGTACTTAAAAAGGAAGAATTTGCAGGGTTATGGGGTAAGAGCAAGGGAGTGGGACTAGTTGGTAGCTCTTTCAGAGAGTCGGCACAAGCTTAATGGGCTGGATGGCCTCCTTCTGTGCTGTAAGGTTCTATGATTATGAGAAATGGTTACTCTGATTTTACTCTATTTTACCCCAAAAAATGCCTTCTCTTGGGGCGCAGAGATGATGTGAATGGACAGTGCCCCAGACACTCGCTACTACCTGGCCTCCCCCCAGAAGAGAAAGAGCTGGCTGTGGGCAGTCAGAGCCACAGCCACTTCCTTTCCTTTGGCTGAAATCTTCCTCTTCATCTTCTATAGAGATGCTACCATTTCAACATCAGGTTACAGTGGTACCATCACCCCCCAACCCCCCTCCCCCATTGGCCTCCTCCACACACCGTTCACACTGACGTGGTCAGGCTGCTCTGTGACGCAGTTGGAAGATACAAGTCTGATAAAATCAAAGCTAACTTTATCCTATAATTGTCACATTAGGATACACTGCTCTCAGGCCTAATGGATACAAACTGGTTGGGAATGCAGATCCTCGGGAACAGGCCATGTCTCCCCCCACTCTTACGAAGGGGCTTCATGTCTTTTTTAACCACATCTGCTGGAGTTTGCTGGGTTGATCGCAAATGTCACCAATACAGAAACACCTGTACTATGTTTACAAATCAAGCTGGTGATGAGTGTGAGATAGGGAGGCTGAGAGCAGGAAACTCTGCCACACGGACAGAAACTCCTGCTTGTTTCCAATCCTGTCACGCCATCTTTAAAGTCCTCCTGGACAGCTCCTCAATATAAGGTCTCATCAAAGGACAGTATCGCCCCCAGCACAGCCTGGACTGTGAGCTCCAAGTCTCAATGTGGGGCTCAACCCCACAACCTGCTGACTGCGACGTGTAGAGAATGAGCCAGGCTGACCCTCACTACCGCCTCCTCCCTCCCTTCCCTCTCCCACTACAATTCTGTAGCCACACCTTTTATAACTCGCACCTTCCCCAATTCCCCTCGTTTCCCTGAGTTGGAGACTGCGGTGCTGTATCTCCAGTGGAGCTGAATGGTTTCTCAGTGTGGGCGAGCTGCCATCAGCTGAGGTCATCTCCTTGGCGTGTATTTCTCCGAACCAGCATTGCCAGCTGTCAGTGCCATTTTGTGATGTTTACTTTGAACAGCAATCTTTAAACTGTGGTTTTGTTACAACAAAACAACAAACAACTAAATTATATTTGTATGGCTCCTTTCACGTTGGGAGGACGTCCCAAGGCGCTGGACTATCAGTGTTTCAGATCCGAGCTGTGGGTTGGGACAAGGGAGGGTGGAGGGCAGCGGGGGAAAGGAGGGTGATCGAAGGCACGGTTGAAGAGGATGGTCTTGAGGCGGGTGTTGATGGAGGAAAGGGAGGGGGTGAGGTGGAGGGACTGCAGGATGGAATTCCAGAGGGTGGGGGCAGAGTGACTGAAGGCCCGCTCGCCAATGGTGGGGTGGGTGAGGCGGGGGATGTGAAGCAGGCCGTATGCTGCTGAGCGCAGGGAGCAGGCAGGTTGGTAGGGGGTTAGGAGGTCGCAGAGGTAGGGGGGAGAAACAACAACAAAATTACATTTATAGAGCGTCGGGAGGACGTCCCAAAGCGCTGAACAGTCAGGTGTCGGGGCCCGAGCATGAGGGCGGGGTGAGGGAAGGCAGAGAGGTGGGAGGCGACCGAAGGCACGATCAAAGAGAAGGGTCTTGAGACCGGCCTTGAAGGAGGCAAGGGAGGAAGCGAGGCGAAGGGACCGTGGGATGGAGTTCCAGAGTGTGGGGGCAGAGGGGCTGAACGCCCGGCCACCGATGGTAGGTCGGGTGGGAGACAAGGAGCAGACCGGAGCCCGCTGAACGGAGGGAGCGGGAAGGTTGGTAGGGAGTCAGCAGGTCGATGGAGAGCTTTGAAGGTTAGGACCAGGATCTTGAACTGCATCCTCTGTGTGATGGGAAGCCTGTGAAGTCGGGCAAGGCTAGGGGTGATGGGGTTACAGAGCCTGGTGCGGGATAGGACATGGGCTTCAGAGTTCTGGAGGGAGGAGTTGGGGAGGCTGACAAGCAGGGAGTTTGCATAGTTAAGCCTGGATGTTATGAATGTGTATATGAGGGTCTCGGCAGCCTGTGGTGTGAGACAGTGGTAGAGGCAGGCGATGTTGCAGAGGTGTGGGAAGACAGAGCCCCATGGATGGCATGGATGTGGGATAGAAAGGATAGTTGAGGGTCATCCTTGGATGGTGATGTTGTCAGTACCTGAGGTGTAGATGCACTGACGGGAGCCAATCAGGAGAGCCTCAGTCTTGTTGATGTTCAAATGTAGTCAATTAGCTCTCATCCAGGACTTGACATCTGACAGCAGTGATCCTGGAGTCGAGGGTGCAGGCCGAGAGATAGAGTTGGGTGTCATCTGCTTACATGTGGAAGTTGACCCCGTGTCTGTGGATGATGTCACCATGAAGGTTGAGGTGAGAGGAGAGGCAGTGGAGACAGATGGAGTGGTCAATGGTATCAAAGGCAGCAGAGAGGTCAAGGAGGACGAGGGGTCAGAGGAAGCCCTGGTCGCAGATGGACAAACTGTCGTTTGTCACTTTGACCAAAGCTGTTTCTGTCCTGTGGACGACATGGAAACCTAATTGAATGGGTTCGTGAAGGGAGTGGCGGGAGAGGAAGTAGTGAAGCTGGGAAGCAACGACTCGTTCCAGGACCTTTGAAAGGAAAGGGAGGTTGGAGGTTACAACCTAGTTCCTTGGCACTGGTCACACTCAGCCTCCTCTGCTGATGGACTCGCACGTTGACCAAAGTATCCAGCCAGTGTCTTGCTCTATGTGTGCTCACTGCCCACTGATACACAGATGCTTGGCATCCAGTAACACAACAGCTTCAAACTGCCGGCAGCTGTGGACACAGTGTGACACAGAGAGCCAGCGGCTTCTGGCTGGGAAACCAAAGCTGGTGACGGGACAACACTCACTCACAGAGATTACTGGTTACTAGCCTTCCTGTTACTAGTGTACAGGTTTAGCTCGCCTGCAGTTTTATCTAGTTGTACAGGTTAACTTGCTTTATATGGTAACTAGTCTGCCTGTTAGCTAGTTTGCAGGTTAACTAGTTTTTGCATTATCAACTAGTTAGTTTATAGGTTAGACCATCTACAGGTTAGCTAGTTAACAGGTAAGTAATAATTTGTGCACCTTTCATGTCTGGTCGGTGTGGATTAACTATTTTGTGAGTGAAACACAGGAGCTAGTTGTGCACAGTAGTGTCCCACAAACAGTTGTGGAATGAGAGATCTTTTTTTAATTTGGGGGGATTGTTGGCCAGGACACCGGGAGAAACTCCCATTTGAGGAGGTTAGGAGAAATGTTTTCACATACAGAGTGGTTAGGATATGGAATGTCCTCCTGGGAGTGGTGGTTGAGGCAGAATCCATATTGGTCTTCCAAGGGGAAAGTAGATAAATACCTAAAGCAGTAAACTATCGGGTGTGTGGGGGAAAAGGCAGGTAAATGGGACTGAAAGGTTGGCTCTTTAAAAGAGCAGCACAGACGTGATGGCCTTCTGTGCTGTAAGTGTCTAAGGTTCTGTGAAAAAGAGAGAAATCAGTTTAGTCTCTGAGCAAGTCCAGGTTTGGTGTCCTGTGAGGAAAGACATCCTGTCATCAACAGCAAATTGGAGTGGAAGAGAATGCACAGAACTTTGTGGGAGTGAAAGGAACACTGGATGTTGCAATAATTTACAAAGAGCCCATTGTTACTCAAATCTTTTTATGGATCTTCTTTCAGTAAACAGGAGGCCACCGCTCACAGCAGAAGCAATGTATTAGTGTTCACTTTAACATCGCTGCAGTTCAGATATTGTGCCTGTTTCTCCATGTGATCCACTGGGGACATAATCCACTGACCACTCCACATCTGTGACATGTGGTACCATGGATTGGGCTCAACATTTCAGTATTTCTGTTCACTTTCTCTCAGTCAAACTATGAAACCTCAGCCAAGCCAGAAAACAACCTAATGAATCGAGCAACAACACAAACCGGGCAATCACAGAGTGAGTACCCGTGAGCGAGTACCAGCACAGGCACGATGGGGAGAGAGCAGGGAATGAGATGAGAGTAGAATGCTTAAATGGGGAGTGAGCACCAGCCTTGTTCTGTGGTGCATACTTTCTATTATTCTAGCTTTGATTTGTCGTTCACCTTTTTTTCCTCTTGTTTTGTAGATCAAGCCTTTGTTACTCTCGCCACTAATGACCTGTATGGCAAAGGTGCCCTGGTGCTGGGCTGCTCCCTACGGAATCACAAGACCTCACGCCAACTGGTTATTCTCATCACCCCTCACGTCTCCAACAATATGAGGTAATGGAAAAGATACTGTACGGATTATACTTGGCTATTGGTGTGTTTGATATTTCTCCAGGATGGTTAACTTACTGAAGGGATTCCTAATGCCATGTATGCTCTGGGAAAGCTCACATGATTCATGGACACACACATACATGTTGCATGTCTGAACGTCATGGTACATGTGGTGTTCATGTATACGGTTATCCCAGATAATCACTTTACAGTGGATTTTTAATCTGATAATTCAGCATTGGTTCCGTAATGGGAAGAGAGGTTTGATTTGACTGTTCAGAGAATAGAAAGACTGGATCTCCATAAATTATATAATCAGCAACAACAACTTGCATTTATATAATGCCCTTCACACACTTTACTGAAGATTTACTGTACTAACATCAAACACTTGACTGGTTAACTTTGAGAAGTTAAAACCTAACCCCTTTTGGTGAATGTTAGTATTTATAGCGGTGCTTTATTTTTTGAAAACTTCACTTGAGGTTAGTATTTACTCTGCGTGAGACAGAACATTGGACAGTGTAAATAGGAGCATACAACCTGTGTCATGGTGACCCCAGCACTTATCACGCCCTCTGCTCTGGAGAACTCTCTGATCATTTGGAGCCTCTTCTCCATCTCTTTGAGAAGAAAATCTAGAAGCTGGCTTCCACACGTTGTCTCACAGTCAGGCCTCCAAGGTTACAGTAAATAGCTATTTTATCGTCCAATCCCTTCACATGGTTGGCTTCAAATTGAGGTTAAATTCCAGCAATTTATCACCACATTCTTCAGTTAGGCTCCAAGTGTGGAATGAGGAGTCCTTGCAGTCACAAGGTGAAGGTAATAAAGCCAGTGAATCTGTTTGGGGAAAGAGAGGCATTCTTGATGGACTGAGTGATACAGTAAGGGACTTGTGTTTTCTCAGCAATGATTATACGATCCCCAAAAATTAGATTGTGAAAGGTTTTGGGCTCACAGCCTGTGATGTTACTCTTTGCTGATGGGCTTGTGAGGAGAGCCCAAATCACAGGCAGAGCAAGAGGCCTGATACTGGGGAAAACTACAGGCCCAGTGTGACAAGACTAAGTTAGTGCCCTATCCAGTTGGTGTTTGGCATGATGTCAAATTATCTGTACTGTTTGCTTATCTGGAATGGGCAAATAATCATTTGCTTACTGTAAAAGAGGGGCTAGAACTTCTCTTCCTTATGAAGAAATGAATTGAAATAGGCTGTGGTCTTGCTCTGTTCGAGAGAATTGGCAGTCTCTTTGACCATGTACCGCAGGTGTGATTGGTATCTGAGTGTCTCTCTAGGGCTATATGATTGATGTTTGTGTCTCATTAGGGCGGCGCTGGGGCGAATCTTTGATGAGGTGCTGATAGTGAATGTGATGGACAGCCAGGATTCCGCTCACTTAAACCTGATCAAAAGACCTGAACTGGGCATCACATTTACAAAGCTGCACTGCTGGGCTCTCACTCGCTATTCCAGATGTGTGTTTATGGATGCAGACACAATGGTAAGTCCTGTTTATTTCTAATATTTGTATTTGTCTGATATTTGGAGTTTTTATTGTGCAGAGACACAGGCAACGTCAGTCAGCTCAGTGAGATGTTGAGTGCACCAGCTTCTCTTACACACAGTCGCAATCTCCGGGTGCTGTGCGGTCCAGGTGTTTTGATATTAGCTGTGGCAAATTGAAAGCAGGAAAGCTGTGGAGAGGCAGTTTAGTGCAGATGTGAGATCAGAAGAGCAGCCTAGCGTCAACTTAAATTGCTATACAGTTGGTTCAGGTTGACTGATGGCCAGTTGTGGAATGCCCAGGGTCTTAAACCCCTGATTCAAAACATCAAATTGGACAGAAGTAATACTAAGTCTTCAAAACATCTCTAAGCTTCCCAGCTATTCTGTAAGTGCAGTGACTATGTATTTGAGGTTGAACTCGGCAATCAATTTGCACAACGATGTTCCACAAACAGCCATGGAGTGGGTGACCAATCCTTTTCTGGGGGATTATTGGCCAGGACACCAGGAGAGAGAATCTCCCTTCTCTCTTTAAATAGCACCACGCAGTCTTCAATGTTCACCTGAACAGGCAAATGGGACCTTGGTTTAACGTCTCATCCAAAGGACAATGCTGTGCTCCCTCAGCAGTGCACTGGAATGTCATCTTAGACAATGAGCTCAAAGCCCAATGGATGAAGGGGAGGAGTGTTTCTCTCTGGGGTATAGCTGGTTGCCTCATTAGGCAGGAGTAACCTCATCTGGTTCTGTGCCTCTCCAATATCTACGGGTTGTTATGTCCCAAGCGAGAATTGGTGTGGTCAGTGGGGCACTGGCCAGGGACACACTGTGCAGCCAGCCCATAACTATTGCCTTGGGAGCAAGTGTTTGTTCCACAGTCGATACGATCTATAATAACATGAATATCTTAGCTTGGGTTCCTCTTGGGGACTGTGCGGTTGGGAGCATTAGCTCAGTAATCAGTCACAAGTTGGATGGCTCTCCATGGTGTACAGTTACACTTAGGGATGCTACAGATGGTACTTGTCTCTCTGCCAACTGAGTCCATTCAGTTGCTCCAGGTTACAAGCAGGAGCTTTTGCTAAGCTTAATATAAAAAGCACTTTGCTTTAGCTGTTAGCCATGTTCTTTTATGAATTGAAACAGTTCCAATCAATGTCTGGAGCACTCTTCCCTCGGTGCTCCTGCGCCATGTTGTGTGCTGGCTGCTCAGTGTGTCCTGGCCAGGACAGTTGGCTGCTCCCACCAAAGTTGATGATGATTGGTATAAATTGTGTCAAAAAACACAAAAGAGCTCATTGTTGAGTGCGATCCTCAAGGTATTTGAATTCTGTACTGAGGATCCCAGGAATGGTCATGTTTCCCCCCACAAAACACTACAGTCACTACACTTTACAGGATATCCTGAGAAGCGCTTCGAGACGTCTCAACGAGGTGATAAGGTGAAATAATAAATGCAACGATTATTATTATTCTTTATTATTATTATAAATGGGTTAAAAAAGATTGGCTGAATTCTTCGAAGGTTGTAATGATAATCTTTACATTTGATCGAGCTCTTTATCACTTCATTGAAACATCTCAAGGTGGTTTCAAGGTTTACTATAAGTCTAGTGACTGTGTCATTGTAGGTGAACATAGCAAGTTTGTGGGTTGTGAGTGCAAGCCCCAAGTCAGGGCTGAGCTCATAGAAACTGACAGTTAGAGGTAGTGTCCTCTGGGCAAAACATTAACTCGAAGCCTCACTTGTGTCTGTTCAAGTGGAAATTAAAGATCCCGCGACGCTCTTGGAAAAGAGAAGGGAGTTGCTGTCTCTCCCAGTGTCCTAGCCAACATTCCCTCAGATACAATTAGTCACACACTTCATGGCTGTTTGTGAGACATTACTGTGTCAATGTTGACAGTCACTATACTTAACAAGAACAATTTACATTTAAACAGCATCTTTAGCAATAGGCGGACAACAATATATAGCGTCTTTCATGTCAGGGGGATGTCCCAATGGACAGTCGAGAGTATAAACTCGAACTGGGGGTTGGATTAGAGAAGGGTGGGGGTTAGGATGATGACTGAAGGTATGGTCAAAGAGGAAGGTTTTGAGATGGACGTTGAAGGAAGCAAGGGAAGCAGCTAGGCAGCGGAGCAAGTTTGGAGGGTGGAGGCAGAAAATATGGATGAGGGTCTTGGCAGCCTGATGGGAGAGGCAGTGGCGAGGGCGGGCAATGTTGCGGACGTGGGGTCTTGGCTTGTGCAGTGGGTTTGGTGGGCCATGCTGTAACCACGGATTGCTGTGTCCCTGATAGGTCCTCGCCAACATTGATGAACTTTTTGAGCGGGAGGAGTTGTCAGCAGCGCCAGATCCTGGTTGGCCAGATTGTTTCAATACAGGAGTGTTCGTGTACCGTCCATCCATTGAGACCTACAACGCACTTTTACAGTGTGCAATGGAGAAGGGCAGCTTTGACGGTACGTGTAAAGACAGCGTAAATACCAGGACAAGCAGGAGACGGATATCTCAGTTGGGTTACTGCATGATGTCGGCAAACCTATTCTTTTCCCCATTGTGTCTGTGCTTGCTCCTCATTGGAGCTCTCTACTCTATTCCCATTCCCTCTTCTCTCCCCATCGTATTTGTGCTGGTGTTTGCCCCCACATGTCCCACCGTTGCGCTCTACTCTAATAACACTCCTTGCTCTCTTTCCCCATTGCGTCTGTGTTGGTGCTCACTCTCCGCCGAAGCAAGGGAGATTCTGGTGGAGAAGGCCTTTCAGCCCATCTGATCTCATCCCTGCAGAAGACCAGCCCTCCACTCCCCCACTTACAGTATTGATCTTCTTTTTGAATGATTCCCAGTGTCCTAGCCTCAACCATCCTTCCTGGTAACCTGAAACAAAAACAGAAGTCGCTGGGAACACTCAGCAGGTCAGGCAGCATCTATGGAGAAAGGAAAGTGAGGCAACGTTTCGGGTCCACAACCCTTCGTCAGAACAGTGTTACAGTTCTGATGAAGGGTCATGGACCCAAAACGTTGACTCACTTTCCTCTCTCCATAGATGCTGCCTGACCTGCTGTGTTCCCAGCGATGTCTGTTTTTGTTTCAGATTTCCAGCATCTGGTAACCTGTTCGTCGTTAGTTACCCCCTATGTAAAGAAAGCCTTCCCAGTGTCAGTCCTGAAACTGCCCTGTTGCATATTGAGTCCTGAGTGATCCTGTGCTGCTGTCCTGCTGGTGTATGTGAAAACATGTCTGGAATTACCTTCTCAATCCCATTAACAATTTATATAAGCCACCAATCTCGTGCCAAGTGTTTCCCTAGTTCGGGACGAGGACACACAGGTCAAAGGTTAGACAATGGCCCAATATCCCAGCCACAACAGAGAGGCTCAGCCGTCCTGTCAGGTCAGACAGGGAGCACCGTGGAGCTCGCTTCACATTCACGCTTCAATTTCACTCAACAAACGCCGCCTTTAAACTTGGAGCTGCTTCATTACGTCAACCAGAGACGAGCTCAATGAGCCAACTAGCCCTTGCCTCTCAGCCGCGCACTTCTCTGCCCCGTGTTTGCGTAAAGCTCCATTAATTGGGATTAAAAATAGAAAAGCTTTGTGGTCAACCTTGGAGAGATGCCACCAACCTGAGTGCACATCCGCTCCTCACATCAAAGCATTCTCTGCTCTCTGCAGTAATTGCTCAGTACAAAACGAATGATTGAGAACTCTCGGGACGACTTTGCTCGGAAGATAATGTTTCCATTATAAATTTCCCTGCTTAAAAAGTACCAACTATTAAATAAAGCGGAACAAAACACAAAATACTGCAGATGCTGGAATCTGAAACAAAAACAGAGAGAGCTGGGAAAACTCAACAGGTCAGGTAGCATCTATGGAGAAAGGAAAGTGAGTCAATGTTTCAGGTTCATGACCCTTCGTCAGACCCGAAACGTTTCCTTTCTCCATAGATGCTGCCTGACCCGCTGAGTTTTCTCAGCTCTCTCTGTTTTGTTATTCAATAAAGCGAGCCTGTGTGTGCCACATGCAAGCAACTCTGTGTGCGTGTGTGCGTGTGGAATTGTATGTGTTAAAGTTGGTGATGAGGTTAAAGTTTACTGGATGGAGTGTTTGTGTCTGGGGGTTGAGCCCTGCCCGGGTCACTTACCGTGTGCCAAACTGTAAAGTGTAGTGACTTTGGTTCACAGGAGAACGTAAGGAAGGAGGGACGTTTTGAAAGAGGGCAGAGAGTTGACCTGTTAGAGGCTGAACTTTAAAGAGGAGGGGATTGTTATTGGTGAAGGGGAGGGTGATGTTCTGTGGCTGACAGGGAGCGGAATGGCCTCGCTGCAGGAGGCAGAATGATGGGAGGAGGCCATGGATTACCAGGTGGGAGATATTTGACGAGAAGAGGATTTGATGGGGAATAAGCTGTGGAAAGGGTAGGCCTGGGAACTGGGGAGTGAGCACTGGGCCTGCCCCAGGCTTCTGAGTGAGGCTGTCAGTGAGGTGGGGTCTAGCAGTTGCTGGAGGTGGCTCTCTTTCACGTTAAATAGGAACAAACCTGTGTTGGCAGCCAGGAGACTGTCAACTCAGTTACATCCAGGGCCCCATAAAGCTTGATGGGGGCCCAGGGCTATTATAGATTGCGGGCTCCTCTTTCCATGTTCAATTTCTTTTAATGTTTTACCACTACCCACGCCCGTAGCAATGTTGATTTACCTTGACAGAGACATGCACACACAGATGCACAGAGAGAGCGAGACATAGACACATACACAGAAAGTACTCACAGACGGAGAGACACATACACAAATAGAACCAGACACACGTGGGGGGGATGTCTGTGGGGCCTAATGCCCTGCATTACTGCCGCCCTGCTCACACTGCAGGGACAACAGCTGGTATGTTTGTGAAATTACAGGGGGCCATCCCACTCAGCTCCAAAGCTCTAACAGATAGGGTGGTCCTAGCTGGACAAGCAGCGGGAAAGCTTGCTCGACAACTATACCAAAGTGAAGCTATGGTGTTTTAGCTGGTTAGACTCCAGTAGTTATCCTACCACACACTCTGGGGTCCCTGAGCCTCTCTTCTGTCTGGGAGCTGTGCTGAGAGCATGAACCTCTGCGCTCATTCCCCTGGTTTCAGAATTGCCCTGGGTTTTGATTCCAGCTCCTTCCCCAATTCAGTGGGAACAGGCTGCTCACTTCCGTGACATTAAAATTTGAGCCCGAGCTCTGCCTTGGATTAAAACCAATTGCAAATGGGAGTGAATTACACTGAGTGAGGGGCGCGGGGGGTCAGACCAGCTCCACAGCCTGCGTAACCTGAACAACACTGCTCCAGGCTGCTGAGTTTACAGCTTGTGCTGAGCCGCAAACAGCTGCTGTTTGTTCACTGTCAGCTCAGGTTACCGTCCCCACTAGGCTGCATGGAGAGAAGACCCTTTGGGGACAGAACAACAAATTACATTTGTATAGCGCCTTTCACATCAGGACGACATCCCAAAATGACACCCTGTATATCTCACTCCAGTCTGAAAATGAGGGGTTTTGATACAGTAGATAGAGAGAAACTATCTCCTCTGGCGGGTAGGTCAGTAACGAGAGCACACGGATTTAAGATAATTGGAAAAGAACCAGAGGGGAGATGAGGAGATTTTTTATCCTGAGAGTTGTTATGGTCTAGAATGCACTGCCTGAAAGGTGGAAACGGATTCAATAACAACTTTCAAAAGGGAATTGGAATAGGTACTTGAAGAGGATAACATTTGCAAGGATATAGGGAAAGAGCAGAGGAGTGGGTCTGATTGGAAAGAGCCAGCATAGGCACGATGGGACAAATGGCCTCCTTCTGTGCTGTAATATTCTATGATTCTATAGGCGTGGGTTCGAGTCCTCACCAGGTGGATGATAGATACCAGGAACTCCCTGGTGGACAACACAGTTCAGAAATGCGTGAGAGCTCATCCACACACATCCCTTCCCTTTGAGAGAAGGTCCCACAAGTTGGAGGAGTGGGGTTTAAGCAGCAGCTACTTGGTGTGACCCAGACTGCAAATCGCACTGAGGAAGGGGGAATATGCTTGCGGACATCCGGGGAGCAGTCATTGTGTTTCACTATCACAAAATCACTAGAGTCAATGCAAGCGTTAATTAGCACATTTCAGCTTCACATGTCACAGCGCTGAGGCTTGGCCCTGAGGTGACTGTTCACAATGACTGTGACTTTACTACAACAACAAGATTACATTTATATAACACTTTTCACGTCAGGAGGACGTCCCTTTACTGTACGCTCATAAGCATACGCTCAACACTGCTAATCCTGATCTGAGCAGCACAAACATAATAATAAAACATGTTGAAGGGTAGTATCAAACCTTCAGCTGAGGCTCTGTCTGTGTGTTGTTGAGGTACCATTGACGAACCTGGGACATGGTGGTGGGGAGTCAATGTGGGCAGGTTGGCTGATGCATTTGCCCACATAATAGTCGCACAAGCTATATGGTTTAGCTGGTTAGACTTCTGCAGTTAGAACACACACTCTGGGATCCCCAGGCCTTGGCTCTTGCCAACTTCCGCCTAGTATTTTCCGGAATTAGGTAAGCAGAATTCATCCCTCCAGGGAGAGAGTGCGTATTCCTTTCCAACAATCTATCGCTGGGATTTCCTTGTGTAGGTGGGATGTATGGAATTCTCAGTTTGGTTTGGATACTCTTTAAGCACAGTGATAGGTTTCCTCGTGTGGCAGACATCTGTATCAAAAATACACAGTCACTTCACTTTACAGTGATTACCACAGTGATTTGAGACAGTTTAATGTGATAAGGCATTGTATCAAATGTGACGACTATTATCAATAAAATCAGGTGAAGCAGTTTTTCTGTTCAGACAAAGCGGAATATTTGTCTGATCAGAGAATAGAGTAGTAGTAGAGTAGCTTAGTGGATAGAACACTTGCCTCGCAAGCGAGAGGACCTGGTTGATTCCTGGGCAAGTTTCCTTACTCCACGTCTTAAAATACCTGCCAGAATATTCACAGCACTGAAAAAAGCCATTCAACCGATCTGGACACTTCTCTACTCTAATCCCATACCCCTGCTCTCTCCCCATCGTGTCTGTGCTGGTGCTCGCTCCTCTACTCTCTAGTTGCAGGTTTAACTGAGTTGGACCCGTGCTGAGCAACAAGTTATTATGTGAAAGGGTGGGAGAGGCCTAGGGCTGTAGTGTGTTCTGGGCTATGGTTGAGGCTCCTGTGTTGATTGTTGGTGATTAACGGTGTCTGATTGCTGTGTGTGATATAGGTGGGGACCAGGGTTTACTGAACAGCTTTTTTGGCAACTGGGCGACATCCGACATCAAAAAGCACCTGCCCTTCATCTACAACCTGAGCAGTATCGCTGTCTATTCCTACCTTCCAGCCTTTAAACAGTGAGTAACAGCGACACACGCTCTCTATGTGAGCATAACACAATCGGACATTACAGGAGGTAGTTGTGGGGTCTTCCAGTCCAAGCATATGGTGGGGGGGGTAGGCTGAGCACACACACCAGTGCCCACCGACCTCACACATGTCGTGCACACACTGCCATCATACTCTGTGGCACCCCATGCACTCTGAGGCATGTTGACATGGGAGAGGTGCAGTAAGCAGACGAGGTCTATCAGTGAGGTCTTGTGTGAATGCTTGATTTACAGGTATGGAGCTAACGCCAAAGTCATCCACTTTCTGGGCAGCGTCAAGCCCTGGAACTACTCGTACGACCCAAATACAAAGGCTGTGAAACGACAGGGTCCTGAATCATCCATCGTTCATCCAGAATTCCTGAACATGTGGTGGGACACCTTCACAGCCTCAGTCCTGCCTCTGCTGGCAGAGTACGGAATTGAACACAAGTCTCAGACCAGCTCTAGCATCAGAGAGGTATGTGGAATCCAGGTGTGTAGCCTTAGGCATGGAGAAACTTAACTTAATTGAGATGTGCCAAGCAAAGCTTACGTGTGAGGCAGAATGACTGTCTTCCCTGTTCATATGTCTTGTGGAAACACTATGTTAAAATGTGGCCTTATTTTGGGATCTGGAGATGATAATAATCCTTGCATTTGCTATCACGCCTTCAAGATGTCTCAAAGCGCTTCACAGAATATATTGTAAAGCGAATTGACTGTATATTTTGTGGGCGAAAAGCGGTAGCCCATTGCGTACAGCAATGTCCCACAAGCAGTCGTAGATTAATGGACCACATTACTGCATTGAGCGTGAGAGATGCTATATAAATGCAACCTGTTGCTGTAATGTCACATATATTCACTGCAATTACTCCATAACATTCCCTCCCTCAACCCCTTCACCTCGCCCCCTCCTCCTGAAGACCTTCTTCTTCGTCCGCTCGTACGGTCACTTTTCCCCCCCTCCCCCTAGCTCGGCCCCTGTTAAGCACTCTGAGATGCTGCCCGGTGTGGAGGGTGCTATATAAATACAAGTTTTTGTTGTAACGTATGGCCAAACTGTTACAGACTCGCTAACCAGGCTCCCGTGAGCCAGTTGGCTGACACTGCAGACGCTAGGTTCTTTGGAAGACTTGTGGTTAGGATCTGTATAGTCACTGATTGACAAAATCCCACATGAAAAGACTCCTCCACAAACCGAGATCACTGAGTATCAAGTTCAAGACATCGACATGGGTGCAGAATTGGATGAAGGGAAGGAGGCAGAAGGTCTTTGTTAGGGGAGCCAGGTCACAATGGGGAGGTATTAAGTGAGTGGGCTCTGTACTGGGATCCTCCTGTTCCTCCTATATGACCTGGATTCGCAGATTCAGTGTAAGATCTTCAAACTTACAGCTGACACCAAGTTGGGGTGGAATCAGCAGAGGAGCAATGGTCCTACAAAGAGAGCTTGATAGGGTATGTACATGGGCTGACAACTGGTAAATGAGGTTTAGTACAGATGAATGTAAGATACCACATGTAGGAAACACAAATCCTCCACGGATGGGATAGAACTTGCTAAGAGGGAACGCTGAAAGAGATCTCAGGATGTTAGTTGACTCGGCGCTCACTATGTCAGCAGTTTGAGGCAGCAATAAACAAGGCAAATAGGACACTGGGCTAGATTGCTAAGTCAGTGGAGTCTTGAATACTGTAGACAGTTCTGGTCACCATGATACTAGGAGTGCCCAGTCCCTCGAGGCAGTGCAGAGGAAAGCAACGTAGCTGATCTCCAGTGTTAGAGGAATGAGCTGTGAGCAGCAATTAGACAAGCTTGAGTTCTTCAGGCTTCAGAGAAGATGCTTCAGGGGGTCTCATAGAGGTGTAAACATTTTAAATAGGATTGAAAAAGTAAATCCAAATCAATACTTTAGGATGTACCAAGACAGTAGAACAGTAGAATGGGTTTACAGCTGTAAAGGCAGATTTCAGGACAGAGAAGGTTCTTTACTCAGAGGGGAATTAACAACAGGTAACCAGGAAGGGTGGTTGAGGCCAGGATAGTTAAAAAGCAGCTGGATGCTATGATGGGGAGACGGTTGGATGGGGTGTTCTGGAGGGATGAGATCAGATGGGCCGAAGGATCTTCTTCATCCAAACTAATCTTGTGATCTTGTGGTCTTGTGATATGAAAGTTCACACTTTGACTTTTTTTCCTCTGTCTCCGAAAACATCTCTGGCAAACTCACAGCTGTCAAGTTTGGTCTATGCACTGGCTGTCACTTGTGGCTTGCCATTCTGTAGGAAGGTATGAACCTCAGGTCCCCTGTCGGCCGTGTCCTTTGCAGACGATTTGCATTCAGTGTTAATTAGCTGTTTAACGTTCTGTGGGGGGGGGGTCTCCTCCAGCGGAGGCGGGGATGTCCTGGGTGGGAGGGGCCTGTGCTGCATGAGCAAATTTTAGTTCCTCCTCATTTCCGGTCAATCCGGATGCTTTGTTCAGTGATTGGGTATAACGCATGGCTTCTCTTACGGTTGATTTTTGTGTTGTTGTTCAGTGCGCAGAATGACTGCTGTTAGCGGTAGGTTTAGTTGCTGGCTGCTAATGTTTTTTCCCATTGATTGTCAGGAACAAGCAGCGGAGGCTATTTCCCAGCTTTCCATCTCTTCATCTGACGCACCCCCCGTCTCCTCAGAGGAACGCCGGCAGAGATGGGAACAGGGGCAGATGGACTTCATGGGCGCTGACTCTTTCCAGAACATTCAGAAGAAGCTGGATGTCTATTTGAATTAAAAACGGAAACGTATCCCAGCCAATGAAGCCTGCACCAGGTGAACTGATCATGGAGGAGTTAACAGCATCTCGGCTGGAGCTGGTGTTTGGCTAGATCACACTTAACCCATTAGTGGCCTAGTTTGACGTGCTTGTCAGTCGATGCTGGCAGTTACACAGCGAGAGACTGAAAGTCACTCCCAAACAGCGAGTCCATCGCAGCCAGCGTTCAACCACAGCACATCTACAGACTTCCTGCTCCCACTCCCCAAACAAACAGCTTGTGCTTAATAGTCAAACGTATTTAAATCTACTTTTTAATCTGTGTTCCAGACTCTGGGTTTAAGGATTTTTACAGATGCGTAGAGCAGCGTCACGCTATCTTATCTCCAATGTTGCATGTATGAGGAAAATGATTGCACCCCATCTGTGGATAAAGGAGCCTTGTACCTTCTCCCACAGACAATAAAGAAAGTGACTTCTCCCGTCCAGTGTCTTCATGATATCAACAAACCCACGGATACTTCTGGGCTTTGTGAGTTGTGGCATTCTCCCTTCCAAGTCACAAGGTTGCGGGTTCAAGATCTTCATCGGGTCTTGAGTTCATAGTCTAGGCTGACGCTCCAGTGCAGTGCAGGGGGAGCGCCTTATTGTCCTTCAGCTGGCCGATCTCCAGTCTCTGCTTGTTCAGGTGGACGTTAACAATCTCCTGGCGCAACAACTACAACTTGGTTTATATCCTGCAGTGTAACATCTCGGAGCGCTTCACAGGGTGGGATGGACACTGAGTAAGGGCACATTCAAATTAAAAAGTGAGGGAGGGAGTGAGATGGAGAGGCAAAGGGAGTGAGTTACAGAAGTTAAAGACGGAGGGGCAGAGGGAGGGAGTTAGAGTTAGGAGCAGAGGAACTGGCATTGGAATGTTTGAATTGAGCCCTCTATAGAGATTTCAGTAGTCCTATTCCTGAGCCAGGGGGCAGGGAGTCATCCCACTTAACCTGCAAGCCAAAGCCCGAACATGTAGCTGGACAAACAGTGGAAAGCTTGCTAAATGGTGCTATCAATGGCAAGCTATACGGTATTAGCTGGTTTTCGCCCACAAATATACAATCAATTCACTTTACAGTCCATTCTGTGAAGCGCTTTGAGACGTCGAGAAGCGCGATAGATATCAAATGCAAGGATTATTATATTATTATTATTAGACTCCAGCAATTATCCCAACGCACACTCTGAGGTCAGTAAGACATGTTTCTTGCCAACCTGCAACTAATACTTTCCGGAATTAGATGAACAGGATGCATCCCTCCAGCGTGAGAGACAGCACATTCCATTCCAACAATTTATTTCTGGAATCTCCATGTGTAGGTGGGATACATGGAATTCTTGGTTTGGATACTCTTAAGCACAATGATGAGTTTCCGCATGTGTCAGACACCTACTGACGACAGGCGTTTTGACTGACCATGGGCTCTGTAAGTAGCTCACTGTGGCTGACAATAACACATTCATCAGCTTCATTATCAGCACAAAACATCGGTAAATCCTCGGACACTTGATTCCCAATGTTTAAAGTCAATTTCATAATGAGTTCTGTGGTTTTCCCCCCAGAATTTGAGCTGCTGTTAGTGCAGTGAGCTCAGGGTCTGGGTTCTCACCACTGCTTTCATTCATTGATCAATAAGTAGTTTCTGATTCTTGGCAGCCATTCTCTGGTGCCAAACCTCAACATATCATCTCACCTTGTGGCACGACCTGAATCATTCACGCCAACATCAGCCTCACAGCCCGGGCCAGGGATTGTCACAAGAAGCTGCAAGTACGGTTGGCCACAGCAGAGCAGTCCTGGTCACTCACATTGTGTTCACTTACAGCTGGTGCTGGAGATCTGATGGATTCAACTCTTAAGCCAGCTAAGTGGTTGCCGCACACGGGTAATGTGACACCAGCAGCAAAGTATTTTTAATGTTGGCATCTGTTGTCGACTGGACGAGCAGTGGGGAACATTGTGCACCATCACATACTGTTTAGCTACAGCTGCGTAGGGGAAGCACCTAGGCGAGGACACCAGCAATAAATCTCCACTAACTCTTTGCAGCTGCCTCCCTAGTTTGACAGTCCGGAGGGTGGGGGCGAATGTTGAAGGTGGAGAAGAGGCGGGTACTGATAGTGGCATTGAGGTCACTGCAAGTAAAGGGCAGTGGGAGAGAGGGTCAGACGAGGAGAGAGTGTCCAAGGACGACTGAGGGTTTGGCAGGGGGGAGAAGATGGTGAGAGCAGAGGTTGATGAGGAATTGGTCAGAGATGAATTTGTCAGTGATGACGAACTCAGAGACGTTGAGGCAAGTCACCCTTAAATAACCTTTAACCAGGAGAGAAACTGAAATATTCAGAGATGGTTAAATATCGATCAGTGTACACAGATCATTAATCACAAAGTTCAGTCACTGCACTTTACAGGATATCCTGTGAAGCACGAAGAGACCTCCTCCCAATGTGCACAGCGTGATAACAAACCAGGATTATTATTTTGGTGGGAGGGGGTTTCTTATTAAATGGTTTAGACATTGGGAAGGGGTGGTGTGGGGTGCAAATATTGGCAGCTCATGTTGACTATTAGAAAGCAGCCTTCCTGTATCTGTCAATGTTTGACATTAGTCACTGACGTCAGGAAGAAGCCAGAAAGCCTGGAGGAGCTAGTGTGAGGGAAGCAGTGTGAGATAGGATCGAGCTCCTCTGACGGGAGGACAGTGTCAGCTCACGAGCTGCCTGATCATGTTTCATCAGATGATGTGCCGGGCTCTGCTGGGTGTATTTTTAATCACAGTGAAAAGTGGCTCTCTGTTTTGCCAATAACATTCTCGCTCTCTGTCACATGATGCTGAGATCAGAGGAACGAACATTCATTGCAGATCATGGATTATGACTGAACCCAGGTCAATGCCAATTGTGACCTTTGCACTCTCACTCCCTCAGGGAGAAGCCACCTCCCCTGGAACCCCCTCTCCCCATGGAGTTTATAATGCAGCCCTCTGCCCTCAGACACAAACAGTTATATAACTGGACATGCCCTCATTTACTAATCCAATGCCATTTCCTGTCCCTCCCTCGATGCCACTCTTATACAGGACACAACCCAGGCCATAGAGCACAAATGTCACCCGTTATCCCTCACCTTGACTTGACAGCACGCTGCAGGGATGAGGAGAGTGTGTGTGGTGGTGGGGGGCAGGCAGTGTGAGTACAGTGTGGGGTACACTGTCCTGTCCTGAAATTGCCCTTTACAGGTCTAAACCCACGTCTTCTCATTCTACTGTAGAATGAGAAAACATGGGTTTAGAGCTGTAAAGGGCAATTTCAGGACAGACACCAGAAGGGTCTCTTTACACACAGCGTAATTAACCACTGGAACAGGTTAAAAGCTCCAGATGTGTGCTCGGACATGGGCTGGGTGTGATACTGCGAGCCTTGTGGAGTGGGGCGGGCAGTGATTGAGTGCTGTGATCGGTTGGATACCGTGTACGTTACACTAGTTCGATGTCTGGAAACTGATGATTTTGTATGAAATTATACTTTAATACAGTATTTTGTTCACAAATTGTTTGAAAACCCAAGTACTGATAAAAAGGGACTCTTCCCACTTGGGAGGTAGGGTGGGGGCGAGCTGAATGGGCAGGGAAGGCAGTCAGTCACAGGTCGATGAGAGTTCGGATCTCATCCACACGAGCCTTGGTCACCTCACTGTGGCTTTTGGCTGCAAAGGCCCCGATGGCCAGGTCCCGTTTCCTGTGCTGGATCTTAATCATGTTCTCCTCCACTGAGTCCTTCACGATGAACTGCAAAACGTTCACAAGCAAAACTTTTACTCAGCACTGGCTCCAACAGGGACGGAAGGAAAAAGATCTGTATAAGATCTCTTCCCATTGCAATAACCAGAGAAACTTACTAATTGTATAGAGCTATTAGGACTCACCAAGGTGCTGGTCAGTGCTGGCTGTGCACCCAAGCTGTGGGTGCGAGCCGGTGGGGGCAGGGACAGATGGGCTTGCATAGAACAGGGGGCGACAGGGTGTTTCACAGGATCCACTTCAGTGCAGTGTGTTTTGTGGGCAAACTTAGTATCTGACTACCTATATACACTCATATACTTACAAGCACATGAACACACTCATACAGATACATACATACAGTCACTCACACACAGTTCAGGCCATGGTGGTGTGTGAGTATGGGACTGTTCCTGACCACACTTGCCTTGGTGATGATCACGTCTCGTGTCTGGCCTAGTCGATGGCATCTGTCGAAACACTGATCTTCAGCTGCGGGATTCCAGGCCTGGCACAACACAGGGCATTAGCACCTCCCAGAGCCCACCCAACCCAGACCCCACCCACTCATCCCAGAGCCCACGTATCCGCCCGGCCCAGAGCCGAGCCAGAGTCCCCGCACATACCCAGAGCCTACCCTCCGAACTGCCCAGACTGCTCAGAGCAGGAAGCTAGTACTCACGGGATCCATGAGGAAGACACGGGAGGCTGCAGTCAGGGTGAGGCCCTCACCCCCGGCTCGCAAGGAGAGGAGGAGGATGGTTGGGGAGGCCGGGGAGCAGCTCTGGAAGGAGCTCACAGTCTTCGCTCGTCTGCTCCGGGACATGGAGCCGTCAAACCGCACGAACGAGAAGCCTTCAGCTCTGTAACACAGGATCCCTGTCAGCCCCGCCCATCACCATTAACCCGCCCCCGTCAGCCCCACACTTGTCACCATCAGCCCCGGCCTGTCAGCCCCGCCCTTGATGAGGAGGATCAGGCGTCTCAGCTTCGCCTTTGCCAGATTGGCCGGCGAATACCAAAGCCCAGCCCCTGGCCGTCCCCACTCACAATGACCCGTCCCAATGACACCCCGCCAACCCATCCTGACCTGGCTCCACCCACACAATAATAATAATAATCCTTACATTTGATATAACGCTTTTCACGTCTTCAAAATGTCTCAAAGCGTTTCACAGAATACAGAGTGTCTGGATTAAGTGACCAAATTATTATTGTTGGTCCCAGCCCCACCCACACTGACCATCCCCCCGCCCACACTGAGCATTCCCCCACCCACACTGACTCGTATACATTGACCCACCCTGCGGCAGTATTTCCGACATGAGGGGTGTGAGGATCAGACCTACCGCAGAGGGATCTCGATGAGCGAGAGGAAGGCTGTGAACTGAGACACCACTAAACTCTTGATGTTGGGATCCTGTCTCCGAATCTCAATCAGAGAGAGCATCAGGGCGTCCACCTGTGATACACACACACAGGGTGTCCACCTATGATACACACACACGCATACAATATCACCCACACACACACAAACACACACAATCACACACACACGCACAGACATGCACGCCCAAACACACACACAGGGCGTCCAACTGGTGACTGACCTTTGAGCTGGAGACCCAGGCTGGCCTGGTGCTCTCCGCCGGCGTTGAGTCCGTCTCCCCCGGAGAACACTCCACCAGCTGCCCCGCCCGCACCTCAGCCCTACACATGGGGCACCGGGCGTTCGTCTACAGCCAGAAAAACAAAACCAGAGCCTCAATAGCCTCAGCCTCACCGCTCCCAACCACCATCTTATATAATAATATAATAATCCTTGCTTTGATATAGCGCTTTTCACGTCGGGAGAACGTCCCAAAGCGCTTCACAGAACACACTGTAAAGTGAATTGACTGTATATTTGTGGGCGAACGCAGCAGCCAATTGCGCACAGCAGTGTCCCACAAACAGTCGTGGATTGAAAATGACCAATTTATTAATGTTTTTGGTTTTGGAGGGATTATTATTAGGCTCTGTGTGGAGTAAGGAAACTTGCCCAAGGTTTCGCCCTCTTCCTGGAATTGAACTCAGGTCTCTCGCTTGCAAAGCGAGTGCTCTAACCACTGAGCTACAGGACTCCACTTCCACAGGAAGAGGAACATCAGTACAATCTTCAACCTGACTCCTGCTCTCTCCCCCCCCGATCTGTCACTGACGGGAGGTGTGTAAAAATTCAGGGTCTCGGAAAGTGAGCACCTGCCCCCAGGACAGAGCCAGTTCCACCCTCAGGCAGCTGTACCCATACTTTGGCCGGCCTCTGTGTCAGTACCAGCGGTTACACGAGGGAAACCCACAGCCAGCCTCAAACACCAGCAACAATTAGCACTGTACATCCTAGTGCACAACTAAAGGTGTTCATAAGTAAGAGGGACGGAGCAGGGAATGAGATTAGAGTAGAGAACTCCAGCTGGGGAATGAGCATCAGCACAGACGCGGTGGGGAGAAAGCAGGGAATGGGATTAGTGTAGAGAGCTTCAGTGGGGTAGTGAGCAGTGGCTGGACGGAAGTGAATGTATGTGTACAAGAACGTCTCAGATACCGAGCAACTGGGATGTGTGTTGGATGAAGGGGCCACTTGTTGGTTACAGAAATATGAACGACTTTCTGCACAAGACTGGGGATTTGAGACGGGTTTGTGGTGGTGTGTGCCGGGGGTGCTGACCTGCTGAATAACCTGACAGATGCAGAGTCGGCAGAAGACATGTGCGCAGTGCGTGATGACTGGCAGCCGCAGCGAGTCCAGGCAGATGGCACACTCCTCGTCTACACCACAACTCAGCACCATCTTCATCTTCCTCACCAGCTTCGCCCGCAGTTCCTCTGGGGTTCCGTCAGCTGCTGGCGTTAAATATCCCCACAGTCACTTCACCCTAAAAACACTGGCAGCGTTCACATGCCGGCCTGCGCTTGGGCCACACAGGGAGTTGCGGGATGGGGGGCAGGGAGGGCGCGCACGGAGAGATGGGGGGGCAGGGTGGGGTGGGGAGCGATGGGGGCACAGAAGGGTGGCAGGCAGTGAAGGTTGGGGATGCAGGGAGGGGAATGGCGAGTGGTGGGGGGGGCGGGAGAGGAGTTAGTGGGCAGGTAGTAATGAACTGACCTGTGGTAGCCCCGGCTGGAGGAGTCCTGGCAGTGAGGTGAGGGTGACAGCACAGCTGTCGCAGCCTGACCAGGATGGCGAACACGTGCGCGTAGTGTGTCATCATCGAGTCTTCACGCAAGTACCTGGAAATGGGCATAAAACAGCCTGAAAGTTAGTGCAAAACGCCTGCGCCTACAACACAGCGAAGCTGGTCTCACTGCCTGAGCTCATCTAATCATTGCTCACAGCTCATTTCCTCTAACACTGGGGAATCACTCTCATTGCTCTCCTCTGCCTCTGGAGTCTGGATAGCCCCTTATCTCACAGTGACCAGAACTGGCTACAGTATTCAAGGTGCGGCCTGACCAGAGCACTGCACAGCCTGAGTATGAAATTTGAGGATCTAAACTCAACTGATTTGGCAATTAGCCGAGCATCCTGTTTACCTTGTTTATTGCTGCCTCACACTGTTTGACATCGTGTATGACGAGTCAACTGACACCCTGAGATCTCTCCCAGCTTCCTCCTTGGCAAGTTCTATCCCATCCATGGAGTCTGTGTGTTTCCTATATGTGGTACCTTGCATTCATCTGTATTAAACTTCATTTGCCGGTCACCAGCCAATTCTGAATCCATGTTCCTCAATACCCAGTTGGAATTCCAGCATTACTTCCTCCTGCTCTTGTTAAGTGCTGCCCGACAGTCTCGCTCACCTGCTTATGGTGCTCCTGCCTTCGTCCATGATGGCTTGATAAATCTGCCTCTCCTCCTCACACAGGGAGATGTGCTGGAGGCAGAGGGTGCGACGAGGTAACGTCACCACCGGCCGCCCTCTCACCTGGCTGTTCTTGGTCCTCCTCAGCGTTATGTTCCTCAGCAACCCCTGCAACCGCCTATAAGAGGTACACAATGAGTGGGGGGCTGGACAGTGCTGGGGGGTGGGGCTCGGCACAGGGGCGGGAGTGTGTGTTGGGAGAGGGTTGATTGCGGGAAGGGTGGTCAGGGCAACTTGATGGGGGGTAATTTGTTAGGGTAGTCGGGGGTGGGGCTCAGGCCCACGCACTCCGCTCACACCCACCGGAGACCTTGTTCGTCGCCCAGTGAGACCGGCCGTTGGATTGTGCGATGCCACCATTGCCGCTCAGTAAACGGCTTCAGCTTCAGGAAGGAGACAAGAGACCAGAGATCCTGCAGGGAATTTTGGATGGGAGTTCCTGCGGGAGGAGAATTCCACACCTTTACAACAACAACAACATTAACGTCAACAACATTAACAACATCAACAACAAGATTAACAGCAACAACATCAACAACAGCAGCAACAACAGTACCTGTAAGGAGCCAGCGCCGCTGGGCTTTCAGAGCAAGTGCGGCTCTTGTCTGCCGGGTGTTGGGGTTGCGGATTGTGTGTCCCTCGTCCAGCACCACTCGCAGCCAGAGCACAGCCTGCAGTGGGCTTACTCCCTCTCCCTGTCACACACAGCACAGACATCACACACCAGGAGACAGACCACCCCCGCCACCCACTCCACCATCAGATGAAAGGTGTGGGCGTTGGCAAAGTTTGGCACTGACTGTGGGGCTCCCACACATACAGCAATCACAGCAACTCCACCTGGAGAACCAAATCACACGCTCCCTCCCACACTGACAGGAGAGAACATCAGAGAGGAAATGGGAGCCGTGTTGCTGCCTTTGGACGAATGTGAAGTCACTGACTAACAACAATCCCTGTATTTGATATGGTCTCTTACAAGACCCACTATAAAGTGTAGTGACTGCATTTTGTGGGAGAACGCAGTAGGCAATTAGTGGGCAGTGATGTGCTACACACGACAGTGAGTATGAACGGCTGAGTCTGCGGGCTCACCCCGTGCTCCGTGGTCAGCGTGGTGTAGGTGGTCAGCACCACGTGCTGCTGGCTCAGGAAATCAGGGTCCCGGGGGCGATTTTGGCCGTAATACAGGCACCTGCGGAGCTGCACGCCGGGATCCATATGCTGCTCAAACTGCTCCTGAAAACATAGCAATCATCAGAGACTTTCACCACAACACAGCAATCATCAGAGACCTCCACTACAATACAGCAATCATCAGACTTTCACAACAACACAGCAATCTTCAGAGACCTCACTACAACACAGCAATCATCAGAGACTTTCACAACAACACAGCAATCATCAGAGACCTTCACTCCAACACAGCAATCATCAGAGACTCTCACCACAACACAGCAATCATCAGAGACTCTCACCACAACACTGTATCAGGCACAACCGGCAGCCAGCGAGTCAGCCTCAGCAGCCAAACTAACAGGCAATAAGGGATTAGACTGGGCTAGTGTCAGTGTGTGTGTGTGACAGTGTTTCTGGGCTAGTGTCAGTGTGTGAGTGACGGTGAGTGTGACTGGGCTGGTGTCAGTGTGTGAGTGACGGGGAGTGTGATTGGGCTGGTGTCATTGTGTGAGTGACAGCGTGACTGGGCTAGTGTCAGTGTGTGAGTGACAGTGTGACTGGGCTGGAGTTGATGCTGCGAATACTTACCATCCAGGTAGAGAGCACGGAGAGCGGGCACACGATGAGGGTTGGCCTGGCTGGGGGCTCGGGGAGCGCCTGAGCACCACCGCTCACTGCAAACCAGAGGTTCACGTTAGCCTATTAAACCTTGTGCGAGTGTGTGTGTGTGAGAAAGTGCATGCGAGCGAGAGTGAGTGAGAGTGTGCACGTCAGATTGTGTATTTGAGAGAGTGTAATAGAGTGTGTGTCCCTGTTCTCTCCCCTCACCTTTTTGGGGTTGTGTCTTGGAGACGGACGGGAACCCCCCAAGCGCAGCGGCAAACGCTGTGTCCTCCCCCAGGTGGGTTGGGGGCAGGGCTGTGATGCTCGCTCCTGTGCCTGGCATGCAGGAAACAGTAGAGAGGTAGGAAAACAGTGTCAAACCATTCTGCACCCACCCATCCTCCCCCAAACTGCTTCCCCCCAACCCCCCTCCACTCCCACTCCCTCCCACCCACCCACCCTGTTCCCACCAGGACAGGATGTACCTTTGCATGAGCTGCCTGTGGATTTCACTTTCTTCCTCTTATTCCAGCCACTTTTCATTTCTTCTGGAGCTGAAGTAATAATATAAAATTTCAGTCAGTGACGGGGAGCACAGAGCCAGCCAGCCACGGGAATGCTTGTCATACACTGAGGTAGAGTCCAACAAAGGGATGAGATTGTTGAAGAAAAGGAATATTAAATAGTGTGGGGAGCAAGCGGGAGGAGGATTAACTAGCAAATATGGACTGTCACTAACGGGCTGTAACTAACACTGTGATCAGTAATCAGCTTGTGACTAGCACTGTAATCAGTAGCTGGGCTGTGACTTATGCTCACACTTGCCTCGCTTGCCTGCAGTGACCTGCCACTCGCTCCTCGCGGAGCAGCTCCTGTGGGTAGACGGAGCTGGCTCAGGTTTTACGCTGAAACAAACAAACACGTGTTATTATATTTATTAATCATGTGATAACTTACTGTAATAAATTGATTACCAGCGAGTACCAAAGTCACTTAAAAATTCACACGTCGCTAAACACAGCATATAATCATACAGGCCTTAATGAGCTACTACACTCCTCACCTCTCTGCTCTGCGCTGCCCCCTCCTCTACCTCTCTTTAAATCACACCTTAAACCCTGCCCCTTTAACTGGGTTTTACACTCACCTCCCTCTGCCTCAGGAAGTGCTCCGAGACTTTAGCCCACATGGAGCACGATATAAGCTGGAATGGGGACAGGTTACATACAGTCCTTGTGTTCACCAGAGACGTGAGGATGATCATCCCTCCCAACCACCCCTCACCCAACCACCCATCTCCTCACGCACCCTTCCCACCCACTCAGGCTCCCACAGCCTGATGGAGATCTACACGTAACCGGCTAAACATTCACAAACTAAAGCCAATTGCCGGTAGCTGATATCAGTGCCCAGGTACAGACGAAGGTGAGAGCAATGTGTCGCTGGTTACCTTTTCAGACTGGACGAGGCAGCTTCACACACTGCCAAAGGTCTGCTTCCAGCTACGGTCATCCCCAAATCCTTGTCCCGATGAGCACCGGCTATGAGAGAGCAGCGTTAGTCAGCACACTGCAGCTTCATTCCCAGGCTTCCATTGCTCTCCCTTTGATCGTCAGGGAGTGGGCACTGTCACACAGCAGGAATCAGCACTCAGCGGGCAAGTCAAGGAGTGGGCACCAGCACATAGCGGGCACCAGCTGACAGTGGGCACCAGCACACGGCAGGCACCAGCACACAGTGGGCACTGGCGCACAGCAGGCATCGGCATACAGTGGGTACTAGCATACAGCGGGCATCGGCACACTGGGCACCAGCACACAGTGGGCACCGGCACACAGCAGGCATCAGCACACAGCAAGCACCGGCACACAGGGGGCACCGGCACATAGCAGGAGAGGCACCAGCACAAAGATGGAGAATGAGATCAATCAGAACGATTGTGTCACTCAGCAGCATTAAGAAGCACAACAACCTCCATCACCTCTGGCACTCGCGGGCAGGTCCTCGCCAGCTCTCATGTTCCAATCGCCAACGCTACATGTCTCCTGAATTTAAACACAAAATTCTAAATTCAGACCCTTTACTATCTCTTTATTTACAATCACAAGCGAGTGGCGGAGGAGGGATGAATGCTGGCGGGTTAGTGGGTCTGTTTCTGTGCTGTATGGCACTCCAGACAGAGACAGTGCCCTCTCTCTGCCCCGAACACACACACTCATCACCAGGGAGGGCAACATTGGCAGCAGCTCCTCCAAACCAACTGAACAAGCAGTGTGTGCAGTGGTGGACTTACAGGAGCCTTGTCAACAACCTCCGCCCCCTCCTCTGTGCTCCGCTCAACAGGGAGTGGCCGCCCGCCATGGAAGTTGCTCAGGATTAAGGCAATGGTTGAGAGAGTTTTTCCCTGAAATACACAAGGTTTCAATCAAGATCCTGGATGGCCTTCTCCGTGCTCATCAAACCGTGGCAACGGCCCTAGGCCAACGGCACTTCATCAACGCACTGATTCAAACGAGCAACCCCCACCCACCCCCACCCAGAGACGTAACGTCTCTCCTCCCCCGGAACCTCCCCCCTCCTTCATACCCTCTCCCTCGTTCCCCCTCCCACGTAACCTCTTCCCCGTAAGCTCTCCCCTCAACAACAATAACAAAATTAAAATTTTTAAAGCGCCTTTCATGTCGGGAGGACGTCTGAAGGCAGTCAGTGTTACGGTTGCGAGCTGGGGGTCGGGATTGGGGAGGATGGAGGGCAGAGGGAGAGCAGGGTGATCTAAAGCATGATCGAAGAGGAGGGTCTTGAGATGGGTCTTGAAGGAGGCAATGGAGGGGGCAAGACGGAGGGATTGTGGGATGGCGTTCCAGAGGATGGGGGCAGAATGGCAGAAAGCCCACCCGCCGATGATGGGGCGGGCAAGGTGGGGGTTGTGAAGCAGGCTGGAGCCCACTGAGCAGAGGGAGCGAGCAGTTTGGTAGGGAGTTAGGAGGTCACAGAGGTAGGAAGGTTTTGAAGGTGAGGACCAGAATTGTGAATTGTATCCTCCGTGTGATGGGAAGCCAGTGGAGTCGGGCGAGGATGGGGGTGATAGGGTCACGGAGCCTGGGGTGGAGAAAGGACACGGGCTGCAGAGTTCTGGATGATCTGCAGCCTATGGAGGGAGGAGTTGGGGAGGCCGAAAAGCAAGGAGCTTGCATAGTCAAGCCTCGATGTAATGAAACATGTATGAGGGTTTCGGCAGCCTGCAGTATGAGACAGTGAAGGACGTGGGGGAAGACAGAGTGGGTCATGGTACGGATGTGGGGTAGAAAGGATAGTTGAGGGTCAAACAAGATGCCAAGTTTCCGGACTGACTTAGCAAGGTGGAGTGTGGAACCATGGATGGTGATGCTGTCAGCGCCTGAGGTGTGGAGGTGCTGACGCGAACCAATCAGGAGACCCAACTGAAGACAGTTAGGTTATAGTGGAGGTGGTTGAGGAGAGGCCAGGTTCGAAGGTGTGAAGGGAGCGATGGGTAGGGCCGGAGTGGAAGGAGGAGATGGGGAGGGTGTAGTAGACGGAAGGGCAGAGGTAGCTGAGGGATCCCCTCAACTTTGGATTCAAGGAAGTCCAGCATCTCCTCACAGTTGGCACTGGAGGTGAGGATGGGCGCGAGAGGGTGGGCGGAGGAGCTGGTTAGTGATGGAGACGTGGAGCCTGGGGTTGTCCTTGGCCTCTAAGATTGGAGTAGAACAGCGATTTAGCGGAGGCGAGGGCGGAATGGTAGGATTTGATAAGGTCCAGCCAGATCTGCCGATGGACCGTTAAGTTCGACTCTCCCCCCCCCCCCCCCGTGCCCCCCATATAGTCACCAAGCCCATGTCATCGGCCAGGATGCCCCCGTGAACGCTGTCCGGCCGCTGGCTCTGTGTGAAGTTGGTGAGCAGGTTGTGGTAGAGGCCACCCCGCAGCTCCCAGAACGGGGGCAGCTCCCAGTTGTTCTCCCGAGTCACCATCCAGGCCAGAGCCTGCTTCTGGTGAGGCAGCAGAGCAGTGCGCACAGCCTGCAGCAAACACACAGGACACCGCACTCAGTCAGCAAAGTCCCTACAATACTCTGATGCCAACAAACAACAAATTACATTTGTGCAACGCCTTTCAGGTCGGGAGAATGTCCCAAGGTGCTGGATAGTCAAGGATTTGGACCCGAGCTGGGGGTTGGATCATGAGGGTGGAGAGCAGGGAGGACAGGGGTAGGAGGGTGACTGACTGCACATTCGAAGAGGAGGATCTTGAGATAGACCTTGAAGGAGGCAAGGGAGGGAGCGCGACAAAGGGACTGTGTAATGGTGTTCCAAACAGTGGGGACAGAGAGGCTGAAAGCCCAACCGCCGATGATGGGGCGGGCCGGGTGGGGACGTGGAGCAGGCCAGAGGCTGCTGAGTGAAGGGAGCAGACAGGTCGGTTTGGAGTTAGCAGGTCAGAGGTAGGGAGGAGAAAGGCCATGGAGGGCTTTGAAAGCTAATCCAGCCCCTCACACATAGATCCTAGCCAGTGAGACAGTGAAGCCCAACAAGGACTGGGCTTTGTGTGAGTGAGGAGAGACAAGCAGTGAGAGGTACGTACCGGAGCTGGTTCCATCTCTGCAGTTTTGTTGTCTTCCTTTATATCCTCAAAAATCTTGTCAAATTCACTCTTGAGCTGGGTATGAGAGGGAGGAGTCAGTCAGGCCCTGGCCAGGCTGAATGTGCACATTAAAATATCTCAGACACACGCTAACCACATTCATCATTTATAGCTGGAGACAAACCCGCAGCATTCATTTCAGTCATCACACGTTGGATTTAACCTCTGACACCCCCACACCCCCCCACCGCCCAACAGACCCTCCCTACCACCCGACAGCCCTCTGATGTAAAAGTGGGCAATACCTGCTCAGCGGTCATGTGTACAGGCTGGTGGCTAGGGGCCCTGTAGCTGGGCCCCGCTCGTGCTCTCCACACTCCTGCACCTCCACCATCTAAACATAACACCTGGTCAATGTGCTGATCACTGACGTAAACACCCTCGCTGCTGTCCAGACAAGAGGCTGGACATTCAGGTCTCAGCCCGACTCAGTCACTTGCTAGGGGAGCGCTGCATTGTCAAGAGGCACTATCCTTCAGTTGCGATGTTAAACCAAATTCCTGTCTGTATGTGTTTAGGTGACGTAGAAGTTCCTGCGGCGCTATTAGAAAACAGAAAGGAGTTTCTCTCTCCAGTGTAATGGCTGACAATTGACCGGATACAATTGATCATTCATTTCATTGTCTTTTCTGGGAAAGCGGGAAGGACGAAGAGACGGAGGGAAGCTGTGGGGGGGCGGGCGGGGGGGAAACCTACATGTTGTAAATCTGCTACAGAGCAACTGATTTAAGCAAACAGGATAATATCCCGACAATAATAGAACTGTAACATCCAGCACTTTAACGTGGCTTTATGCTTTATGCCCCCAATCATCTAGTGTGTGGGTGTTTGTGTGAGGTTCCGTCATGTCATGCTATGGTCACGTTGTGGTCACCTTGTGTGGGAGGAGCCAGGTTCAGGCCGTGTTGCTGTAGGTGGCTTAGCACTGCCGCTCGCTGAGCCTCGGGTGCCCAGAAGGACAACTGCACTGGCATGGTGAACTTGTTATTAACTTTGTAAGGAACCAAGCTGCAGACACACAGAGAGAATCAGCACGCTCGGCACGAAACACGAGGGCAGCTCCCTTCCACCACCACCTTGTCAGAGGGTATAACATAGCCTTGTTCCCCCCCACCCTCCTCACACTCATGTTCAATGGCAGTCACTCTGTGGTGAGAAGGAGTGGGACCTCCCCCATCCAGGAGGCTCAGAGGTTAATCGTGAAAAGGAGAAAAAACTGCACAGACTGTGAGCTTAAGGCTCAAGTCTTAACTGTGAGCCACCCCGGCTCAGTCGCTTGCGCTCTCACCTCGGAGTCAGAAGGTTGTGGGTGTGCGTTGTTTCAAGTCTCCCTGTCGGGACTTGGAGCTCGAATAGTCTGGGCCAACAATCCCCCCAAATAAAAACTGGTCACTCACTTCACGGCTGTTTGTGGTACATTGCTGTGTGCAGACTGGCTGCAGTATTCCCCGATCAATACCCAATGTTCAATGATCAAAGCGCAGTGCTGACCCTCAGGCTTACACTCACCCCTCGATCCTCGCCAGCTTGTTGTCCAGGATGAATGCCAGGGCAGCTGCCAGCTGCCGCCTGAGGTGCCCGACCTGGTCCCCGTTTATGTTGTTCACGCGGATTGCGTTGGAGTCATGTGCGTTTCTGGGTTCTCGCTGCAGAGCCACCATCTCATTCTTGCTGACCTGCAGCACACACAGGGGACACACGGTATTGACAGCAGCACTGCACACACGACCCCCGTTCTGTCCAGCAAGTCATCCCTTCTTGTGCTGAAGGCATTTCTCTCATTGCCGGGGGACAGTGTGAGTGGTCCCTATGCACGTGTCAGCCTCCGCAGTGAGCGCGATGAGGGCACTGGGAGAGGAGAAAAGCATCACAGTCCATCCTCTCCTCCCTCAGGAGCCAGAGACCAGAGCACAGCAGGAGCCACACCAGCAGCCAGTGCCCACTTTTCACTTCTCCAGTGAAACTGAAACCTCGATTCTAATCCTAAATCCCTGCTCCTTTCCCTTTCCCTTTAATCACCACAGTTTATAAGAGAGACAGAGAGAGAGAGCGCGAGAGACAGAAAGAGAGAGACCGACAGACAAATACACAGAGCGAGAGGGAAAGAAAGACAGAGAGAAAGCAAGACAGACAGAGAGAGAGAGAGATGTAGAGGTGCAGGTCTCATCCCTTGTGCACCACACATTGGCAGCATGTGGTGCTACTGGTATATCGTATACAACAACAACCACAACAATTTCAGAGATTCGGGGCACAGTGGCTGAAAGCATGGAGCAGAAGGGCAAGGGGACATCCAGCCGAATGAAGATGGTGGGTAGAGGGGTTGTGAGCAGATCGCTTAGATTCTACTGGATGACGAGCCTAATATCCACACTGATTGAGACCAGCCACAAATGGAATCTTTAACGTCCGCCTGAACAGACAGACTGGACCTATTTAATGTTTCATCTGAAGGACGGCACCTGAGAATTCAGCGCTCCCCCAGCACTGCACTAGAGCATCAGCCCAAACTGTGAGCACAGAGTCCTGACATGTATAATACCCGACGAAGACATGTTCTGTTTGTACATCGTATTGTGTTGCTGACCTGATACCCTATCAGCTGGACAATAATGATTGGCCGGTCACAGTCAGTGTGGATACCGGGCTCTACAATGTGGTGGGATCTAAGCGATGTGTTTGCCTCCCTCTTCTGAGTTTGAGTGTGGGGTAGTTGTGCGAGATGTTATCTGTACACACAGCAAAGCTTCAGTCAGTGAGCACGAGTTAGTTCTTACCACCCCGGTGTAGTATCTCAATCCGACCACATTCCCTCGCAAGTTCCCAAGCAAAACAGCCGAATCCAGAGCTTCCTCTGCCAGAGCGGAGCTATCTGCCAGAGCCGAGTCTATGAACTGGGCCAGTGACTCTTCCTGGTCAGGAGCAAACAGGAAGCTTCCATCAGGAAAGTGGGCAGAGGCTGCCCCAGCCCCACCCTGGGCATTGTACCAATTCTGCCAGAAAGCCATGCGACTGCAAAGAGGACAGAAAGTGAACACGTTAATAATAATCCTTATGTTTGATACGGTTCCTTTCACGCCGAGAAGGCGTCTCAAAGCCCTTCACAGGAGGTATTGTGAAGTGGAGTGACTGTGTATTTGTATGCGAGTTGTTTGTGTGGAGACTAAACTGTCTTATTCCTTTCCTGATCACAGAGCCCCTAAAGTATAAATACCTTCATAATAGTGGAGCCCTGACGCTACATCCTGATACAGCAATTTGTATCTGCAGAGTACTGAACCATCACCAGTGTGCTTTACACCTTCTGTGTGGGTTTATATATTGGATATTTTGACCGTAAATTAGAAGTTGCAATCTAATTTTCAGTAGCAGTGCTGCTCTGACGTTATCACACCTTGGAGCTTGCCCGTATATTGAATACGGTTGATAAGACACAGGTTTATTTGCGCGCTGGGAGCAGGTGCTCGGGGCTGGAACTGGAGAAAATGACCTGTTAATATGGCCATCGCAATTTCATTTAAATCTCGGTTCTGGCATTTAACATTCTATCTCTTCAAGCTGAACTTTAAAGGTTGCTCGGATTACAACAACAACAACAACAAGCTGGATTAATGTGCATCTTGAATAGATACAAAGTTAGACGCAATCGGCAGAGAAAACAACTGCTGTAACCAATTCTGAACAGCGTAAAGTATTCCTGAGTTATGAGTTTTACCCAGCCCCCGCCACACCAGAATATTTTCACCCTCCGCCTATGCTCATTGAATAGCTACATGTGTTGTGACCAAAAGTCTCAATCGAGTGAAGTGCCGAGAGGAGAAGTGGCAGCGGTGCCAGGAGCCAGTGTGGCCACGACAGGCTCAGCGAAGACGAGGAGGTGCTCGTCCAGTCTGTAGCCTGTTTTTTGTGTCTTGGTGGTGGCAACCCTCCTCTTTACCTCCTGCAACTCACACCCACACACTGGTTAGTTCAAATTAAATCAGTTTTTTTTACACATACTATTCATTATGTGAATGAATGGTTCATTAAGAAAAAATACAGAAGCTGGTAATTGCAAAGTGTTCCAGTGTGTGGGAGTGAGATGCAAATACAGATTAAAGTATAAAGTTCACAAACCGTGTCACAGTACAGACAAACAACAACCAACAACAAATTACATGTGTATAGCGCCTTTCACGTTGGGAGGACATCTCAAGGCGCTGGATAGTCAGGGTCTGTGCAGGTCTTTTTTTACACACATATTAATTACGTGAAACTACAGAAGCTGGTAAATCACCCTGTAAACAAGACCAGTGTGTCTCCTCCCTTATCGCCAGTGTGATCTTCATCACATATATTTGTCGGTAAAACGACAAACACATGTGATAAAGGTCTCGTTCAATCCTCAACTGTCCTTTGTCCTCTATATCCGTGCCATGACCTGCTCTGCCTTTCCCCCACCTCCGCAAAATTGCCCGACTCCGCCACTGATTCACCCCTCAGGCCTCTGAAACCCTCATACACGCACGGCTCGACTATGGAAACTCCCTCCTTGTTGGTCTCCCCAACTCTCCCCCCCCCCCACCAACCTCAACCTGCCCGCTCCCCCCGTTCAGCGGCCCCCAGCCCGCTCCACGTCTCCTTGCTCCCCCCCCTCGCCTCCTTCGAGGCATGACTTGTCGGCCGTGCCTTCGGCCGCCCAACTACCCCTCTGCCCTCCCTCATCTCAATCCTGCCCCAACTCCCCCCCCCCCACCCCCACCCGGCCCCTGGCCCCCACCACGCTCGGGTCCCGATCCCCCGACTGTTCAGGGCCTCGGGACTTTCCTCCCGACCTGAAAGGGCGCTTCGCAAATGTCATTTTGTTGTCGTCGAGACATCTTGACAAGGTGGTGGTGATGATAATAATGACGACAACGATCCTTGCGTTTGATACAGCGCCTTATCGCGTACTGGAGTGACTGTGTATTTTGGGGGCGAAACGTGGCTCAGGGGCGACCGCCGCTGGATTCTGACGCTCCACTGCCAAACACGTCACCTTGGGGCCAGTTCGGCTCCGAGCGAGACCCCACTTACCTCCCCCGCCCCCACCCCCACCCGGGGGGAGGGGGAGGATAGAGTGTAAAGTGTAGTGACTGTGTAGAGACTGCAGGTCCCCTCAGGCAGGAAGGAGCCACTCCGGACAATCAATTCAGTCAGGTTTCCCCCCCACCCCACTCCCCCCACCCCCCCCCCCCCGACGAGCTCGATAGGTTTGACTTAAGAGGATGGATTTACCTGACACCCCCGCAGGCCCAACCCCAGCCCCAGCACAGGCCCAACCCCAGGCCCAGCACAGGCCCAACCCCAGGCCCAGCACAGGCCCAGCCCCGAGCGTTCAAAACTGGTACAGACAGAACCTTTCCGCCTTTGAGCGGAGCCGCAGCTGCAGCGGCCCCTACAGGCGGGCGGCCGGCAGTTACAACCTGTTTGTAGCCCAAAGCCAGCCCCACAATAGCCCAACAATAGCCCAACAAGTAGCCCAACACACACACACACCCAACACACACACACACTACGCTCACTGCGCACACGGTGTTTCTTACCAGTTACCAGCGCCACTCGGCGAGGCTCGGTCATAAACCATACCCTTAACACACTTCCATCTATAAATGGAATCTTGTTGTGGTTAACACACTTCCCGCCGAGCGCGGGGTGGTGGGGGTGGGGGAAGGGGGGGGTCGTGGTCAAAGGCAGCGAAACACTGAGATGCGGAGGTCAACCTCTTTTTAGTCATTTACATTTTATGTTTTCAAACGGTGACGGATGTCCGTCGACCACCGTTGGAACATCCGCCTGTCCGTCGACCCTCCACGGTGGCTCTGGAGTGGAAGGCAGTTTTGACCTGCGAGAGGGAGAAGTGGTGTGTGTGTGTGTGTGTGTGTGTGAAGGCGCTCCAGCCACAACTGGTGGGGAATCGTGAGGTCAGACTTATGCCATCTGTGCTCGGGTGTCCGGGTTTGGGTTTTAAGGGACCTGTCAGACATCAAGTCCTGGATAAAGGCAAATTTCCTACAGTTGAATGTGAACAAGACTGAGGTCCTCCTGATTGGCTCGTGCCAGCGCCTCAGACTCGGGCAACATCAACCTCCATGGTTGCACATCTCAACTCACCAACCAGTCAGGAACCTCGGTGTCTTGTTCGACCCTCAACTGTCTTTTCTCCCCCACATTCAAGCCATGACCCGCTTTGCCTTCCCTCACCTCCGTAAAATCACCCGACTCCGCCACTACCTCACCCCTCAGGCCGCTGAAACTCTTCTTCATGCCTTCATCCCCTCCAGGCTCGACTCTGCAAATGCCCTCATTGGCCTTCCCAACTCCTCCTTCCACAGCTGCAGATAATCCAGAACTCTGTCCTCTCCCGCACCAAACTCTGTGACCCCATCTCCCCCTCTCACCGAACTCCACTGGCTCCCTATCCTTCAGAGGATCCAGTTCAAGATCCTGGTCCTCACATACAAAGCCCTCCATGGCCTCGCCCCACCCTACCTCTGCGACATCCTAACCCCTACCAACCCGCCCGTTCTCTCCGTTCAGCCGGCTCTGGTCTGCTCTACGTCCCGACCCACCTGCCCCACCATTGGCGGGAGAGCTTTCAGCCACTCTGCTCCCAACCTCTGGAATTCCATCCCCCAGTCACTCTGCCTCGCCCCCTCCTTAGCCTCCTTCAAGTCCCGCCTCAAGACCCACCTGGTCGACCACGCCATCGGCTATCCCCCCTTCCAACCCCAGCTCAGGTCTGAAATACTGTACTCTGTCCAGCGCCTTGGAACGTCCTCCCGACGTGAAAGGCGCCATACAAATGTAATCTTGTTGTTGTTATACCAGGGGGAGATTTGGAAGCAGCTCTGGATTTCAAGGGGGCAAGGGAGTTGAAAGTTGTAGAGAGATGAAAGTTGAAAGTTGTAGAGTGATGATTGTCTACCAGCTTTAGGGCTGCATTAGGATTGCTGTGGGTGGAAGGCCAGAGGGAGAAGAGGGTCAAGGAGAAAAGGCGCCTTCATGAGGGATTCGGAGGTGTGGGGGAGAAGCTTTTTCCAAGAATGGTGGGCTTGGAGGTTGATATGGAAGGAGAGGGAAATGAGGAACTAGTGATTATGGCCTTGCGTTTTTGGAGATATGTATGATGATAAGGTTGAGGGGGTGGCAACAATTGTGGGTGGGGGAGTGTATGGGCGGGTGAGGTTTGGTGTGGAGAGGAGGGCAGCAAAATCAGAGGTGGGGCAAGAGGAGTTTAGCTCAAAGTTGAAATTGCCCTTTATAAGCAGATGTTCCAGAGGTTGGGGGCAGAGTGGCTGATTGCCCTTTATAAGCAGAGGCAGAGGGACAAAATGAGATGTCAGAGATTTGTTTGTTAAGGAATCATAAAGGCTTGAGTTAACCCCAATAAAGGAATTCAATGTTTTTTGTGTAAAACACTTTCCACATTCAGTTTCTTTTATTGAAATAGATGTCATGAACAAAGATATATATTTCAATCTGTATTACCACCACAAACTGCAATTCTGACGAGATAACATTTTTGCAACACAAGATAAAAGACAATTAACTTAAAAGATAACTAACCTGCACAAGTAATTCAAATCTTAAAAAGTTATTCTAAGTAAACTTATGTTGATTGTATTTGCTCAATCTGTATCCAATTGTATTTAAAATACATTGAAGGGCTTTAATCAGAGTAACCGTTGCTCTTTACGCTGCGAGCAGCATCGACTAGGCGTGTAACCTTTAAAGTGCAGCTTCCTTGCAGTTGATGAATTAGGGCACTTCAATAGAGCTGTAGTGTTGCCTTAACAGAAGTTTAAAAAGAAACAAAATCAATTTATTGGATAGTACCTGTGAACTTTGTTTTTACCTTATACACTGATTTCATCCTTTCCCGTGTCATTGAGTAACTCATTTTTGTTATCAAAATACATTGTTCATTGTTCAATTTATATGAGGACAATTATTTCTGAAGAATAAATCCCTTTAAGGTAGAGTTTCCCACTGTATACCTCATGTTTCTTCATGAATCCAAATCTGGTATCTATCTGGCTTTTATTTCTTTCCAAAAGATCTCGAACTACATCGTCGGACTGGGAAGACAAAATAAAGCATCAAACTTTACAAACTGCATGTTAGGCCTGGTACTAAAGGCTACTGCCTAGACACAGTAAACAAGTGGTTTAGATCAGGGTGTTTATAGATTGCCTATTTAAAATTGGCATTGCAACTAAAGTACAATGAAATTAAGTAATACAAGATGTAAAGGGAAACCTCGGAATATTGCTTATGTGACCTGAGGGTGTTTCTCAATTCCAGCATTCGGCCTCGGCAGCCAAAATATTGGAGCTACCCGCTGTCTTAGATGGTTGTAAACTGTGTGTTAGAGGAAGCACCAGTCAAAACAAAGTGTTGCAATCTCATTCCCAACCACTGACATAAATTTACATTTATACAACAAATCGTAACTATATAGCACCTTTCATATTGGGAGGACATTTCAAAAGGTTTAACAATGTTGAAATAGGCACCTGAGTTGGAGGTGGGAGCCGAGCTTTGGGAAGGGGGGGCAGGGGAAGGATGACCGAAAGCATTGTAAAAGAGGTACAGGTGGTAGGCCTGGATGAAGAAGATTGTTTAGCCCATCTCATCTCATCATCCCTCCAGAACACACACACCCCTCGCCCCCAATGGCTGCTTTCTAAAGGATCCCAGTGCCTTGGCCACCCTTCCTAATGCCTTGTTCCAGTTGTTAATTATCCTCTGCTTAAAGAAAAGCTTCATGATATCTATCTTGAATTTGCGCTCTGCAACTCTAAACCTGTAGCCTCTGGTTCTTGTCTTTGACAGAATGAAAACAGGCCACTACAGTCCGTGCCGACGTTTATACCCCACAGGAGTCACCACCCATTCCTCACTCCCTCCCTTACCCTTCTACTCCCCTTCCCTTTATACGAAGTCTGGCTTCCTCTTGAATGAATCTATAGTATAAGGTTCAACAACTGCTTCAGGTAGCGACATTAAATTCTGTTTGAGATCCCCTAGTGGTTATCTTATACTTGTGTGCCCTAGTTACAGACTCCCCAACCAGTCGAAACAGCCTAGTTAGGTTAACCTTATCAAATGTTTTCAAAATGTTAAACACCTCTATTAGGTCCCCCTTTAAATGTCTTCTCTAGCGAAAAAAGCCCAACATATCCAGTCTCTCCTGATAGCAGTAACCTGTATTGGTATTTGTACTGTACATCAGGTACATATGCTTTATATTCAAAATGACATTTTGATGTGATGTCACAACATGAAATGCAAGGATTATCTGGATGAAGATTATCTTACCCCTTCCATCAGGGTGGTGCACTGTGAAAGATCAGTGTTATTGCTAAGGCTGGGAGCTGCCGAATCACTGTTGATAAAACTGGTGACACTGATGTTTCTATACAAGTGATGTCCTAATTTTTCAAAGTTTCCCTGCGAGTCCAATCCATGTCGCATTAGCGCGATCCGTGAGGTATCAATATGGTAGGGAAATCTTGAATTTGAATGGAATGGTCTGACTAGAAACTGGAGACAAGATCTTGCTTTAAGCTAAAATGCAATAAGTTTAAATACAAATTCACTTGACATTCAGTTTACTTTGTGGAGACAGTTACAAAATCTAATTTTCCTTTGATCAGATTATTTAGCAGAAAATAAACATCTCCCGCCCCTCTATAGCCAGGCTTCAAGTGGTTTTGTGGCACAGATTGATTATCAGCATCTGCAGTGTTAGGAAAGTACCCTCGTGGGTGCGTTTGTCACCTCCTGCTTGGATTACTCCAATGCACTCCTCGCCGGTCTCCCCAGCTCCACCATTCACAAGATCTAGTTCATTCAAAACCCTGCCGCCTGCATACTGATCCGGACCAAACTCCGTATCCACATCTCACCAGGCTCCCCATGACCGAATGGATCGACTTCAAGATCCTCACTCGTGTTAAAATCCATTCATTCAAATTCATTGTTAGTAACATTGGTCGGGGATGGAGGGAGTCTTTTCTATAGAGCTGTGCAATGCATTGATACATCTTGGTCAAGGTATTAGAAGCAGCAGACCAGCTGAGTGCAGGAACAGGGAGGAGCGTGCAATTTTACTCGCAGAGAAACAGGTGAGGCTGTGTGATGGCCACGGTTCTTTTGCCATTCCCCTTTTCTCACCTGAATTTCTCACCTTTCCCAGAGGTAGGTGTATTTCTCACCCGTTTTAGGTCAACCAGGAAGAATTCTGCTCCAGTGACTACATTTGGAGAAGAAGCAACCTCAATCTCCACACCATCCTCTGTACCACAGTCCATAATAGGTACCACAGGTGCTGCTTACTCAGTTACAATTAACATTAATAACCTCTGTCAGTAACCTACCAGCATAACTACATAGGCATAGAACTTCAAAAACAGGAAAACTGTGTTCATGATACGCTCGCGTTTCCATGGAACAATAATAAATTGTCCCAAAATATTACTGAATGGCACCACAAAAAACCTGGGAGAGGAGAATACACAGATAAAATATACATAATAGGTAGATGTACTAAACAAATCCAAATTCAAAGAGAACTAGAATTGGGTCTAAGTAATGTGGTTTGTAACTACTTCAATCAGTTCTGTGTTTATTTGTTTAAAGTTAAGATACCTGTAGCTTAGCTGCGGTCTCCCTGGTTTAGTTATTTGTGTCCTTTTACCAATGGAGCAAAGAAGGTTAAGGGGTAATACGATAGAGATGTTTAGGATAATGAAAGGGTTTGAGAGAATTAATCGTGAAAAACTCTTGGTAGGGACAAAAGGATGTGAATTCAAAACTGTGGTTAAACAACTACAACAACATTATATTTATATAGCGCCTTTATCGTCGGGAGGATTCCAAGGCGCTGGACAGACAGAGTTTCGGACCCGAGCTGAGGGTTGGGATGGGGGAGGGCAGGGGGTGAAGCATGGAGATCGTAAGCACGATCGAAGAGGAGGGTCTTGAAGGTGGTGAGGGAGGGGATGAGATGGAGGGACTGCAGGATGGAGTTCCAAAAGGTGGCGGAAGGCCCGCTGCCGATAGTGGGACGAGCAAGGCGGGAGACATGAAGTAAGCCAGAGCCCACGGAGAGGAGGGAGTGAACAGGATGGTAGGGGGTTAGGAGGTCGGAGAGGTTGGGGGGAGCAAGACCATGGAGGGCTTTGAAGGTGAGGACTAGGATCTTGAACTGCATCCTCTGTGTGATTCAGGGAGTAAAGAAGCGGTTTGGAGGAACGTCTTCTCTCAAAGGGTGGTTAAGGGTGGGCAATGATTTGCCAGGGGCGGCTGTTAAGAGCAGAGCCAGTTAGGGCGTTTACAAAAGAATTGGACAAGCACATGTAGAGGAAGCATAATAAAGGGTATGGGGTAAGAGCAGAAAATTAGAATGGTTGGCTTTTCGGACATAATAATGCTTTCATTTGATATCATGTTGTCACAACGTCTTAAAGCCCTTCACAGGATATATCGTAAAGCGGAATGACTGTGTATTTTTAGGCGAAAAGAAGAATAGATTAAAATAATTATTTTTGTATTTGATATAGCATCTTTAACATTCTCTTTCATTCTGTAAGGATGAGGTCAAATGGGCTGAATGCCCTTGTACTGTCTCGTACATTTCTACTGTTCTATAGTTTCAGCACCTTGCTATAGCTTGGACTGTTAATTATGCATCAGACACACTTGTTCAAGAAATCGTTTTTAAGTACTCAACAAGTCAATGCAATACTTGCTACATTGTCGGAGGTGTCATTTTTCTAATGAAATGTTGCCTGAGGTCCTGTTTAGGTGGACATTAATAATCCTGTAACGCTTCAGAAAAGCATTTCTCACAAAGTCCTGGCTAATAATCCTCACCATTCACACCTTTTTTTGCCTCCAAATACAGCCACTACCAATTGCTGTGAATCATTTTGAGACATTTCGATATGATAAAGCACTTTAACACGCAAAGCTCTAATTCACTTCTTTCTCGGTGTAAAACTTCATAATCTTTTTGCTGCTCTCTCGAATTGTGTATGAGCACAAATGAACCAAGGAGTTAACTCACCAAAAGGTGAAGGCTGGGAAGAAATAGCTGTAAAATGGCTGTTTCTCAGGATGCTGCTGTAAAATATGATATGTAGAATACGAAAACCAAAGTGCAGTCAGGAACTGCAAGGCTGTCACAGCAAAGCCGAATGGGGACTCCAACCCTGTCTGTACCTTTCCTGGATCCATAAGCTGCAAATAACATGTTCAAAAACACATTTGTTCCTTTTTGCTTTAATCAGAATCTGTGTGTTGAGATCTGTGTTATGTTTAACCTCTGTTGCAATGCATCAGCAGCAATATATTCTCAAGCAATCTACCTCTATGTTTATGTTGAACATTCACTGCTATATAATAATAAAAAAACAAAAATCTACCAAAATCCACTTTTTATTTTATGGATACTTACGTGATTCTCATCAATGAAGAACCAGGTGTACAAAAGTGAAAACATGACCGTCAATAGGCAGACAGCTACTGCACTAGAATGATCAATCTTGGCCCTGGTCACAGAAAAAGAGATTGTAATAATTTGGACTAGATGGCTTCAGTCACGTCTCCACTATTGTGGAATCCTGTAGCATATTGATTAGCACACTCGCCTTGCAGTAACTAGGAACCCCTGTTGATAGCCAATTGGTGGATTGCTTTTCCGGGGGTAATAATCCCTTTAAAAATAAATAATAATTTTGTCATTCAATGCATGACTGTTTGTGGGACACTACTGTGCGGAATTGCCTGCTGCGTTTCACCCCAAAATATACAGTCAATTCACTTTACAGTACATTCTGTGAAGCACTTTGAGACATCTCAACAACATGATAAGACGCTATATTAAATGCAAGGATTATTATTATAATACAGCTTCTTTCCTTTTAGCTGCCCCCCCACTCTTGGTGCATGGCCCTTGTGCAGTGAGTTACAGCACCACCTAAACACCTGAGATCTGTTTGAATAAATAAGACTGGTGAGGTACCGTCTTTGCTAACAATAATAATCCTTGCATTTGGCAAAGTGCCCTTCACGTCAGAAGGAACTCTGTCAACATCTCACCTGGACTACATGAATCCAAAGTTCTGACCTGGGGCTTGAATCCATAACCATTTGACTCAGATGCTAAGCCCATGTGACACCTTGACAAGGGCCTCAAGTCAAATAATTTGATTAAATCTCAACCCGTTAGTACATAAGCATCCACTATGCAAACTGCTTAGAATGCGGTTGTGCCAACAAACAATAAGCTTTATCTGTATGCAAAACATCCGGTATAAGATTCGAGATTCCTCTTGTGGAGAATTATTTTATTTTCCAGCACTGATACTGCTCACCTTGACAAGCAAACAATTTACCCCAATTGATAGTAATATTACTAGTAAATCTCACCAGTAGAACAAAATAAGGGAGTAATCATAACAGTACATTTCAGTTTACATAGCTCCTTTCAAGTAAAAATAAACATCTCAAAGAACTTTATAAGATATAAATCATATACGACGAATTATTTTAAAGTAACTGATGTCTTCAGGTTAGTCTAAAAGTACAAATTAACTAGCTTTTCCTTTTACTTCTCTTGGGTTAGAGTAGTTATCTGCACCGGGAGCAATGATTGGGTAAATATCTATGGCGTACTTGGGATTCTAAATTTAGACATTTGGTTACACAGAAATCGCTTGTCAACAGAAACTCACCCTTTTAAATTACAAAACATATTTTTTATAACTTCTTACTTAAATGTTCAAAGAAGGGGAATAATCATTGGGTTAATCAAATAGGTTAACACATCAAGTGAAATTATCTCACTCCTTGCCTCTCTTCAGGTCATGGGAAGCTACTTATTGCCCTGTGTTTATCTGATCTATCTGCATTTGCGATTTGCCTCCTCCACCTAGTGGTCATATTTCCATAGGCTAGCATGTAGATTACACGGGTGCGTCATGCTAACCTTTGTTAACAGATATTATCTGTTAACATGATATGTTTACAAGATCTTTCACTCCACTTCAGAATTTTCCAAGGAGGGAGGAGGAAAAGAACTTCACCTCCTACCCACCCACATTATGACATTCCTTTTCAAAACGTCAGTAGGACGCCTCAAAGCGATTCAAAGGATTCACCATAACATGTAGTGACTGTATATTTTTGTAGGTAACCATTACAATTATTCACTTCAAAGGTATATTTATATATCTTTCACCTTGTAATTGTAAATCCATGGCTTATTAGAAGAAGCATTGGAACAAGCAGTAAGTAACTAATCACATGCAACAACCTCCCTGAAAAACACAAAATGTGGTAAACCTAGGGTAAACCTAAAACACTTTAGAAGAAAGGCAAACACACAAGTTAATTAAATATTAATTTAACTGTTTAATATTATACAGGATTGTAGTAGAAGTTTACAGAGTAAACCAATGGAATATTGAAATTAAAATTATTAAATCTTGCTTACCGATCATTTTGGCGGATTCACAACCAACTCCATTGCATCCATAAATACCAAAGTGAACGCACAGGAAGAAGCGGCCTAGAACTGGAAAGATACCAACAATAACATTATATAACTTGGTTAGCTTCTCTGACCAACAAGACCTCCACACATAAAAATATTCTTTACTATCTGCTCCCAGTTTGTATAAGAGCATTACATTGCTTCCCAGAGATCCTATGGCCTGGTTAAGATTGATAAATGAAAGGGCAGGTATTTCTCAGCACTTTTATGACAAAAAGCATAGTCACTAAAAAGCGAGAGGACCTGGGTTTGATTCCCGGATAGGGCGAAATGTTGGGCAAGTTTCCTTATTCCAAACGCCTGTTTACCTAGCAGTAAGTAGGAACCCAGATATTAGTGGATTGGCGGATCGTTTTTCCGGGGGTACTAATCCCTTCAAAAATATATAGTCAATTCACTTTACAGTATATTCTGTGAAGCGCTCTCAGACATCTCAAAGACATAATAAGGCGCTATATCAAATGCAACGATTATTATTACAATTGTTCCCTCTGTGAGTGGCCAGACATAATACACATGTGTAGCATCACTGCTGAGGCAGATTCCTATTGGCATACTCGTAGAAATGTAAGAAGAAAATTGCTATATTATAATACGATCATGGCAATGCTGGTGAAGTAAAGTAAAAAAGGATCACTGTATACTATACACTTTGTTATTCGTACCTTCTGTTCCCATAGAAACCATTAGCATCTGGTAACTAGAATGCAGCAAGCTTCTCTTCTTCAACTGACCTATAAAACAGATCAAACTTCACTAGTGTGTTTATAAAGGCATGTCTCCACCACAACCTCGCCCCCAATGCAGCGGAAACCTCATCCACATCTTTGTCACCTCCAGACTCAACTTTTCCAACACCCGCTCGGAGCTTCCCAAGCTTCTCATACAGAACTCTGCAGCCCACATCCTCTCCTGCTCTAGATTCCGAAATCCCATCACCCCCGCAGGTGAAAATTGCTTTTATTGTTTCTCTTTAACACTGATAATACAGCACAAGATATTCAGTCTTCAGCAGCACTCTACTTACGTGCAAAATAAATAGATATTCCAAACAGTATTATGAATAGGATTATTGATAGCATGTTGACTTCAAATATGCCTGTAAAGAACAGAAAAGACTTCCTTTAGTTATGTTTGTAGTTTTACATGAGATTGATTGAAACAGGAGGAAGCTATTTACCTATCTGATTTGCAGAAAAATGTCTTCTCCACAGCGTTTTTCCATTGGTCATAGTAATTTTATAATCAAGGCGTATTCCTCCGCCCTAAGTAAAATGTAGAGGGTATTCAACATTGAAAACAAAGCAAGCCACAAGCTACAATATTTCAAAATTTCCTTGTACTCATGCTAACATTTGACTTTATATGATTTGTGGTTTTATAGTATTTGACTGGAGCTTTGACCACTTTGGCAAATGTATTCAACTGACAACCGAGAGCTGGAACAGGGTCCCAGGAGGAGTGGGTGAGGCCAGGACACTGGCTTCATTTAAGGACAGCTCATTAGGTATTCCAAAGGTTGAGATGAAATGGGCCAAGCACCTTCCTCATTCAAACCTCTTTTGATCTAAGTTCGTACAAAATAGGATATGGTTGTGTAATTTATAACTTTTGACCCTACTTTGTAGAGTTGTTGAGCAAGAGAGAGAAATCCAGCAAGTGGGATTATGGCCTATACAGAAATTATATACAGATTATCACTCACTGGTTCTGTGCCAAGTCATAGAATCATAGAATATTACAGCACAAAAGGAGGCTATTCGGCCCATCTGAAAGAGCTGGCACAACTGAATGATGAGCACTCATTCCAATTGTTTTGTTACCTCAAAGAATAATAATCCTTTTACCACACAAGATTAGAGATACAAAGGACAGAATACCCCCCAAACCCCCACAACCTCCTCTGCTTCAAACCCTATATCTTTTCCCTGACCATGACTACTTCAATTTCTAGGACATGACTGGCTTATGTCCCCACGTCATCCCAAAACAATGGGATCCCTCATCCATGTTTTACCTTGTGACTAGATTTTAATAACGCTCTCTTTTTTGATCTTTCTAGCTCGACTCTTTATATCCTCCCCTGGATCGGGCTCCATATGCCCATTATCCCATCCTATACAAGTTTTTTTGATGAATAAATAATACTTTTTCTGTTATAAACTTAGCTTTCATAAACTACCAGCATTAGCATTTCTTTATATGCCTCTAGTTATATGTGTACAAAATAATTACTTCCTACCATACAATTACTGACTGCTAGAAACCACCATCTTTCCCTTGCTGATTTGAAGCCTAGTCCTCTTTGACAGTCTGTATAATTTATTCCATTTTCTTCCATCACCTGTATAGTTAAAAAGATAATACATACTAGAATGCCACAACTAAAACCGTTATTTTACTGAGTTATGTGTGTATGTGGGTGTGGTGGGGGGAATGTGTGTGAGATCTTTTAGCAGTAAATCTGTTATACACAGGGAAATCTCATTATAGCAAGGCTGGCTGGACAAATGTCTCAACAACTATGTTATAAGTGAGACATGAAAAAATAGTCGACTTCTGGGTCTCACTTCCTGTCCAATGTGTGTTAAAAACTGACCTCAGTGGTAACTTATTGCCCAGGAAGTCCATTTGTCAGCTTGGGATTCTGGCAAGTGAGCGCCTGAAGCCAGTTGTGCTGTGCAGGTAGACCTGCTCAAAATGTGAGACAGCGCTCTATCAAAGGATGCTATAACAGGGTTCCCATGTATTTATTATTGAGCCACATTTTATATAAATTTCCATTTATATACCCAATGGCTTATCAATCCTGGCTTGGCACCCAAGCTGGGATTGGGGCCGAGGGGACTGGGGAGGGTAAAGATGACCGAAAGCTCAGTAGGAGATGGAGGTCTTGAGAAGCATGTTTTCAATTCAGACTAAATAGATAAATAAATGTAATTTCCAGCTCATTGGCGTATTTTTCCTTATTGCTGCTAAAGCCATTATATTTTTAGCTCATCTTGTGTCTAAAACCTTCAGTTTCTGAAAGGTTCTGTTACTTGTTCTGGATTTTTATACTATTAACATATGGGTTAAGGGTCTGAGAACCCAGAACTTTTAATAGAACAAGTGCAAATTCTTCACTGTCCAGTGGCTTGGGATGTCCTCCTGACATAAAAGGCATTATATAAATGTATTTTTTGTTGTTGCTCATTTGTTGTCATTATTTCAAACAAAATGTACTTTTTCTCATAATATCCCCTCTTAACAAGAACAAATCATGAACATAAGATACATATATACCTGGCAACCAGATAATGGAAAACTCTGAGTGAGGTTGAATAGCTGATTTTTTTCAATGGCAGCCACTGCTTCTTTACTCCAACAGTCCTGATAAACACAATTCACAATTAATTCAGAAAATATTACAGTATAAAAGAATTACTGTATTAAACTGTATAGTTACAAAAGCTCAAACTCAAATGTGCTACTGTTAAAAGCAGCAAAAAATCAGTCAGCAGGTTATCAATCAATGAACACAACTTGTTCACAAGGCTTGGTCACTGCCTTCTCGACTGGCTATTGGGTGGTGCTTGAGGTCGCTCAGACTGACCCGCCTTTCTCTCATCCATAATAATAAAGCAAGCTCCAATATCCTGTTATCAGCTTATACTAAATGGTAAATTGTGCACATGGCACCAATTGTGCACAGTTTACCATAAACCTTCAAAGCACAACACTGTAAAGTTTATTCTGGAACTTCATTGTGCATTTGCTGAAATATTTGAACCAGTCAAGGGATATGTACTCCCCATTCTGCCCCGTTAAGTTGTCTTGCAGCCTGTATGCTCTAGTTTTACACTAATGCTGTATTCTATCCTAATATATGCATAGTGTTAACTCCAAGCTTGCATACATTAATTGGCAAACTCACTTTTGATCTATTCTTGTACACTGAAGGCCATTGGCTTTTTTCATCATGGTAAAAGAGCAGATTCACATTATATTTCTCCTATAATTAAAACACAAAATCAATTACAATCCATTATTACAGAATAGGCTTTGAATTTAAGATTTTGAAGGTCGGGGGAGGTTAAAATAAGTATTTGGGAACATACAAATCGTCCTGGATAATAATGTGCCATACCTATGCCTCCTTACTAATTAATTTTGCACAGATCAGGTAGCTGTCAAGCCCCATTAATTCACAGAATGGTATTGTGTGAGCCACTCCAGGATCCTTGCATATACCTTCTACCAGGTATAATCAGATCAGGCCTGTCAGTGGTGGAGTTCTACAAAATATTTGATGGCACTTTTGAGAATTTGGGTCCAGTATTTAAACTCTTGTACACAATTGATGTTCTATAAATACTGTAATGTTTAATGCTGACCTGGGGATACCGGATATGGTAGTTGATTTGTCCTTTTGTTGCCAGAAAACAAAACTTGGTCAAAAATACCCATTTCTGAAACAAAAATAAGACATTTGTATTTACTGTAGAACCTAAGCCTAAAAATATGTTGCAAAGCTAATGTGAAAAACTCCAATATACATTACAATTACATATCCATTAATAAGCATTGCTTAATTTTTTTTCTACTGTTTGACCATGGGTTTATATTTAGTTCACAACACAGAACTTGTTTGGTCATTCCTGTGAAGTGCTTTGAGACATTTTGACAATGTGATAAAGTACTGTAAGCAATGCAAGCATTATTATAACGTATGGATTGCACGTATTGATTTCAGCTTCCAGTGTGTCTGTTCTAACTCTAACTCCCTGTTCAATGCTTGGCGATCTTCCCAACTCTTCCCCCACCCTTTGGAACTCCATTCCAGTCCCTTTGCCTCGTCCCTTCTTTGCTTCCTTCAAGACTCTCCTCTTCGACTGTGTTTTCTCTCCTACCCCCACCCTCCCTGTCCTTCATCCTCCTGATCCCAACTACTAGCTTGGGTGCAAATTCTTGACCGTCCAGTGCCTTGGGACGTCCTCCCGACGTGAAAGGCGCAATACGAATGTAATTTGTTGTTGTTCTGCGACCTTTAAGTAAAATAATAACCTTGCAATTCGATTGAGCAACTCATTACATTGTTGAAAACTTTCAAAACGGTTCACTGAACTTAATGTAAAGTGGAGCGACTGTACATTTGTAGACAATTTGTAGCAGCTAATTTACACACGGCAACGTACCATAAGCCGCCATGTGAATGATCAATTTTATCTATGGATCCTGATATACACTTTACCTTGAGGGGATCAACACACTGCTCCGAGCACTGTGGTCCGAAGTACAGAATTTTTCAAAGCATTTTGAAAATATCAAAGCCTACAGGAGCTCGGATGCGTCTCACTTTGCTTTGCTGGAACTACGCGCGGATGTCGCTCATTTACAACTTTCGCGAAGTTGGATTATGACGATAAACTGGCACTGGTCCGAGCAGAATTTCAGTGCGTCAGGTGAGACCCCCCCACCCACCCACCCTCAGGTGTCCAGAACACAACTGTTAAATGAACAATAAACTTTACATTCGGTGGAGCACCTTCCTCGTCAGTCGGACATCCCAAAGGGCTTCACGTGATTTCACGGTAAAGTGGAGCGACTGTGTATTTTGTGGGAAAACCTGGCCACCAACCAGCTTTGTGCACAGCGGTGTCCCACAAACAGCCGTAGAGTGAGCGACCAATTTTGTTGGTGAGGGTCGTTGGGCAGGACACCAGGAGTAACGTCCACCCGGACAGACAGACTGGGGGGAGTCATCGCACTGCCCCAACCTGGACTGTGGCTGCAGCCAGAGGATAGTATGTATTGGGAGCGAAGCGCTCCAGGACGCTACCCCTCATGAAGGGCCATTTGTAAGTGTAAGTTGTTGTTGGGAGTGGGGTATGGATGGGGTGGGGTATGGTGGGGTGGGGTATGGATGGGGTGGGGTGGGGGGGGTCTCTCGCAGTGTACTGCTCCCCCTCTCTTCTGCGGTTGAGGTGCGGGTCGCTCACTCGCTCTCTGCCTCACCCGCCTTTACCTCGTCAGTCTCCACCGTGCCCGAGTCGTACTTGGCGCGGGCGGGCGGCCACCCGCTCAGGGTGAAGAGGAGGCAGGCAGCAGCCCCGCCGACTCCCACCCTCATGGGGAAGGGTCAGGGGCCCCTGCGTCCAGCCCTTAACGGCCACAGCGCACGGCGTCGGTCCGCCCTTAACGGTCACAGCGCGCGGCAGTGTGTCCCACGAACGGTCGCACGCCGCTCCGCCCCTAACGGTCGCGGCGCGCGGCACAGTCACACAAAGGCGTTCGCGTCGCGCAAACTGTGGGCGGCGGCTCCCCAGCTCCCCTTGCACCATTGGCTGATTGTTGAGTTGATTGGCGGTCCTGCAGGCCAATCGCGATGCCGAGTGGCGTGGCCACACGTCAGCAGAGGGGCGGGGGCGACCAATGCCTTCCTTCCATTGGGTAGCCCCACGGTGATTGACGGGGGTGCCAACCTATCGAGATGCGCCCTTGCTCTGGTGGTGGGGGGGGCGGAGGTTCAGCTGGGCCAGTGCACCCAAACAGACATGTTGTACATGTACATCAGCTCCGTGGGTTGATACGCCTCCGGGTCCTGTCAGTATTGTACTTGGGCATCTGTACCAATGGGAGCAGTGAAGGGGCTGTGATTAAACACCGCCCGTGTTAATGGGAGACACGAGAAGAGCGCGAGTGGCGGCCGGTTGAGCGCGAGCCGATGTGAGCCGGAGGCCCGGGGGCCGGCGGGGCGATCATGGTGCGAGTGTACAACTGTCACCCCTTCTCCTCGCAGCAGATTGTGGGCGTCGCGCAGGAGCCGGCGGCGGTGTGCTGCGGGCGGGACACGCTGTTCGTGCTGTGCGCGGGGGCCGGCAGGGTGCAGGCGTTCAGCGTGAGCCGCCAGGGGGGCTGCGAGCCGCTCTGTACCTTCAGCACCCTGGGCACCGTGCAGGGCCTGGCCTACAGCCAAACAGGTAACAACAACAACACGTCATACTTCACCCCCCCCACACACACATACACAACAACAACAACAACAAGTCATACTTCACCCCCCCCCCACACACATACACAACAACAACAACAACAAGTCATACTTCACCCCCCCCCACACACATACACAACAACAACAACAACAACAAGTCATACTTCACCCCCCCCCACACACACACATACACAACAACAAGTCATACTTCACTCCCCCACACACACATACACAACAACAACAACAACAACAAGTCATACTTCACCCCCCCACACACATACACAACAACAACAACAACAACAAGTCATACTTCACCCCCTCCCCCACACACACACAACAACAACAAGTCATACTTCACTCCCCCACACACACAACAACAACAACAACAACAACAAGTCATACTTCACTCCCCTCCCCACACACACACAAAAACAACAACACGTCATACTTCACCCCCTCCCCACACACACACAACAACAACAAGTCATACTTCACTCCCCCCACACACACACACAACAACAACAACAACAACAAGTCGTACTTCACCCCCCCCCCCACACACATACACAACAACAACAAGTCATACTTCACCCCCCCCACACACACACCAACAACAACAACAAGTCATACTTCACACCCCCCCCACACACACACAACAACAACAACAAGTCATACTTCACACCCCCCCCACACACACACAACAACAACAAGTCATACTTCACTTCCCCCCCCACACACACACACAACAACAACAAGTCATACTTCACCCCCTCCCACACACACACACAACAACAACAAGTCATACTTCACCCCCTCCCCCCACACACACAGCAACAACAACAAGTCATACTTCACCCCCCCCACACACAACAACAACAACAAGTCATACTTCACCCCCTCCCACACACACACAACAACAACAAGTCATACTTCACCCCCTCCCCCCACACACACAGCAACAACAACAAGTCATACTTCACCCCCTCCCACACACACACACAACAACAACAAGTCATACTTCACCCCTCACACACACACACAACAACAACAACAAGTCATACTTCACCCCCTCCCACACACACACACACACACTCCTGATCCCAACCACCAGCTCGGGTCCCGACCCAACTGACCAGCGCCTTGGGATGTCCTCCCGACGTGAAAGGCGCTCTATTAAATGAAATGTTGTTGTTGTTGTTGTTGAGTGCTGTGCAGTGCCTCGGGGCGTCCTCCGGATAACACAAATTGTAATTTGTTGCTGTGGATCAGTGGGCCGTGTGCATCCTGCTCCGCCAACCACCTCTGCCGAGGCTCGACTTGCCTGTTCGGGTGGATGTTAAAGGTCCGGGCGGCAGTGTTATCCGAAAAGCAGAGGGAGTCTAGTCTGCCTCTCCCGGTGTCCTGGCCGACAATCCCCCGAGACATCGTTGGGCAAATTGGCCGCTGTGTTTGCCCAGAAATTACACAGTCATTCCACTTTGCAGAGAATCCTGTCGAGCGCTTTGAGACATCCAAGCGGGAAAGGTGCTGCATTACTTTTGTGGGTTATTGTTAATTCTGTGCTTCGGGGATGATCCATTTCTGTGTGTTTGGTGACCTATTTCTGTACAGGTGACTACCTTGCAACAATCGAGGAGAGAAGTGGCATCCTGTACCTGCGAGCCTATTTGAATTGGCGACGATGCGAGGCTGGGAGAGATTGTCGAGTGGGTGTGCGGATGGTAGGACACATTCTGGACGGTCCGTTTCAAGGTGCTCCGAAAGATCAAATGGAGATTGTGGAAATGCCTCTGGCAGACCCGCCGACATGCCTTTCCTGTTGCCCTGTCAAAGGGGATCTGATTGTTGGGTGTTGGAACAAAGTGGTGTTGTTTCACTTGAAGAAACAGATCCTAGACGGTCACCCACCACTCCTGGATTTTGAACGCGTTCTAATCCTGCATTTTAGTTTAAACCCACTGAGTGTGTCTCTGTGCGATGGCTGTGTGGCTGTGACAACTGACTTGGAGGTACTGGTACTAATGTTGGAGCCTTCCCAACCGGGAGAAGCTGGTGACCAGGACAGAGCACAGAAAATGAGAGAGGTTGCTGACCCTGGGGAAGGCAAATCCGCAGAAGGTTGGTACCTGAAACTCTTCATTTTTGCTTGTGTGCGGTAACATGACCTACTCCCATCGAATTACAGTTTGAAGGAAAATGCAACAATCTGCAATATAAAACAGTTAATGTTATTTGCTCAGTCTGCAACTCTCTTGCCTCTGGGTCAGAAGTTTATGGGACTCTGAGATCACAATCTACTCTAGACTGTCTCCAGTGAGGTAGTGGTGTGCAGCATTGCCAGAGGTTGAGGTCCTTTGGATGAGTTGTTAAACCAAGGTTCTGACTGCATGTTCAGCACCAAAGTTTGGCACAAGTGAGATAGACAGTGAAGCTTGGGATCGGTGGGATTTTTTGGATGGTGGAACTGCATTGGTTTTGCTGTAAGTGAATATTCAATCAGCCAGTCCACACTCGTGTTTATCTTCATGAGCCCTCTCACTTCCCCCGCTCCCCCATACATAACCTATTCCTGTCCCACCCCTGATATTTACCTGGACACTAGTTTCAGGAGTGATGACATTTCCCCGCCATTGACCCTGACCCAAGGTGTAAACAATGTGGGGATGTCGGTGTGATCATCCAGTTTTTCTTAGGAAATATTATTTAAGTGCCAATCATTTTCACCCTTCTTGTCCACGCCTCATCTAGAGAGCAAGATTGAAGATTCTCCATCTGTTGGTCCAAGAGATGGCTCCGAGGAGTTTGTGCTGTTTCAGAGTCCGTTGGAGTTGCTGGATGAAGACACATGCGCGTCTGGAGTCTCAACCCTCTTGGAGTGGACGAGTGTGCAGGGCCTGAGGACTGATCTGCGGAACTGTTTGCACGTACGCCAGATCCTGTACAGGTAACCTAGGGTTCAGTGTGGGCTCTCTGTAACTATAAACTCCTGGGAAAGTCTGTTTCATTTATCGTCTTCCAAAGCCTGACCTCTACATGGTTCACAATAGTTCTTAAGATTATTATCCATTTTGTGAAGCGCTCCGAGATGTGAACGATACTACATGATAATAATCCTTGCATTTGGCATGGTACCTTATCATGTAGTCGAGACGTCTCAAATCGATTCATAGGATTTACTGTAAACTAAAGGATTGACTATTTTGTGGATGAAATGCGCACAGCAATGCCCCACGAACAGCTGTAGAGTGAGTGACTAATTTTATTTTAGGGATTTTTGGCCAAGACATCGCGAGAGAGAAACTCCCTTCTCTTTTTGAATATCACTTCGGGATCTTTAACATCCACCAGAACAGGCAAATGGGAACCTCGTTTAACATCTCAACTGAAGGACAGCATCTCTTGACAATGCAGTGCTCCCCCAGTTGGAGTGTCAGTTTAGACTGTGCAATTCCAAGTCCTGGAGTAGGATTTGAAGCCACATAAATGAATGTACGTTGTTCTGCACAATCTGACATTTTAAGCAGTTTCAGTTCAATGAGACGTGATGTGCGGCATGTGTTATTCTCCTGATCTCAGCATTGTGATGGCATCGTCACCAGGGTCCCTGGGTACACCATTACTGGGTGGTTTTAAGGCAAAGCCTCTGTCTGTTCTTGATATGACCTCAGGCTACCAATGATTCTCAGTGATTGAAGCCTCTGAGCAGAGAGAAGAAGCTGATTTTTGAAATGATCAGTGACACCTTCCATCGATTATTTTCCAGTGGGACTTCCACAGTAGCTCACTGTGATCTGGTGCATTAAAATAAGGCAGTGCAACCCGTCTTATCCTTTCTCTGACTGTGCATTTGGTCAACACTAACATCCTCTCCTCTCTGCTTGCTGCTCCCAACTTCTCTGTGAAGCTCCTGGAGATGTTATTAGAGGTGATATGTAAATGAAAGTTATAATTGCTTCAATCCTCCATCCAATTTTTGGGGACTTTTTGAGATATTTGATTCTTGGATTAAATTTGGTTCATATTTTGATGTTGATCAGTATCAAATCAAAAAATGATCTTTTTATGTTCTGACAGTTTGCGTTCTCTTGATTTCCTTCCTTCACCTACTTCCTGTTTCCAAGCTTCTACTGTGTACTATTTACCATGACTGTCTGGTAACGGAATTTCCCCAGATTCACCTCCCTACCTCATTTTGCCACACTGAACCCATTGTAAACATTTAAATATAACATGGGGACATCTCTGATGGTATAGTGGGTAGAGCTGCAGCTTACAAACCAGGATCTCAACCCTTGCTGAGTTTTCTGGCAACTAGGGTTGACCAGGCTGGTGAAATTGGCCCTGGACTTTCCAGTGTTAGGGAAGGGAAAAACAGCCAGTGTCTTAGTCGTTGGAATCGCATCACCTAAGATGACACCCCAATGTAGTGCTGAGGGTGTGTTTCATTATCGGAGATGCCATCATTTGGATGAGACATTAAACCGAGGTCCCATATACCTGTTCAGGTGAATGTTAAAGATCCCATAGCACTAAAAGAGAAGGGAAATTCTCCCAGTGTCGTGGCCAACTAATCCCCCAAATCAAATTGATCATTCGCTCCCCGGCTGTTTGTGGGACACTGCTGTGCTCAAACTGACTGCTGTGATTTGCCCACAAAATACACTTTACAATAAATCTTGTGAAGCACTTTTAGAAGTCTCGACAACATGACAAGGCGCTACATCAAATACAAGGATTATTATTGTTATCACATTCATTGGTCACACTAAATTTAAACTTAATAGCTGTGTAGTTTTTGAAAAGTGAACTTTTTTCTCTCTCCAGGCGTTTTGCTCCAGATCTCTCCCATATTTACTCCATTGAGGAAACTGCTCTGCATTCTCTCCAGCTCTTGCCCATGTACACAACAGGTCAGAAAACATTCAAGACATTTACAGAGCCCATGTTCAGACAGTAACCCTCGGCTTTTCCCCAGGCCCAATCCATCCAAACTCTGGGGTTCCTAAAGCCAAACGCATTGTCTAATCCCATAACCTGGTGTGTTGGGTATTCACCTCCCAGCTCAGTGCAGTCAGTGAACAAACATCCTCAACAGGTCTGTCTGTAGAATTTCAATAATCGAGCAACACTTTCTGTGGGTCACAATGGTCCCATTTTGAGGTGATTTGGGGAGGAAATTTAGGCTACACATCTTCCTCCCTCATCCTGTTCATTGTTTATTTCCCTTTAAAAATTGCTATGCAGTCTGCCATCAAAAGCCATATGTGGTTAAACGTTCCGCATTCTCATGGGGGAGGGAGGCAGCCCTGTGCATATTAATGTATTGGTTAAATTTATATCTCTATTGAAATATACAGATTAAACATTCTCAGATCAATTATTTTTCTGCTCAACAAAACATTTAGCACAACTTTTTTTTCTTTTTGATTTTACTTTTTGTTTAGAAACCTGTGGGCTTTTTCTCCAATCTTATTTTGCAATCTCTTCCTTTCCCCCCCCACCACCACCCCGGCTAGGATGTCCGCCAGGGAGTGAGGAGAAGGAGATACTCAGCCTCTTCTGTTTCTTCTCGATGCCACATGTGGGCTACTTGTATAGCGTAGGAAAGATGGTGCAGCTGCTCTCGACCTATCAATATCCAGAGAAAGCGAAGCAAGCAGTTCTCAGCTCCCAGTTCCTGCACGTCATCACCAGGTACACAATGCGGACTCCGAGTGGGTTAATCTTATATTTAGTTTTTTTTAAAAAAATCCCCCACCAGGTCTGCCGCATCATTGGTGAGGCCTTTATCAGAGGCCTTTATCCTCTCTGCCCACCCACCCTTTGGAACTCCATCTCACAGTCCCTTTGCCTTGCCTCCTTCAAGGAACATCTCAAGACCCTCCTCTTCGACCACGCCTTCGGTCACCCTCTTACCCGTAGCCTCCCCTGCCCTCCATTCCCTTGAACCGAATCCCCTGTGTACAGGATTAGGCTGGTTCATTTGGACACTTAATTGAAACAACATCAACAAGGGAGATTGACCTTACTAATGGAATATTCTTTCTCTCCCTCGCCCCCCCCCACCTGGCTTCGGAATGGCTGGCAGGAATGACTTGCAGTGTTACACAGTCAGGTGCAGTGCAGTAGCTGCCCGGGATGAGGATCCGGAGATGGACACAAATAACAAGGTGATGATGATGATTCTTGCATTTGATAAAGCGCCTTATCACGTCTTCAAGACGTCTCAAAGCGCTTCACAGAATATACTGTAAAGTGGATTGAATGCATATTTTGTGGATGGAACGGGCAAAAGGTAATTGTCTCTCTCACACTTTCAAAATGGATAAATCTTCAGTATGATTTGAAAGCCAGTTTCTTTTTATGAACTGCAGAAAAAAATGACTTCCGGATTCAGAGTAAATAGTCCCCAGCAAGGTCTCCCCGATGAGATTGAGTGGAGAATGGGTCGCCAAGGAGACCCAAACAAGCCCCAGGTTTGATGCTGCAGTTATAAATGCGCCCACATACACTCTGGGCTGGATGGTGACGAGCTGCTTTTATTGTCTGAGGCCGGTAAAGTCATCCTTGATTGTGTGTCCTTATGTTTCATACACATTGGATAGTACCATGATCTACCACATGAGGGCACAGTAAAATCTTCAGCTGGAGGCACTATCAAAATAAGTATACTCAGCCCCCAAGTATCCCATTCACTTCTTTTTCCTCTCATATCAGTGGCCTGATCCATGGATTACCTCTATTAACATTCACCATTTGTCAGAATCGATTGAATTGTGGCTCTGATCATCTGTATCATAGTACAGTGGAGGCGGGCAGCAGTCCACATTCCTCATGGTGCGTCCTGGTGCTAATCTTTCCTTGTGCTTGTGTGTTTCTCTGGTTAGGCTTGTCCAGCCTTTTTCATGCAAGTATGCGCTCTGCGCATGCAGCTCTTCATTGGGCTGCAAGCTGCATGTCACTCCAGAAACCATCTCATCCTGCTGACCAGAGCTGAAGCTGAAGTCAGTGTTGAAGAACGTGGATCAAAGAAGCTGTCGTAAGTGTGTGTGCGTCAACTCGAGGCATCTTGTCCATCAAATAGCCTTCCTCTTGGCGCCTGGTTAAGATTGTGTCTTCAATCCCCAAGCTGGGACTTTGAGCTCACAGTCATGGCTGACATTCTTAATAAAAGGGAATTAGCCCCATGAAATGACTAACATTAAGATGGGCCTCACAAGATCACACAACTGGTTTGGATGAAGATGGCCCTGTTAGATCTCATATTGCCCGAACACCAACTCTACTTTTCCTATCAAAATATCAAACAGTTTCTTAAATTGGGTCCAGTAACCACCCATCCTGGTAATCTGTTCCAGTCATTAATTATCCTCCAAGTAAAGTAATACTTCCTGGTGTATGTCCTGAAATTGCCCTTTTGTATATCTAAACCTGGATCCTATTCTGCTGTCGTGATGTAACTAAAGTTTTGTTCTGGATTTATTTTTTTCTTCAAGCATCTGTCCTGTTCCCTTTTGAAATGTATGAAATTTGCCTTGTCTATAGCTTGTGACAGAGAATTTTACATTTTCCTCACCCTCTTGAACATTAATACATCTTACTGCAAAGAGTACATTTAATTGTCTGCTTGTCTGGCTTAGCTTCATTCTAATTTTCAATTGATGCAAAGATGTGAATGATTTTGTCAGAATGAAATTCCTGTTTGATCTTTGTTTCAGGCTTCATAAACCCAAGGCTAGTAAGAAGAGAGCACCGGTTACTAACCAACCAGGGTGGAATTTATATTGTCTGCAGATCATTCCGACGATTCAGTTGTGCAGGGAGATGGTGAGTATGTGCATATTTACGCACACTGCAATAGTGCTACGTTTGTAGACTTGATGTGATGGATATGTGCAAATGTAATGGTAGGCATGCGTGTCTGTTCAAACTAATTGTGTGCATGTGCTTGCAGTTTAATTTGTGCATATGTGCGTGTGCTCACAGTTTAACCTTTGTATGTGTGCATGTGCTTGCATTAACTGTGTGTGTGTGTTCACACTGTGTAATGGATGGCATTGGGTGGGACTAACGTGTGGTGTGTGCAATGCCTGCAGGTGGAATACAGTAAGAGCTATGAAGCCTGCAGTCCCCAGAGCTACGTGCATCTACTGAGCGAGGCCCACTTGCTGCTGAAAGCAGCGCTGCTGGAACCTAGCCCATGTGACCCAGACAAGAGAGAGGATGTGCTGTCTGCTTTCAAAGAGAGCTGTTTGCAAATGGGAGACTGCTACAGCCGGTGCGTGTATTCCTGTCCTGCCTTGTGCTGTGGTTACATTGAGCTGATTTATTTACTGACGATTGAGGGCACTCCCCGTCCCACTCTGGGTATTGAGCCTTACACAAGTCATCAGAGGTTCCAATAAAAAAGTCATTTCAGCCCATTTGATTGCCATGCTTCCAGAATCTCCCCCCCCCCCCCCCCACTATTCCCATCACAGCATGAAACTTTTTTTAAAAATGAATCCAGTGTCTGGTTAAAGAAATACTTTCCTTTCATCCTGCTCCCTTATTGCTTTTAGGGATCTTGGGAGACACTGAATTTACGGATGGGTATTTTATTATATCTAAGGTCCCTGGATACAGAACCTCCCACGCAGCACCCCTCCCCACAGCACTGTGCTAGGGTGCCACCCCCAACAGTGATCTCTGGTGTGAGGCTTGAGCCCACAACCTCCTGACCCAGAGGTGTGGATGTGAGGCTGATTGAAGTGAGCTCTCCAGCCTTGACCTCAGTGCTGTCTTGCTCGAGCCAGCCCGAGGTCAGACAAATTGGCCATCATGTTTCTGGAGGTGTTGATATCATCTAACCTTTTCTTTGGAACAGGCTTGACATGGATGACTTCCACTTGGCCCTGCCCTACTACCAGATGTCTGGCCTGCCACTGAGTGACATCATCAGCACTCGATTCTCGTGGGAGAATAAGTCTCAGAAATTTGGCAAAGGATTTATTTACTACTTGAAGCATTGCATCTGCCATGAGGGACAAGACCTGTTGAGTGAGGTGAGCACTGTCGGACCTATTCCAATTGTTTACTTTCATTGTGAATGTGGCTGAAGAGATGAGACTTTAAAGCCTGGCACCACCTGGCCGTTTTGGTTGGGTTTTGTCGATTTCAGCCAGTGTTGCCTTCTACAATTTTATGTGGTTCGGGTCCTTGTCATGTTATCCTGTCTCAATCCTCAAGCCATCTCGAGGCCTAACTGGTCATTCCTCCCCTCCCCCTCTCAGCCTCTACTTTCAGCCAGTATTGCTGAGCACCTTGGGATATCCTCCTGATATGAAAAGGGGTCTACAGAATATAGTCAATTCACTTTACAGTATATTCTGTGAAGCGCTTTAAGACATCTGAACGACTTGATAAGGCGCTATATCAAATGCAAGGGTTATTTATTAATTTCATTTTTGTCTAAAACTCTAGGAAATGGCAAACCAGGTGCTGCATGTGTTCAAGGTGGCTGAACCCACATACATCCCCCACGCCCTGTGTAGCCCATGCATGGGAAACATCTGCCTCAGAACAGCCTGGGACCATCTAGAGAGACTGTCCATGGTCAGCCCGTCACCACTGGTAATGCTCACCAAAGCCTCCTTTGCATTGAGATTGCAGGACCTGCAACAGTACAACACGCAGATGGAAAGATACACTGAGGTAGATATAATAATAATCGTTGCATTTGATATTGTGTCTTTCACACCAGGAGGCCAGCTCAGAATGCTTTCTAGAATTTACTGCAAGTTCTAGTTACTGTGTATTTGTGGATGAATATGGCTCTCAATTTACCAATCCAGCAATATCCTAAAATGACTTTCCTGATTGCCACTGTGGGTTGCTGGGATCCATGTGTAAACATTGTAGCACTGAGGTAGAGCACAGTTGTAGTTGGTTAATGTTTATCCAATGTTCTTTTATATTGCCCACTTCAAAAACCATTTGTGAAATGTTTGCAGATGATATTATGCTGTCTCCTCGAGTTGGGTCCTTGAAGGTACTGATTGGAAGATAAAAGGGCATTGGTCCCATTTGTTGATTTTTATTGATACCTGGGGTTGTAGTGAACTTTTGCTCTGTGGGAAGAGACAAAGAGCAATCTGTTCAGAAGGAGCAGCTGCAGGTAGGGCTCAGGCCAACACTAAGCAGTTACTGAGCATCAGGAGACGGAGTTGGTTTTACGACGACATGTCTAATTGTCAAAGCCCCTCGCATAGGACCTGCGTCAGCCTGATTTGGACCTTGAATATCAAGGTGGTTACCCTGTCACAAGCTGTCCTGTAAAGGTCCTCCCACCATGCTGAAGGCATGTGTGTGGCAGAGAGGCAGTTAACCCAAAGAAAATTGAAGTAAAGTATTCATATCGTAATACCTTTGTATTTAAAAAAAATCAAAGGGCCTTTTCACCTCTTTTCTCTGTTGCTAGCTCTGTATGCTATATGTGTGATGTTCTAAGATTGGGGTTAAGATGTATCATTTAGTGGAGAGCTTTTTCGCCCTCTAACCTAACACTGCCTCTCCTCCAGATGAAGTTGGTTTTGGGTTTTGTGGATGAACCAATGCTCTTGCTGTGTGGCGGCATTGTGGCCACAGAGCTGGCCCGGCACCTGGAGAAAACCCAGCCTGGTCTGCTCATCACTGCCTTTGTGGCTCTTCTAGACAGCAAAAAGCTTCAGCTTGAAGAAGCGGATTTGTTCTTTCGGGTCAGTTACCACAATGTGTACTTCCAGGGCCTCTCAGTGATAATGGGGTTCATAGAATATTACAACACAGAAGGAGACCATTTGGCCCATCGTGCCTGTGCCAACTCCTTGGAAGAGCTACCCAACCAGCCCCTCTCCCCTGCCCTTACCCCATACCCCTGCATTTTTTTTCCTTTTCCAAGTATCCATCTGTTTTCACGGATCACAGAGTGGGAAGGGAGTTTGAAAGTGTAAATGTCAAAGTGGGGGATTTTTAAGAGGATTTTGAAGCAGGAAGAGTGGCAGGCGGGTAGCTGCTCGTGTTGGGCTCTGAGGTCAGAACCTCCACTGCATACAGCCTTGAGAAAAGTCTGAATGCAGAGGGCAGCTTTTCAGTGAATTCAATTAAGGGATTTATTGCTGATCTTTGATGTCAGTAGTTGTGGTTTACCATTCTTATCTAAACTTACAACAGTCCATCACCTCAGTCAAGTAACCTTACAGGTACTGAAGTCAATGTGAACAGGATTTGAGGTGAAAACTCAGCATTCTAACTTCCCAACACCCAACTCTGAGCTTCTGGCTTTACAGACCTTGAGCCTCTTGTAAGGCTGCTGGCTTCACACATGTTGGCAGCATTCCCAGACATTCCATTCCAGGAATCTAGCAGCATGTGATGTGTCTGGAATGTCAGCCACTGTCTCAATGCCCATTACTGCTAAAACACGTGCTCTTTGTCACGCAGAGGCTGACTGTCTGAGTGAGGCTGATGCTAATTGTGCCTCTTTAGGAGATCTGTAAGGAGGAGGGTGAAGAGCCTGTGGAGCCGCAGCTGTTGGTTGATTTCTGGGAGGCCATGTTGGTTGCTGGCAACGAGGAGGAGCTGGTGCAGAGGCTGCTGGGAAAGCTGGTGTCGGTGTATGTCCGTAGAACGGCCGCCAGGCTGGAGCCTGAGCGCAAGCCACTCAGAACATTGGAGGACCTGGTAGTGCACTAGCGGCGCAGGCATGGTGGGGCACAGGGGTGGTGGGGGTGGGGGGGCAGGGAATTGTGCCGGGGGATGGGGGTGAGGCGGTGGCAGGAAGGATGTGGGGACGGGGAGCTCAATTGTACTGAACCAATTAGCTTAGATGTTCCACATGTTGATATTCCCCCAGATCAGCTCGTGTTCTCACTTTGGTACAATTTTCTCTTGGGTCAATTTTATCAATGCACCAAGTGATCACCCGCCAAGCTTCCCGGAGGATCTGCAGAAGTTGCAGGTTTGTATTCATCTGCAGCGTTTTGCTTTTGGATTTTGGCTTTGTGAGAGAGCCAGGGCCCTTGCTCTGCCCTCCCCCCTTCCCCAATTCCCCACAAATAACATCATCTCTCCTTCCTCCACAGTCCCTGTTGTGTGGCCCCTCAGTTGATGTGAAGTCTGTTCTTCCTCTCCTGCGCCAGTTCCCTGAAGACAATGGCCCTGGGCTCAGCACCAGTGCCCTGTGTCAGACTCGCCTAGGGCTCTATGACAGTGCTGTGGATCTGCTCCTCGACCACTGTCCTCAGGCTGTCCTTGCATTTGCCAGGTGTCACATGCAGCACCAAAACCAGGTTTGGATCAGATGTTTTACATACCGGGTGGCACAAATTGCCTACACAACAGTCTTGTGCTCAGGGTAATTCACGCAGAAAATAGCTTTGTAATATCTTGATTAAACCACTGTATCGAATACAAGTGTTGAGAACCCAGTAACCATGATTGTAGTCGGCTCTTTTGTAGCCAGGGTCTGTGGATTGGGATTGTTTCTGAGGCTGACCTCATTCTGCTGATGCCAGTGACCTATTTTTGCTTCTCCAGCCTCTGTGGTGGAAAAAGCTTTTGCCTGAACTGTGCAGGAGGACGAGAGGAGATGGGAAACACCACAGTGTCCTCGTTGCTTCACTGAAAGGTATTCTCAGAGAGATATATATAATGTGCTTTTTTATATATATGTGTATATATATATATATATATATATATATATGAGCTCCCTAACCCCATTTCTCCAGTCTCTCCATGTTGTCTCTGTGCTGGCTCTCGCTTTCCCACTGGATCTCTCCTTTCATCCTATTCCCTGCTCTCTCCTCATCGTGTCTATGCTGGTGCTCGCTCCCCCACTGGAGCTCTCTACTTCCCCTCGACTACTCCTACAGTTACCTCTCATACTGGAGTGCGGTTTCCCAGCTGCCTCAACCACGGAACCTTCTCCAGATGAGGGCCAACAGGGAGTTTTGTAACTGAGCCCTTCTAAAGACAGTTGATAGTAGTAATCGTGTCTTAATTTGGATTCTAGCTTTTTTTTAATGAACTGCCAAATTAAGACAACTTAATTTCTGATGGTGATGTAAACGGTTTGGGACAAATGACATCTCTCAGGTTTTCTGTTTGTTTCCTGTAGAAACACTGGCCATCGTAGCCACAGAACTACAGCCCTTGGATTTTCTGGCATTGTTGCCAGATGACGGTCGAGCCATGTTTTTCCTGCCCCATCTCCTGGAGTGTAGCAGGAAGGTGTCTGTGATCTGAGGAGATGCAACTGTTTTGTAAGGAAAATCCAGAGCCCTGTGACAAGATGTTTGAAATTCCTGATAATCAAGAATGATTGAACAGAATCCTGTCACTCGCCTGATAGTGTGTATTCAACTCAAGTCTGTTGCGCAGCGCAATGTGACACTGAAATCCAATCAATCTGCTGCAAGCACTTACACAGCATTGCTTATTCAATGAAATCACGTTTACTTCAAGACATCTGTTGTGCTTTGTTGGACCCAATTCTGTTTCTTCAAGATCTTACACACTGGAGTGGGATTCGTTCGCAGCGTGCTGTGCTGCTCTTCTCTGGTATTATGCACTGAAACAAGGCATCTTGTCATGTTCCACCCACACAGCTCTTCTGCTTTGACGAGCTCTGTTTTGTTACATTGACTCCTACGCTAAACATATCTCTCTGCTCAGTACTTAATTCTGTTTATGTTTCAATGAGACAGACGTCGCTCTGTGTTGTGCAATATGCTAATGTCAACTGTCTTGTCTGATGGTGGGCCAAACAGGTCCCAGGTCTGCCAGCTCAGGTCCTAGCCAATGGGAATTAAACGTCACTCTCCCTTGACTGAAATCATATGAATGAGAATGCTGTAAAATTCAAATCAGTCGAGGATTTGGATGAAATTGCTGAACTTCAATATCCCACTGTGCTTATTAAATATTTAATTTTTTTTACAGAACTGAGACTTGACTCACAATTATAAATTTATTGCCAAGTAGACAAGCGAGTTCATTCTTTTTGTTTATCTATTGAGTCATTATCATGTGTTACCTGCCCAACAGCCTCTGCAAAACAGTTGCAATGATCGAATCTGAAGGACATGTTTGTCTTTAAGTGTAACTAGCTGTCGCTCAATGTTTTCAGCGGCCAATGGTGGCTGTTAACCAGAAGATCCGAATAAAGTCTTGATTCCATGAAAGATACCTTTTTTTTCTGAATGGGAGAGAGAGAAATATGGGACAGATTTTCAATCTCAATAAAGTTACTATCCTCAGATTGGTGTTGCATTATATAATTGCAGTATAGTGAGGAGCACACTGTCTCTCACAAAGCATCTGTACTTCCTTTAGCAGCTATGAAGAATGCTTATTGTTTCTCAGTCAGTAACATTCTGAGTCCAGTCAGTCAGCTCATAATCCATGTTGAGGCCCGAGTGCATTGCTGGGGAAATCTGCATTGTTAGATTTGTCAACCTTCAGATGAGATGTTAAACTGAGGTGATATCTGCCTGTTCAAGTGGACATTAATGATCTCTGTTGGCACTATTGGAATTGAGAAGAGAGTGTTGAGGCCTTCCTGATTAGCTCGCCTCAGGCTCTGGCAACATCAACCTCCATGGTTTCACACTCAACTCGCCAAGCCAGTCAGGAACCTGGGTGTCTTGTTCAACCCTCAATTGTCTTCTCCCCCACATTCATGCCATGCCTTCCCTCACCTCCGTAACATCGCCCGATTCCGCCACTACCTCACCCCTCAGGCCGCTGAAACTCTTCTTCATGCCTTCATCACCTCCAGGCTCGACTATGCAAATGCCCTCATTGGCCTTCCCAACTCCTCCCTCCACAGGCTGCAGATAATCCAGAACTCTGCAGCCTGTGTCCTCTCCCGCACCAAACTCCGTGACCCCATCTCGCCTGACTCCACTGGCTCTCTATCCTTCAGAGGATCCAGTTCAAGATCCTGGTCCTCACATACAAAGCCCTCCATGACCTCGCCCCACCCTACCTCTGCGACCTCCTAACCCCCTACCAACCCGCCTGTTCCCTCCGCTCAGCCGGCTCTGGCCTGCTCCACGTCCCCTGACCCACCCGCCCCATCATTGGTAGAGAGCCTTCAGCCACTCTGCCGCCAACCTCTGGAATTCCATCCCCCAGTCACTCCTCCTTAGCCTCCTTCAAGTCCCACCTCAAGACCCTCCTCTTCGACCATGCCATCGGCCAGCCCCTCCCCCCCCAACCCCAGCTCAGATCTGAAATCTTGTACTCTGTCCAGCGCCTTGGGACGTCCTCCCGACGTGAAAGGAGGTATACAAATGTAATCTTGTTGTTTGTGGGATGTTGCTGTTTACAAATTGGCTGCTATGTTCACACAGATGCCCACTGGCAGCTCCAGAGCCTGTGCTCGGGCTGGCTACTTACCTGGTTTCTTGTGGACAGTGTAGGTTGTCTCCATGCCACCCTCTATGTGGTCTACGACATGACAGTGCAAAAGCCACGTGCCGATATGTTGCGGATACATTTCCAAGGTCTGGAAGGTTCCGGGAAAGAGATCAAACACATCTCCACGGTAGGTTTCTTTCATCTGTGTTGAAAAGTGAATGAATTTACTCTGCACCTCTCTCAATACCTTGAATGGAAACTATCGGGCCTGGGTGTGCGAATAATCTCATTCCCTGCTCTCTCCCCATCATGTCCGTGCTGGTGCTCACTCCCAACTGGAGCTCTAATCCCATTCCCTGTACTCTCCCTATCATTTCTGATGGTGCTTGCTTCCCATTCTTTGCTCTTGTTCCGTTTAGTACTATTTTTCCTCAATGTTTTTTGCTCGTCACTGGTGATTAGTTTCTCTCTTCACCCTACCGTTGCCATGAATAACAACAGCATTTAGAATCCACCTTTCACAAAGGAGGTCTCATCCCTTCACTGTCTCTGCTCCAGCAAAGAACGTACAAACTTTTCAAGGCCAGCATTATGGTCATCAAGCACGTTTGAGACATATGTAAAGGGGGACAGAAGGAGGAAACAGCCCAAGCAGCCTGTTCCACCACTATGTATCAGATTTTGGCAGCCAATCCTTTCACCAAACCATTAGTACCTAAACTACCCAAGTCTATTTGTACACAATGTCAGTACACAGTGGCTGTACACACTGGGAGGTTGGATATCCTGAGAGCACAAGGATAGGAATAGTGTAAATATACAATACAAATTAGATTTGTAGAGCACCTTTCGCGTCGGGAGGACGTCCCAAGGCGATGGACAATCTGAGATTTGAACCCGAGCAGGGGGGTTAGGATCATGGAGGGTGGAGTTCAGGGAGGGAAGGAGGATGATTGAAGGCGCGGTTGAAGAGGAGGGTCTTGAGACATGTCTTGAAGGAGGGAGCGAGAAGAAGGAACGTGGGATAGAGTTCCAAAGGGTGGGGCAGAGAGGCTGAAGGCCTGACTGCTGATGGTAGGGTGGAGCAGGTTGGGCAGGGGATATGGAGCAGGCCACAGCCTGCTGAGGGGAGGGAGTGGACAGGTTGATATGGGGTTAGTAGGTCACAGAAATAGGAAGGAGCAAGAGCGACCAGCTAACTGTCAAGAATGTTACCTTGTAATCAAAGCTGTGCCCATGGAAATGGGCAGTATGTATGTCCACTTCGTTACCCATTCCTATCAGATACCAAAACGCCCGCTCGCCTTCAACCATTTCCAATCCATGCAAGTTTCCATACAATTTCCCATTTATAGCTGGAAAAGAAAAACACTCAGTCATCATCAGTCTCACATTCACACATTTATACACATGAACTGAACCCTTTTATGAAACAGTAAACTACCACTGGAGACCGAAAGAAAACAAGCAAACTATTCAACTTAAAGATAATGACGTGGTCCATCTCACAAGTGGAGCTGAACTCAAACTGAGGAGCTTGCTGTCAAGATGATCAGTCAGTGATGAAGAATGGCTACTAGATTCAAGAGGAAATTAGACAGCTATTTGGTGAAGAAACTGATTCAAGGTTTCAGAGGCCAATGGTTAAATCAGGTTATTTGGGGTAGGCCAGATATATTTGGACACACTTATGTAGGTGAAGGAAGGGGCATTTTAGTCTGCTCATGGCTTCCAAAGCTCCAAGACACTATCCTTGAGATAAATGCAAGTTGTTGTTCTACACAATCACTTTATCACTTTGGGGCTGAGTAATCTAAAATGCTTAAGCAGAAGCCTTCCCTCTGGATGCGTTACCAGGACAATGGTAACAATCTGCTCCTTAATGGGGCCAATGTTTTCTTTGGTTAGCCTCGTGTCTGACACACAACCTTAGAGTATCCATCACATGCTTAACAGTATACAACCAAGCTGAGATTTCCATGCATCCCACCTACCAGAGATAGATTGGAAATTCCAGGGATAGATTGTTGGAATTCAATGTGTGCACTCTCCCTGGAGGGACGTATCCTGCTGACCTAATTCTGGAAAGTACTAGGCGGAGGTTGACAAGAGTCAAGGCTTGGATACCCTAGAGGGTGCGTTGGGGTAACTGCTGGAGTCTAACCAGCTAAAACCGCATTGCTTGCTATTGATATCGCTGCTTGTCCAGCTAAGACCACCCTACCTGTTATGGTTTTGGCTTGCAGGATTAACAGTGGGAGGATTCTCTGCCCCTAGTGACGGGTCTATCCTTCCAAGTCCTACCAATGAGCTAGGCTGGGCTGTACTGTCATCAGCAGTGCCCTGGAATACTGCGGACCCACCAGGCTCAGGAACGGACTACCGAGACTGCCAGAGGGGTGGCTCGATTGCCAGGCATGTTACCTAGTACAGTTCCAAACCCTGCTTACCTCCCCTCAAAGGAGGATAGTCCTTTGGTCGCTCGACATCCAACAAGTGCTAGTTTGAACCTTCACAAGGCGGATATTAGGTATCTGGAACTCCTTGTGAGCCTCCCGATGGGCAACATAGCTCAGAATTTGTGAGCATTGCCACTATCTTCCTGTCCGCAGCTTGGGCACACATCCCTTCCCATTGAGTGAATGGGATCAATAGAAAGCCTGATGGTGATGACTCTCAGATAATGGTTAAGTGCAGATGAAAGATCAGACCCATTTCGCTCCCCCATGAGACCCACCCTCACTGATGGGAAATATGAGGAATGTGGACTCACCGTGCATTTTGTTGCTCTCTATAAAATCCTCGTCCTCGGTGTTGACTAGGCGCGGCTGGCCGCAGTAAGTCTGGATATTGTGATCCAGGTACCAGGACTCGTTCTCATCGAAAACCATGAAGAGGAGAGCAAACTCCCGCAGGTCGTGGGTTTTACTCAGACCCAAGAAGCTCTTCCGACAGATGACCAGAGTTCCGATCAGACCACTGAACAAATCCTGTGGGTGGGGAGGACAATGATTGCACTGGACAATTTAACATTTAACAGATGTGGAGAACAATCCTGATCCAGGTAACTCTACTTCAGCCAGGAAACAGCCTGAACTCTCAGGACTTTCCTTGATCGTATGATGGTTGCTGTTACCGACAAACATTCTATATCGCTCACAGTACATAACAGGTCTTCCTGATATCTGGTTGAGACACTTTCTGTACTATTTTAGATCTGCCTCCAAATCCTGATTTCCTAATCTCAGGTAACCTTCAGCCCCAGCTGCCTGCCCACCAGGTAATCATTACAGATCCACTGGGAAAGAGATGGCAATTTCTCCTAGTGTCCCAGTCAATAATCTTGGGGTGAAATGGGCCCTTCATATCCTGGCTGTTTGGGGACCTCACTGCCCGCAAAATAGTTAAATAGTTAAAATAGTTTTGCAATAGAAAACAGAATTGACAATAATTGCTGTGAAGCGCTTCGAGATATTTTTATGGCAACAAGACTCTAAAATGCAAATTCTTTTTTTCCTCCTTAACTAATAATTATCTTCTCTGTATCTTTTTAACCTTTCATAAATTTATAGTCTGGCCTGGATAGTCTGACACGTGGTGATGAGTGTGTGTGTGTCAGAGACCCAACTGAGGCTGACAAACAATAGATATGCAGCAACAATACATATTCTGACATTCTGTCAATTTGGTGCTAGTCTCACAACAGGGGACACAGCTGGAGATGATGGCAAGTGAACTCTTTCTGCGGGAGTTTACAAAAAAAAAAGTTACAGAACTCATCCTTTCAGTTGGATGGTTATTCAGTGGAAGATAGTCAGGTTCCCATAAATGTCAGGTTGTCAGACTCTACCTTCACTTGATCCACCTGCGAGTAATAAGCCCATGAGATGCAGCATGAATCCCCAGGACTAGGCCCAGAGCGTTCAGGAATCTCCCAAATGTAGGTTTCTGTCGAGCCTACAAACACAGCACAGCAGTGTAGTCAGTAAGCAGGCGGGCGGGCCAGCGACCTGCACATGTGGCTGCAGGTATTGGCCAATCATCAATATAAACTCATCACTGACATTCTGCACAAGAGTCACGGTTTGAAGGCAATCTGAGGGTAAAGGCGATGAGGAGATTCTTTTACAGCCTACTGATTTACAAAGCCATTTAAACCCCCTCCTCCCCACATCCTGGGCAAAGGTAGAAACAAAGGCAGTGTGCTATCCAGCAGGAGACACCAATAGATTCCACCAGCCTGTTTCATTACATGACCTTTGCATCCCATTTCTCACCTCTTCTCTAGACCACTCAGACTGAGCAGAAAGGACTGACCTGGCAGAGTGGGTTTGACCTCCTGACTGTTTGTCTTCACTCCATTGGCATGAATGGAGTAGGGCCTTGTGGCCAGGTTTTTAAATACAATTTTAATTCTGTCCGAGACTTTTGCATGAAGCAGAGGGCCTGGAAGAGGAGGGATAAAAGCAGCAACAGATTAACTTCAGTACAAGACAATGTAAAGAGCAAATCATCTCAGTGCTAAACAGTCCCATTGGATTATGATGTAAAGTGAGTGAGGCTCAGGAACCATCGACTGCTGTTACAGTTAAGATCAAAACAATCGCTGGTGAGGCAGAAGAGTGGGTTCCTACCCCGTCACCCTTCCCCACGGTGATAACAGGCAACAGCTGTTTAGATAGCTGTAAATAGAGTTTTAAACATCTCAGAAAACAGCAGATCAACCCAGGAGAACAGGACTAAGTCAGTGAGCAATGATTTCATGTTTCCCCTTTGGTAGAGTATGTGTCAATATATATCAATATGTGACGTTTCCTAACAAACAACAAATGCTGATCGATTCTCAGCTTCAGGCAGTCACTAATCGGACGTCACCTTGAATTTCTAGATGTTCTTCTCCTGCAGGTCGTATCTTCTGTTTGGTGAATGTCTGGTCTGTGTATTCTCGATACACCACTTTCTTATACCTCGAGCCAATAGTGGTATTGCCTCTGACAACATAAATCGTCCCCGGACTGCAGGGAAAAGCAGCAGCAGAGTGAATCGTTCTCATATTTGATACTGCGCCTTATGTCACCAAGCCATCTCAAAGCGCTTCCCAGGATCTACTGTAAAGTGTAGTGACTGTGTATTTTGCGGGAGAACATACAGCCAATTTGTGCACAGTGATATCCCTCAGACAGCAATGGAATGAGTGACAAATTTTATTTGAGGATTGTTGGCCAGGACACCGGGAGAGAGAAATTCTCTTTTCTCCAAGGGCAGGCAGAGGCAGACAGGACCTCGATTAACATCTCATCTGAAGGATGCGCTGAGCTGGGGCTGGGTTAGGAGCTGGGGACTAGGGCTGGGGTTGGGGGCTGCGGCTGGGTTGGGAGCTGGGGTTGGGGTCGGGGGTGCTGCAGGCTGGCTGTTTGGCTAAGCAGTTTAGATAAACTCCCCATTGCTGTGACCAGGAGACAGTTACCTTTCCTCGCTGCTGTGGTACATCTCCAGCTCCCATGTTCTTGACGGTGAATAATCCCATTCGATTTCCACAGCTGCAATGTAATAAGTCTTGGTGTGCCAAGTGAAGGTCGGAAAGCCGGACCAAAACGAGCATTTGTCCACTGTGTAGTGCTGCTTCATTCCTCCCTGGAAGTGATCAGTCGTCTGACACGCAACATCAAAGACACCTGCACCAAGGACCGAGAGAGTTCCTCACAGCTACTCCACACTGGCCTTCACCCCAGCAATAGACTTCAGTGAGGGGGGCAGGGGCGACCCCAGAGACAGGGCAGGGGCAGGGGTGGGGTCAGGGGAACGGAGGGCATGGTGGCGGGGGAGGGGGACTGGGGCAGGTGCAGTGGGCCGGGGCGGAAAGTGGGGGAGGGGTGGGGCGGGGCAGGCCTGTGCCATATTCCATTAAGGCTTCCAGACATTCCACTGTGATAACTTCACTGTAAATATCTTGTCTGTTTTTCTGGTTTACCTGTGCTGTCCGGCTGCATTATCGCAGTGAGCGAGATGTGGGGGAAGATGTTGACGGTGTCTCTCCGGGTCTCCTTGCTGAGGAAAGTGTTGCCATTAAAATAAATGCCGTGGATATCGACCTCCGAGCCAATGCCAAACATGTGCCACGACACAAGGTCTCCCTTGCACATCTTCAGGCCAGGTTGGTTCCCAAACAGGTAGCCGTTTATCGCTAAGCACACAGGAAACTGGTTATTAACAGGCTTCCCCCACAGCCCCGCGCCCACCCCCCTCCCCGCCTCTCCGTACTGGACACAAGTCATCGTCACACAGCGCGGGCACTGCAGGGTACAGAGCATGTAACGTGTGTACAGAGTGTGTAAACAGCGGGTGGGAAATACAGTGTGTTCAGTGCAGTGGGAGGGGATTTGATCCTGATTCATTCTCTGGGTAAAACCACACCCTCCCCCACTGGGGGGGGCGGGCGTCCGTCACTGTAGATCAAGGGCAGTAGTGTTGCTTGCTGATAGCCACCCGGGTTCTCGTGGGGGAACGGGGCGGGGCAGTGGGGAGGGGGAAGCGGGAAGGGTCTGCGGAGAGGGGGTCAGCTCAGTTGATTAGGGTGGGGGGGTTTGCTGACAGATGCAGGTGGGAGGGATGACTGGAGTGTTACCATGCATTTTATTGGACTCTTGGAAATCTTCATCCTCTTTATCCACTGCCCTGGGCCTGCCTGTGAACATCTGGATGTTCTCTTCCAGGTACCAGCTCTGGTTTTCATCAAATACCGTCACCAACATGTACATCTCCTTATCCACGTTTTTCTGAGTCAGGACAGAGACTAGAGATCAAAACTTGGTGAAACTCCCACTCCACCCCCTCCCAATCTAAACCCACCGTGGCTCATCCATCTTTCCAATCAGCAGCTCAGCCATGAGCTCAGCCCAGCTCAGTCACTCGTACTCTCGACTCCAGGTCAGAGGCTTGTGGGGTCAAGCCCCATGTCAGCACTTTGAGCTCACAGTCCAGTGCAATGCTGAGGAAACGCCGCATTGTCTGAGATGCCGCCCTTCAGAGGAGACTTAAAACCGAGACCATGCCTACCCTTGTTCAGGTTGGCATCAAAAATCTTGTGCTATTGTTGGAAAAGAGAAGGCAGTCTCTCTCTCTCCCTGTGTCCTGGCCAACAATCTTCCAGATAAAATTGGTCACTCACTCCATGGCTGTTTGTTGGATATTGTTGTGTGATAATTGGCTGCTGCTTTTACACACAAAATGCAGAGTCACTACACTTTACAGTGAATCCTGTGAAGCGCTGTGTATTAATGTTATAGGCACAGGATTAGATGTAAGGATTACTATATTCCCATCGCCTCTGTGGAAAGATAATAAATTTTACTTTAAACATGTGCCATATAGTTGAAGCTTGAGAGGTGGGTAATAATTCAGTTAGTTTAAAGGAGCGCCAGTCTCCACAATTAGACAGACAAATGAGGGAGCGTATGGGAGGGAAATGTTAACACCGGCACAGAATATTTGGGCCGAATGGCCTGTTTCCGTGCTGTACGGTGTGTGTAAATCTAGGAATTTCAGATACAGATTTGTCCCCAGTGACATTGACTGGGAGCAAGCAGGCTGTGCTGGGGCCGGGGTTAGCAGTGGTGACTGACCTGCTTTCCTTTTTTGTCCAGCGTGTTGGGTTTGCAGATAAGGAGTGGCCCGACCAGGCCGGAGTTGGTATCCTTCACCGGATCCACAGCTGAGAAGTACAGCCAGGTCAGGCAGTCTCCCTCACTCCTGCTTGGACCATAATCCTCCGGGATTCTCCACTCATAAACAAATGTTTGACCGGGCGGGACTAGGGGGGAGCGAGGCGACATAGACGCAGGACCTGACAAGAGCGAGCATTAATCAGCAGATTGTACCTTATTCGCTGAAAACTATTCATTTTGTGTTACAACTTAACTCAAAGTTTAAATATCACTCACAATAATAATAATCCTTGTAATTCATATAATGCCTGTCACGTCTTCGATACATCTCGAAGCACGATAAGGCTTTGTTCCACAACTCTGCGGAACTTCCTCTGTGTAAAATTCACTTTGTTTAAGAGCAATTTTCGGCAAGACACTTTGATGAGACTTTGCTTTCAGATACCCCACGAGAGCAGAACAAGAGGCCACATGTTTACAGCTGTAAAGGGTAATTTCAGGACAGACGCCAGGAATGTTTTCTTTACCCAGAGGGTAATTAACGACTGGAACAGGTTACCAGGAAGGGTTTGGGGTGGAGGTGAGGCAAGTATATTGGGACTCGTTTAAAAAGCACCTCAATACTGTGATGGAGGGGACGGTAGGGCAGGTGTTCTGCAGGGATGAGATTCGATAGGCTGAAGGGTCTTCTTCATCCAAATCGTTTTTGTGATCTTCTGACAAATTGCTGAAACTATAGATTTGGACCTTATCTCTTTGTCTTGAGCCCGGCTCAGTGTGTGTCAGCCTGGCTCAATTTGTGCTAGTCAGCCCGGCTCAGTGTGTGTGTCAGCCTGGCTCAGTGTGTGTCAGTCAGCCCGGCTCAGTGTGTGTTAGCCCGGCTCAGTATGTGTCAGGCCAGCATTCTTCCTCAGAAGGTTTTGGGGTCAAGCCGCAAGTCGGGACTTAGAATCACATAGCCTAGGTTGACATTCCAATGTGGTACTGGACGTGTGCAATTTCAGAGGTGTTGTCCTTCAGATGAGATGTTAAACCAAGGTCCTATCCTGACTGTACATGTAGATGTAGATCCTGTAGCCAATCCTGTTCCCAATCTCTCTGTAAAATCCTGTAGCGCTACGTGAAAAGAGAATCGAGTTTCTCCCAGTGTCCTGGCGGACAATTCCCCAAATAAAGTTGATCACTCAACTCATGGCAGTTTGTTGCATACTGCTACACATAATTGACCTCCGGGTCAACAAAGTGTTATGGCGCTGTAATAGATGCAAGGATTCATATTATCAATATTAATACCCGTGTCTGTGGGATATTTTGCTCCCTCAGAAGATTTCTCGTAAGCGACCCCGTGGGCCTGGATACTGTAGCTGTGACTTGCGTTGTTCCAAAATGTCACTTTGACTCGATCTCCAACTTCGGCTTTAATGACAGGCCCTGGAGGAGAGACACACACAAACATAACAGTGGAGTCCTGTAGCTCAGTGGTTAGAGCACTCGCTTTGCAAGCGAGAGATCTGAGTTCAATTCCAGGCAGGGCGAAACCTTGGGCAAGTTTCCTTACTCCACACGCCTAATAATAATCCCTCCAAAACCCAAAACAATAATAAATTGGTCATTTTCAATCTACGACTGTTTGTGGGACATTGCTGTGCGCAATTGGCTGCCGCGTTCGCCCACAAATATACAGTCAATTCACTTTACAGTGTGTTCTGTGAAGCGCTTTGGGACGTCCTCCCGACGTGAAAAGCGCTATATCAAATGCAAGGATTATTATTATTATTATTATTATTATTATAAACTATAGCACTGGCCTCTTCACACAAAAGGCTGAAACTGCAGAACCAGCTGTGACCTGGGCAAAGACATCAGGAAACAGCTGGGTGGCGATGTGGATTGTGGGATCAAAGGAGCTGAAAGTTCTTCATCCAGTTTAGGGCCACATTCCCATTCTCCCCCTGTTTCCCAATCTCTCTGATCCCTCCTTCCTCCCCTTCCTCCCGCCCCTACCCCCGCCTCCCCCCCACCCCACCACCCCTCCACCACACACCCACAGCAGTAATTACCAAGTAGCCCAAGATGCTGCTGCTCTGGGCTCCTCTCCTTCTGCCGTGTAAACATATCGTCCGTGTATTCTTGGTAAACAACCTTTTTGTACCTCCCTCCGATCCTCTTTTCTCCTTGTTGAAAATATACGGCAGAATCGCTGTGGGCAGGAAGCAGGGATCAGAGCAGAGTTCACTGTACACACTTACCCCTAGTCCTTGGGCACTGTACACACTCACCCCCATCCTCTGGGCACTGTGCATAATCACCCCCCATCCCTGAGAACTGTACACACTCACCCCCATCCCCTGGGCACTATACCCACTCACTCCTATCCCCTGGGCACTGCCCACCAGGGCCACTCGCACCAGGCAGCTCTGCCAGATAGTGTTTAAGTGCGATCAGAAGTGCATTATTAACACTGTTTTAGTTGATTTAGATTTGTTTCTGTTTATCAGCTTGTGTGCTGACCTGCAGAATTACACTCTGGATTATCAATGTGCATATCATTACAGTAAACGATGAGTTGCAGAACTTCTATTTAAAGTCTGAGAGGTGTCATGGGTTAGCTGGTCTAACACTGGACACTGGGCTGAGGAGATGTCACTTTGCTGTGGATTGTATTACGTATTATAAGCAGTCATCAGACGGGTGAGATAGTGCTGACTACGCTGATGGATTTCTGTGTGTGTCAGACACCCAGCTGATCACGGTGATGGGTTTCCGTGTGTGTCAGACACCCAGCTGATCACGGTGATGGGTTTCCGTGTGTGTCAGACACCCAGCTGATCATGGTGATGGGTTTCCGTGTGTGTCAGACACCCAGCTGATCACGGTGATGGGTTTCCGTGTGTGTCAGACACCCAGCTGATCATGGTGATGGGTTTCCGTGTGTGTCAGACACCCAGCTGATCACGGTGATGGGTTTCCGTGTGTGTCAGACACCCAGCTGATCACGGTGATGGGTTTCTGTGTGCGTCAGACACCCAGCTGATCACGGTGATGGGTTTCTGTGCGTGTCAGACGTCCGGCTGATAACAGTGATGGGTTTCAGTATGTGTTAAACACCAGGCTGATTAAACCAAAACTACCTGTCATTATAATCTAAAGGCTTTTCTGTGAACTGGTCTCTGCCCGTTGGACCATAGTCCCAGATGATCTCCTCTGCAGCGATGTAGTAGTGCCTCTCCTTCTGTGAGAATGTTGGCCTTTTGTGTTGTGTGCCATCGTCTTTTACCTCAAATAGAGCCTGCATACCAGCTGGTGACAGACACAGGAACATCATTAGTCTGCCATGTCAATTCTTTAAACATTCTAATCTTGGTAACCACAGCAATCTGTCACAGCAACTGTCAACAACAACAACAGCGCTCACTCCTCAGTCCATTTCATGCATGGTAATGCCTCAAAGCGCCTCACACAGGGAGAGTGCACACTGCAAAAGTGGGGAAATAGGAAGAGATGAAGACAACTGCTGAGCCTGTAAGACCCAGATTTGAATCCAGACAGGGTGATAGATAACTCTGTCCTGTCCCCCTTCATCCCCCCACCCCGCTTTGATGGATATTCTGAACTCAGCCACGAGTGTGAATGAGTCAACATTTGCCACAAATTCACAGAGGGCAAAGGTCTCATAGGGCACAGTTGCAGAGACAGCCTGTGAATTTGAAAGATGGAAATGTCCCACTGATCTATAGAGGATTATTCTCTGCAGCCCTGGGATCTGAGGCATATTGCTGAGCACTGCAGAGGGAGCTGCCCTGGGAGTGCACTCCACCAAATGTGGAGAATGTTCTCCTCTGGTAATAATACTGGATTATTAGTTTCACAGACTGCAAGCGCGCAAACAGGCCATTTGGCCCAACTAGTCCGTGCTGGTGTTTTCCTCCACATGAGCCGAGCCCCAACCGTGCGAAAGCTGCCTTCGCACCACTGGATTCCCTCAGAGACCACACAATTTAACCCCAAAACAAGAAGGTTTTGAACCTTCTAAGTGGTCGTTGACCTGACAGCTTAGCAGCCATTTTCCTTTCTTTGTGGGCACCATCACCGCGGTGATGAAGGAGGCGGAGAACAGGCTGAACGTGTCGGCGTGGTGATGTTTCTCGATCAGCATGTTTCCGTGGAAATAAGCGGAGTGGATGTCCACCTCATTGCCCATCCCAAACAGGTGCCACATCACCTTGTCTCCCATGAACATGGACAGGCCGGGCAGATTCCCATAAACATAGCCGTTAATGGCTGGAAAAAAAATACCAGAATTGAACATGTTAGACATTCATTTGGAGACTGATCTATGGTCAGAAACATTACATTCCTCCAATTACCTCCTTTTACAAACTTCAGTAAAATAACAGTAACCAGAAGTCCAGCCTGAAGCGCCACTTCACAGTGACTACCCATTGTTCAGCTGCTGATTACCCTCAGCGCAAAGAAATACTTCCTGGTGCATGTTTGGTCCGTGTGCTTGAGTTATCTCATGTGTTATTTTATGTCAATGGGGTCCTCAGAGAGATGCCTCTCTGTAGTGTACACAGTGTACATTTACACAGCGCCTCAAGGCAGGGGACATGAAACATGGTGGTGCTCACTGAACAACAACAACAACAAGATTCCATTTATAGAGCGCCTTTCACGTCGGGAGGACGTCCCAAGGCGCTGGACAGTTGGGTCAGGACCCGAGCAGGGGGGAAATGGTTAGGGGGAGGGAAGGGAGGGAGCGAGGAGGGGGTAGAGAGTCGAGAGGGGAGCTGAAGGCACGGTCAAAGAGAAAGGTCTTGAGATTGGCCAAAGGGAATGGCCAGGTCAGACTGTAATAGGCTGAAGCACTCTTGCTTATGTATTGATTCCTCATAGCTCGTCTTTCACACTGTGGAGTGGACTCGATAATACTCTCCCCTACATTGCCGCTTGGTCTCCCGGCAGCCCCCTACCCCTGTCAGGGACATTGCCCGAGATACAGTATTCCACGTTATTCACTCTTTTCAGGGTCATCTGTAAGCAGAGATAAGGACCTTATGAAAATTATTGGAGACATCTTACAGTGCATTTTGTTACTTTCTTGAAAATCTTCATCGTCTCTGTTCACTTTGCTGGGTGTGGTGCAGAATTTTTTAATATTCTGGTCCAGATACCAGCTGTTATTCTCATCCACCACCGAAAACATTAATGCAAACTCCTCGTCCACCTCTTTCTTGCTAGCCTTCAGTTTGCCAGTGAGAGTTCCTGGGAGACACAAACACACACTGAGCAAGGCAGATTGCTGCTTCTGCCTCAGCCCGATCATGAATACATCTTCAATTAAATTCTGTCTGACCGTCACATAAGAACATAAGAATTTGATAGACGAAAGAAGACCAAGGTCTATCCAGTTCGCCTTCAACCATCCTGGCAATCGCTGGTCCAGTCCAACTCTCACTGGTCCAGTCTGGCTGTCGATGGTACAGTCTGGCGTCTTGGAGTAGATGAACAAGATGATTACCTTTTTTACATATCAACAATGGTCCTATCAGACCTGTTGAAATATCCTTGGTTGCATGAGTGTGGGAGTGATAGATTCTGGTCACACAGTCCGTTTCAGCAATTGTTGGTGCATGGTCCTCAGTCAGGCACCAGATGTAGCTGAAGTTGGATCCAGGTTGCACACAGTCATCCAGCTTCTCCACATCGGTGGAGTTATCAGGATACAATGCCCCTAAACCAGAGAGAGTGACACAATCTTCATCCCAATATTACAGTACATGAAACTATAACACAATAGGCAGAGACAGGCAGGAAGACAGGTACAGATAGACACAGGCAGGCAGACAGAAAAGCAGTCAGAGAGAGATAGATACACAGACAGAAACAGGTACACAGGCAGACAACAACAACAACAAATTACATTAGTAAAATGCCTTTCATGTCGGAAGGACAATCCAAGGAGCTGGACAGTCAGGGATTTGGACTGCTTCACAAATTTATATGAAATGGAGTCAGTATTTATTTGTAGGCAAATGTGACAGCACAATTGTGCACAGTAATTAACCCCAAACAGCATGAAGTGAGTGAACAATTTTATCTGGAGGATTGTTGGCCAGGACACCAGAAGAGAAAAACTCCCTTTTTTCGACTAGCGCCTCAGGATCTTTCACATCCAGGCAGGGTTTGGCCTTTGGATGCTTGGCCTTTGGGTGTTTTCTCAGCTGAGAAAAGGAAGCAAAATGTTAGAGAAAGGTTCCAATAGGAAAGCTGATTTTGGTGGTTGGCAGATCACAATCCCCATTCACTACTAGTTATGCTGGAATCTGTGCAGTGCAGTTTGGAGGGATGGAGGGTTGGAGAGGCAGGATTCCAGAGGCCATGGTGACCGTCTGAGATAATTGGCTCACCTTATAACCCCTTCAGTCTCCATCAGTCACCAGTGATGACGTACCCCACCACTGGCAGAAATAATAACATAAGCAGTACCTTCTTTGGCTTTGAGGTAGGTTAAGCCATGCGGGTGAATTGAATAACATCTAGATGCAAAATTCTTCAGGTGGATGATCATTTTGTCCCCTTGCTCTGCCTTCAAGACAGGTCCCAGAAACCCCAGCCAATTAGCCTTCGGGACATATTTGTTGTAGCTCCCATCTGTGTACTCCAAAAACACTGCCTTCTTATACACGCCTCCTATCCTAGTCGGCCCCCGCTTCAGGTATATCGAAGCATGCCTGAAATTACAATAAGCGATGTTTTTACCTGAAAATAGTGCTTAACATTGAGGGCTGTGGAGCTGCAATAATAATAATCTTTGTATTTTGATATAGCGCCTTGTCACGTCTTCAATTGGGGTCCTCTAGGGCTCCATCCTTGGCCCCCTTCTCATGCTCCCTCTTGACGATGTCATCCGCAAACAAGGGGTAAACGTCTAAATATATATGCAGATGACACGTAAATCTACTTCTCCTCCTCCAGCTGAGACTCAAATCCGCCAATATTCTGTCTGCTTGTCTGACAGACATCAAGGCCTGGATAAGCACAAACTTCTTAAAACTAAACATTGACAAGACAGAAGCCATGCTTCTTGACTCGTGTCCTGCAGCTCCTCAATCTCCCCAGCCCATCCCTCAGATTCAACAAAACAACAAATTAAACTCAGGTCCTCTTGCTGACAAGGTAAGTGATCTAACCAATATGCTTTAGGACTCCACAAGTTTGTGGATAACATATTTTTCTATAAACACAAACTTTATTTATGGCCATTCTCAGCACCAGTGTAATTGTACTTAGCTATGGCCAATTTGGAGCTATAGACTTCAATTAATGTGCTTTCAAAATGACCAGCAGAAATAGATTCAAATCTTCACAAACACTCCTGTCACTTAAACACACACAAAAAGATTACAGATAATAGAACGAATGGGTCAATATAACTTATAAATCTTGCCAAGGCATTGAATTCTGCAGCTCACGGTTCCTGGTTTACCGGACCTTATACTGCTCCTTCTGTTAATAGTACACTTAACTCAATCTGACTCAGCTACTCACGCTCCTGGCTCACAAAATTGTTGGTTGAGCTCCACATTGGGACTTTGAGCTCATAGTGTAGGCCGATGTATGTTCTGGGAGTTTTTTTCAGGGTGGGGGTGATGACGGCTGTTTTTAGGGGGGTAGGAACTGAACCGGTGGACAAGGAGAGGTTGATGACGTCGAACAGGAGAGGGGCCAGAAGGTGGAGCTGGGAGATGTAGTCTTGTTCTCTTGCCTGGTGTCGGGGCGTCTCAGTGTGTCAGCTCACCCCGTCCCCGGTACCTCCCTACCCTGTGCCCCCTGCCCCCGCTCCCCCCCACCCCATCCACCCCCAGCGGCCTGGCCCCTGGAACCTCTTGAGATCAATGACCATGCCAGGCCGATACAAACTGACTTAATTCCCGTCTGTGTCTGTCCTCAATTCCTGCCTTGCCTCTGACAATCTGTTATCCCATCTCTCTGAACAAAACCCATGGAAAACCAAGGATATTCTGTCTAGGATGAAAAAGAAGTAGACGGAGTACGACAATTGGAAGAAGCAAGATACTGAGGATAGCAAAGCGCATTATAGAGAATGCAGGAGTGATCTTAAAAGAGTGATAAGACAGGCTAAAAGATCGCATGAGAAGAGGTTAGCGGGTAACATAAAGGGGAATCCTAAAATATTTTACAAGCACATAAAGGAGGGATAGAGTTTGGATTAAGAACTGGCTGAGTGACAGAAAGGTGGTGGTTAATGGGTGTTTCTTGAAATGGAAGGGGGTGTGCAGCGGTGTCCCCCAGGGATCAGTATTGGGACCACTGCTCTTTCTAATATATATTAACGATCTGGACTTGGGAATAGAGAGCACTATTTCCAAGTTTGCAGATGATACAAAGTTAGGTAGGGTAGTAAATAGTGAGGAGGACTGTAGCCAACTGCAAGCAGACATACACAGAATGGTGGAATGGGCTGACATGTGGCAAATGGATTTCAATGTGGATAAGTGTGAGGTGATACACTTAGGGAGGAAAAATGATAGGTGGCAATATAGACTTGGTAGCTCAATCTTAAGGGGGGTGAACGTACAAAGAGATCTGGGTGTTCAAGTAAGCGAATCATTAATAATAATCCTAATAATCCTTGCATTTGATATAGCGCTTTTCACGTCGGGAGGACGTCCCAAAGCGCTTCACAGAACACACTATAAAGTAAATTGACTGTATATTTGTGGGCGAACGCGGCAGCCAATTGCGCACAGCAATGTCCCACAAAGCGTCGTAGATTGAAAATGACCAATTTATTATTGTTTTGTTTTTTGGAGGGATTATTATTAGGCTCTGTGTGGAGTAAGGAAACTTGCCCAAGGTTTTGCCCTCTGCCTGGAATTGAACTCAGGTCTCTCACTTGCAAAGCGAGTGCTCTAACCACTGAGCTACAGGACTCCAAATTAAAGGTAGCGGGGCAGGTAAATAGGGCAGTAAAAAAGGCATTTGGTGTACTGAGCTTTATTAGTAGGGGCATAGAGTATAAGAGTAGGGATTATGGTTAATGTATACAAAACACTGGTTAGGCCTCAGCTGGAGTACTGCGTCCAGTTCTGGGCACCTTACTTCAGGAAGGACATTAAGGCACTGGAAAGGGTGCAGAGGAGATTCACAAGAATGATACCAGGAATGGGGAACCTTAGCTATGAGGACAGGCTGGAGAAGTTAGGACTTTTCCCATTAGAGCAGAGAAAGTTACGCGGGGACCTGATAGAGGTCTTCAAGATCATGAAAGGTTTCGACAGGCGAGATAGGGAAAAGCTGTTTCCGCTGGTAGGTGTGTCTATGACCTGTGGTCACAGTCTTAAGATATCTACCAAAAGAAGCAGAGGGGAGGTTAGAAGAAATTTTTTCACTCAGCGAGTTGTTCGAATTTGGAATGATCTGCCTGAAAGGGTAGTGAAGTCCAATTCGATAACAGCTTTTAAGAGAGAACTGGATAGGTATCTGGGGAAGAGGGGGTTTGCAGGGTTATGCAGAGAAAGCTGGTGATTGGGGTTAGTGAAAGTGAATTGCTCTGTCAAAGAGCAGACTCGATGGGCCGAATGACCTCCTTCTGTGCCGTAACTTTCTATGAATCTATGAACACTAATATAAGAGGAGTCATAGGAAAGATACGAGGGCAGGACTCAGCCAGTCCGGTGATACCAGGCTCTTCAGAGCACAGCACAGCAACAACAATAACAACAACTTGTTTATATAGCGCCCTTCTCGCGGGGTAGCGTAGCCCGGAGAGCTTAGCACAGCACAGAATACAGTACACAGAACGCAAAGTACACAGTGCTGAGCACAGCACACAGCACAGTGCATAGCACACAGAGCGCAAAGCACAGGACACAGCACAGAGCACAGCACAGCTTACACAGTGTTATTAGTTTTCCAGCATGTTTCAGCCATCAGAGTTAAAATGCGAGTGGGAATGTGGGAACACTGACACCCTAGGAATTCCATCATGATCTCGTTTGATACCAATAAGCCCACAGTTGAGAACAACCCCTGGCCACAAGTCAACCGTCGGCAGTATAACTCTTTCCTAATTTTTTTGTGAATTTGAGAATGAATCCCACGAATTCAGCCGCTGCTTATGAATTTCCAACCCTGATATTCACGATGGGGAGAGAGTAGGGAATGGGGTTAGAGCCGAGAGCTCCAGTGTGGGTGCGAGCACCTGCACAGACACAATGGGGAGGGAGCAGAGAATGGGATTAGAGTAGAAAGCTTTATAAATAATCCTTACATTTAATAATAATAATAATCCTTGCATTTGATATAGCACTTTTCACGTTGGGAGGACGTCCCAAAGCGCTTCACAGAATATACTGTAAAGTGAATTGACTGTATATTTGTGGGCGAACGCGGCAGCCAATTGCGCACAGCAATGTCCCACAAACAATCGTAGATTAAAAATGACCAATTTATCATTGTTTTTTTTTGGAGGGATTATTATTAGGCGCGTGGAGTAAGGAAACTTGCCCAAGGTTTCGCCCATTGATATAGCACCTTATCACGTCTTTGATCTCAAAGGGCTTCAGAAAATAAACTGTAAAGTTAATTGACTGTGTATTTTGTGGACGAAATGCGGCAGCCAATTGTGCACAGCAGCGTCCCATAGACAGTCATGGTTTGAGTGACCAATTTACTTTTTTTTAAAGCAATTATTACCCCACGGAAAAGCTATCTGCCAATCAACTAACAAATGGGTTCCTACTTACTGCTGGATAAGTGTGGAGTAAGGAAACTTGCCCAATGTTTTGCCCTGCCAAGAATCAAACCCAGGTCTCTCGCTTGCAAAGAGAGTGGTCTAACCACTGAACTACAGGACTCCCTCTGCTCACTTTAGTGGGGGAGTGAGCAGCAGCACAAACACAATGGGGAGATGCAGAGAATGGCATTAGAATAGAGAGCTCCAGTGGGGAGTGAGTAGGGGATGGTCTCCTGTAGTGTGAACATGAACCTGCTATGATTCATTCACCACATTCGCACACACGCTCAGACTTACGGATCCGCTTCCACGGTTGTGCCTGTGATGACATTCTTGTTGGATGGGGCGTAGTTCCATTCAATCTCCTTGATGGCAATGTAATGCTCACGAGTCATGCCTCTGACACTGGCCGTGAGGTGCAGGACAATCAGACACAACACCACAGGTCTCGTCATTCTGTGGGATGGCTGGTGGTGCTTAGCAAGAGCAGACAGATAGATGGGGTGAGTGGCTGTGTTTGCTGCTATATAGCAGCCTAAGGAACCACCTCCTGAAGGACTGACCCATGGCTGACCAAATGCAAATCATGGATTTTGCAACAAAGGTGAATGGTTGAGATGCCAGGAAGATTGTGAAATGATAAAGTACACTGCATGTTCTGGAAAACTCCATAATTTCCCAAATTATTGTCCTTTTCGAAGGTCACAGGGGTACAGGGCCTGTTTAACCTGTTAAATGCCCAAATGCTCTTAGATTCACAGATTTGGGAGGGAGTTTGGGGGGAGGGTTAGGGGTAGGATTGTGGGGAGGGTTGGGGGAGGGTTGGGATTGTTGGAAGAGAACTGGGACCACTTTGGTGCATTTCTATTGCCTACATCTTCATTATTTGGAAAGAGGAGTTTCTTCCTGTGTTTTAGTGAACAATTTCCCCAGGCAAAAAATGGTCAGTCATTCTATGGCTGAACATTGCTGTAGTAAATTGGCTCCCAGGTTTTCCCATAAGATGCATCTTACAGACGTCTTGATGACCTGATAAAGCACTGTAACTAATTCAAGTATCTTTCCTATTTATAATAGTTTCCGGAATTAGGTAAGCATTGATGTATCTCTCCGGGGAGAAGGTGTGCATTCCATTTGGTCTTGGGAAAATTTCCATGTGTAAGTTGCATACACTGACCTCTCAGTCTTTTTGGAGAATCTGAAGCATATGGTGCTGGGCTGACCAGAAAAATATTGCTACACATCCCAGCTGGTGAACAGAGTTTGAGAACTCTCAATGTCCACGCTCTGCCACCAGAGGCCTCCAGAAACCAGGAGAATCACAGCTTTCATGGCCATGATTACTGATGCAGTGTTACTCAGTGTCCTAATCTTACCCTTCACACTTTGCCCTAAAGAACTAGCCAAATTAATCCCACTTCCCCACTCCCTCCCCACATGAAGCAGATGGTGTTTGCTGAGTGGAGGAAACCACCCCATCAGTAGTTTTTTTTATCAGCTGTGTGTCTGATAAACATGTAAGCCCAACACCATGATCGTTCGGGTGATACACACAGAACAACAACAACAATAACAACAAGATTCCATTTATAGAGCGCCTTTCACGTCAGGAGGACGTCCCAAGGCGCTGGACAGTTGGGTCGGGACCCGAGCAGGGGGGAAATGTTCAGGGTGAGGGGAGGGAAGGGAGGAAGTGAGGAGGGGGTAGAGAGTCGAGAGGGGAGCTGAAGGCACGGTTGAAGAGAACCCATCACCATGATCAGCTGGATGTCTGACACACATGAAAACCCATCACTCCGATGAGCCGGTTGTCTAACATGCACAGACACCCATCACAATGACCAGCCTGTACCTCTCACAAACAGAAATCCATCAACATGGTCAGCCGAGGGTGTCTGACACAACAACAATAAAATTACATTTGTATAGTGCCTTTCATGTCAGGAGGAGGTCCCAAGGCTCTGGACAGTCAGGGATTTGGATCCGAGCAGGGGTTTGGGATCAGGAGCGGTGAAGGGCAGGGGTAAGATGGTGGCCAAAGGTACGGTCAAAGAGAATCTTGAGACGTGCCTTGAAGGAGGCAAGGGAGGGAGCAAGGCGAAAGGACTGTGCGATGGAGTGGGATGGAAGCCCAACACTGTGATCAGATGCGTGTCTGGCACATGTGAAAACTCATCTCTGTACTTAAGATTCTCTAAACCAGCCAGAGCTATAATAATAGTAATCGTTGCATTTGAGATAGCATATTATCACGTCATTGATAACATCTCAAAGCCCTTCACAGAATATATTGTAAAGTGGATTGACTGTATATTTTGTGGGCAAAACATGGCAGCCAATTGCACACAGCAGCGTCCCACAAACAGTCATGGATTGAATGACCCATTTTATTTTGAGAAATTATGACCCACGGAAAGCGATCTGCCAATCGACTAAAATACGGGTTCCTACTAAATCCAAGGTAAACAGAGGTGTGTTATGTTCTTATGTTCTTACTTATAGAGTAAGGAAACTTGCCCTGCCCGGAATCGAATCTGGGTCCTCTCGCTTGCAAGGCGAGCGAGCTAACCACTACTCTCTGGGACTCCACGTAGTTCAACCTAGACATGGAAATTCCTGGATATTGGAATGGAATGCATGCGCTCTTCCTGGAGGGACACATTCTGCTTACATAATTCACAAATGTGAAAGGTACAGGCTAGCAAGAGCTCTGCCTGGTAGTGGGTCAGTGGGGTTGAAAGTGGTCATGAGATTTGAAGGTGAGAACGAGGGTCTTGAATTTGGTCTGCTTGGGCTGGGCTAGGGCTAGAGGTTGGATTGGGGACTGGGGGCTTAGGGCTGAACTGAGGGCTGCGGAGCCAGTGAAGCAGAGCGAGGATGACAGGCTTGCAGATGAAGGGTATATTTGTGACAAGTATAAATACTGTACACATATGTGGAGTGCAACAGGTTTAAATATTCTCATAAAACCTGTCGTAGGTATTTGTAATGTACACTTAAGCCGTCCTCTCTGCAGATTAATCCTTCTGCGCCATGGGTTTATTTTGTAGTGCAGTGGTTAGTGTTGCAGTGGGCAGTGATGTCGTGCAATGTTACAATGCTGTGGGGCAGTGGGCAATGTTTCAGTTGGCAGTCGTGCAGTGGGCAGTGTTGTGGTGCGGTGAACGGTGTTGCAGTTGGCAGTAGTGCAGTTGGCAGTGCTGTGGTGCAGTGAACAGTGTTGCAGTGGGCAGTAATGTAGTGGACAGTGTTGCAGTGGGCAGTATTGTAGTAGGCAGTGTTTCAGTGTTGCAGTGGGCAGTGTTGCGGTGGGTGGTGCAGTCTGAGCTGCCTTGCGTAAGGTGAGGTCATTATCCTAAAAGTAGGTCAATGGTTGGAAATTTCATAAACATACAGCAGTTCCACACAGAGCAAAGTCCAGAAGTGTTTACCCTGGATCCACGCCTCATTCCCACTCCAATTCTGACCCATACGGGAGCTGCATGAAGCCAGATGGCCAACGCTGCTCGGGGCACACAGCCTTATCTAGCTTTATTTAGATTTATCATCACAGCCTCTAGCAATCATTAACAGCTAAGAGCAGCCACCAGCACTCAGCAACCACCTCCATCCTAGCTCTCTTGTTGGTGTCTTCACAGTCATCACAATGTGTCTCCATAGAGAAAGTCACACTGACACGAGGATCTCCTCCGCCTGTATCCTCACTCCCACCAAACTCTGTACATCATCAGACTCAGCCTCCACTGACTCCCTCCGGATCCACTTCCAGCTCCTCGACCCTCACTTATAAACCCTTCATAGCCTCTGACAGTACACCTTCTCATTAACACACATCCCCTCCCCCACCAATAAACCCCTCATATTACAATAAAATATACAGTCAATTCACTTTACAGTATATACTGTGAAGCGCTTTGAGACGTCTCAATGACGTGATAAGGTGCGATATCAAATGCAAGGATTATTATTATTATAAAAGCAAAGAGATAATGCTAAACTTGTATACATTGTTAATTAGGCCACAGTGAGAATATTGTGTTCAGTTTTGGCCGCCCCACTTTAGAAAAGACGTCACGACCAGGATATTTACCAGGATAATATTGAGAATGAGTCACTTATGAAATAGCACACTCACTTCTGAGTCAGAAGCTTGTGCATTTAAATCCCATGTTAGGATTTGAGCTCACAGTCCAGGCTAACACTCCAATGCTCCCTGTTTAGAGACATAGGATTCCATTTGTTTTCTTGACAGCTTTGTCCACCTGCTTTCCCACCTTTAAAAATGTATGCACATTAACCTGATTTGGAAACCCGGTCAGTAGTCGATTAGCGGATTGCTTTTCCGGGGGGGAATAATCTCTTCAAAATAAATTTTAAAAACAAAATAATAAACTGATCAGTCAATCCATGACTGTTTGTGGGACACTACTGTGTACAATTGGCTGCCGTGTTTCGCCCACAAAATATACAGTGAATTCACTTTACAGTATATTCTGTGAAGCTCTTTGAGACGTCTTGAAGAAGTGATAAGACGCTATATCAGAGGCAAAGATTATTATTTTTATTTCATCCCCTTAATCCTGTGAAACTTTTTAATCCTGTGATATACCTTGTAAGATTTATTATTATTAACAGATTCCGCATTTATAACTTTATGGCTGGGGTGAGCCAATCTGCGAGGAGGCTGTTTTAAACAATTTCATCAACCACTGTAATGAGGAGCAGTGTCACACAACATGGGAAATCCCACCATACCCCAGAGTCAGGCACCAGGCACGGACTGGCACTATGGTCAAACAACGTTAATTATTACCTGGTGACAAGGGGTGCGGAGCGGAAACTCTTTCACCATTTGTAAATAATTACAATCATTACAATCAGAGCAACTCACTGCCGCGCAGCTAGCGGGGGAGGGGGAGTGCCGCAGGAGGTGAGTGTGGGGAATGGGAGTGGATGGGGTGGTGTTAGGCGGAGAATTTCTAATTGTGTCACAATTAAATGCTTTACTATGTGCACACGGGTGATATGCAGATAGTGGAGTGTGAGATGAATGAACAGGACGTGCTGTGTTATCACTGTAATTAAAGGAGAGTTCGGACCGTGGCATCTTGATTATACAAATTGTAAGGAAAGCTGATGTCATTTAAACATTTCGGTTAGTTTCAGGATGAGGTAGTTACTGATAGGACCTCACCTGATAAAGAGCTCAATGCCTCACATCTCACAACGCATCACAGAGACTGTGTGTTTGTGTGTGTGACCATAGGCACCGTCAATGAGCCAGGCTTTAAAGATAGAGATGGACGAAGCAGAGGGAAAATGGATGGAGGTCCTAAGGTTTGGAGGGTAGTAAGTAATGTAAAGGGTGTTACTATACTTGACAGCAATTACTTGCAATGTACTTTTGAGATCTTTTCATAGGGCAAGGTGCATCCCTCCCTCCCACCCACCCACCCATCCATATGAATCAGGGAAAGCTATTGAGAGGTGCAATACCAAGGTTTATTGGGTGACCAATAGATAAAATGGTCAGACCACAAGTAGAACAATAGTAATGGAAGCCTGCTGAGGATACCTCTGAGTTATCCTGAGGCTTTTGCACTGATCATACCAAACAGTGACCAGTTTTAGGTGCCATGGCGCAAATCTTTGAGTCAAGCATCAAATTAGCAATGCTTCAGCTCCGAGCGAGGACATGTGAGGTTTGTGTTACGATGTGTGTTATTGTCATTTGATCAGAAACAAAGCTTCTCGTGTAGATAAGGGAGGTGGTCATTTGCGGTACTTGTGAATGGAATTCTTTCATAGTCAATCCAAATTGCTCAAATGGTTACCAGAAAGCCATCAGACTACAACGGCACAATTTGAACTCCACTCCAACTCCCAACTGGGTCATGGGAATTTAATAGAATTTTTTAAGGAATCCAGTTAAGAAATATTGCAAATGACAGTAACGTGTATTTTTATAGCTCCCTTTATGTAGCATAATGTCTCAGAATTCTTCACAGTGACAATGGTGGATGCCGAGCAAGGGAGAAATGGAAACGGAGGTGACCATATGCTCAGTCGAAGAGGTAGGTTTTAAGGTGGAGCGAGATGAGGCGGAGGGCTAGAGGAAGGGGCTTCCAGAGGTTAGGGGAGATAGTGACTGACGACTGAAAAATGTCATCACTCGTTTACTTTAAAGAGTTGGGTGAGAGGGAGAGAGTCTTTCTTACATGATCACTAGGAGCAGCTATCTTTTCACCATCCTTTGTGATGAGCTCCCATTGTAAGTAGAGCTCAGGGATGGTAGTTAAGCTGCTTCACGTGTCACAAAGCGGCTCTGATGTCAGAGACGTTTTTGTTTGATCATAAAGAAATTGATGAGTTCACGCTGGCCAGTGCCCCTCACTTCAGGGTTTAGTACACACACCATCATGCTGTGTACCCAAGGCTTCGTCCTCTTGGGCTAAAGATCACGCCATGAATGTCTGTCCCTACAAAGACTTTGCCACCCTGGCGTGACAGATTACGAAGAATCCTTTCAGCAAAGCACGAAAGGAAAAAAGACTTTTACTTTGGCGCTCACTGAGTAAAGCCACGCCCTGCGAGGCGGACACAAGCTCCAGGACTGAAATTGACTAAGAACCATGGTCTTATGTTCTGGAAGGACTGCACGATGTCTTGGTGTAACACTTCTTGGATTAGCTCTGATCTGCTTTTGTGTGAACATACTGCTCTTTTTCCCAAATGGAGACCCTCGATACGCTAAAAATAATATCTCAGGAACCGTGTGGTACCTGTCCGGTGTTCTGGGATCTGGTCTCTTGGTGAGTATGTTTAATCCTCTCCTAGCTCGGAAGTTAAGAGACGACCATCGTACCCACACAAACAGCAATTCAATAAATAGAAATTGCATTTCATATCCTGGAATTCTCAGAACTGAGCATGATATGGAGATCATGAGGTTCTTGATGCAGTCAGGAACCTATTAGCTTGTTCTAAATAATTCCAACCCAGTTTCTGGTTCAAGAAAGAACTTGTATTTGTGTAGCACTTCACCAATGTCCAAACATCTCAGGGCATTACCGCTCCGTGTGAGATAAGCCTGCGGTTGGAACGGGCAAAGGGAACTCCTTTACGCATCTTTGTTGGTGATTTGCACCACGTGTGTTTCATAACATTAAGAATCCAGCTGAAGGTCAAGGTTCAGAGTTAGGAGATCACCAAAGTGGAAATGATTAGGAGAGAGGTGCGGTCAGGCAGGAAGTACTGGTTAGGTACTTGCTTGGGTTTTAGAAGCCTAAAGAGTGGGTAGAGAGGAGGGAGGGAATAGTGTAGGAGGAAAGAGAGTTGAGGGAGGAGTCCTGACAGTGCCATGTCCACCTATCCACTCAGTGCTCCCAGGTTCTCTATAATTTTTCCCATTTAGATTCAGATTTGGATGTAGTTCTATGACCCAATCCATCAATAAAATCTAAATGTTTTATCTTCTCTGGTGAATCCAGTAAGAAATTGGGAAGAAAGAAATAACTTCAGCTTAATTACTAACTCAATCTAATTAACCTATATAGAATATAGAAGAATTAGAGGGGATCTTATAGAAACCTATAAGATCATCAAAGGGCATGATAGAGTAGATAGTGGGAGATTGTTTCCCCTGGTTGGAGAAACTAAAACCAGGGGTCACAACCTTAAAATCAGAAGCAGCCCTTTCACACTGAGTTGAGGAAGAACTTCTTCACTCTAAGGGTGGTGAATGTATGGAACTCACTACCCCAAAGGGCTGTTGACGCTCAGTCCTTGAACATATTCAAGACTGAAATAGATAGATTTCTTATTGCAAAAGAGATTAAGGGATATGGGGATAAGGCAGGGTCAGGTTATTAGCTGAAGTTAGATTAGAAGATCAGCCATGATTGAATGGCGGGGCAGGCTCGACATGTTATGTCATGTTAACCTAATGCATACCCCTTTTCAGCGATAAGATTGGTACACAGGTATTTCCAATCTTCAATGTATATCTGCCTCATCCAAAGTCTCTCATTTAAAGTAACCCAGCTCTCACACCCCTTAAAAGCCTTCCAGAAGCTCAGGCCCCAACTTTTACCTAGTCTAAGCCTGTGAAACCATTTTGTCTTCCAATGTAAGACTGTGTAGAACTGTGGAAGACCTGAGAAGCAGTGGGAGTAGGAAACCCTGAAGGCTGAACTTCAGAGTTTCCACAATTCTTCACAATCTTAAACTTTAAAGCGAACAGTCTGATAGGTGGATGAATGGACTGGGAGGAAATTCTGGTCTCTGAATGGCAGATCATTTTGGTTGGGAAATAGTGCAAGGTGTGTGTTACAGAAGGTAAGCCTGTGAGCGGTGTGTCCAACACAGGATCAAGTATAGTAGGTGATTAAGCAGAGTTGAGGAGAGGTGAATGGGGACTTCTGCCATCTCTCTGACGCCGATGTTTGTTTTGATCGCAGATGATCTTTCCATCCTACGTATTTCTGGTGCTTTGGGAAGACAACGGCTGCAAAGATTGCTGTGCCGACTATAATTGCTGTCAGTGTGGACCGTGTGAAGCCTGTGACTGTGAGGATTGCCGAGACTGCCAGCCCTGTGCCTCCTGTCAATCACTCCATTGCCCAAAATGCCGTGACTGCCAGCCATGCGCCTGCTGCAAGGACATTCATTGCCCCAATTGCCAGGACTGCCAGCCCTGCAAGTCCTGCGAGAACTGTCAGTGCCCTCCGTGCCGGGAGTGCCAGCCTTGCAGGTTCTGTGAGGCCTGTGAGTGCCCGCGCTGCCGCGACTGCCAGCTTTGCAAGCCCTGCCAGGCCTGTGAGTGCCCTCGGTGCCAGGACTGCCAGCCATGCAGGGCCTGCCAGGAGTGTGATTGCAAGCGGCTGTGCGAGTGTAAGCCCTGTCAGACCTGTGAGTGCCCCGACTGCCAGCCCTGTAGCCAAGTTTGCAACTGCCGTAACTGCCCTGAGTTTATGCCCTGCCAACGCTGCGACTGGAGGCAATTTACGTGCCCAGATATCTGCAAGTGCCCAAGAACCCTGTGCGAAGACAACTGTCAGTGTCAGTGCCAGTGCCAGGGCATAAACAGCTCGTGTACCTGGAACAGTGTGGTAAGGAAGTCAGGCATTTGGTCAGACCTCATTTCACTCACTTTCTCTCATTAGGATGTCTTCAAGCTACTTGTCAACTGAAATCAGCAGTGTAGCTGGCAGTCCCAGGCCTCTGTACTGCTAGAGTACACTGCATCCTGGAGGGTTATTGTCCAGTGGTTTGTAAGTTTAGCTGGCAGGGGGGTGAGGGGGTGGGGGTTTGGGTGGGGGAGAAGAACATGGTCAAATTGCTTAAATGTACCAAGCCTCGCTGCTCTCCTTTAGTTATTGAATTCCCTCTTGAAAGCTAATTTGTCCCTCTGCCTAACCATAGTTCCAGATCAGACATCCCATATCCTGTGCACCGGAAGGTGGTTGGAACAAAAGGCTTAAGATTGGGATTCCTTCTGTGGGTGAATGTGTGGTCACCCACAAGGTGGTTACGGACTCTGCCACCCTAGCATAGGCTACTATTCTGACTTTACCTGATTATGATTAACACAGCACGGAAGTTGCTCTGGTCAAGGTGACAAACGACATAAAATTATAAAATGATAGAATTATACAGCACAGAAGGAGGCCATTCGGCCCATTATTTCTGTGCCGGCTCTTCAAAAGGAGCTATCCAAATCAATCCCACTCCCCTGCTCTCTCTCCATAGCCCTGCAAACTTGTCCTCCCCAAATAATTATCTACTTCTCTCTTAAAAGCTGTTATCGAATCAGCTTCCACCACCCTTTCAGGCGATGCATTTCAGATCCGAACAACTCGCTGTGTTGTTCGGATCTGGAATGACCATCCTGTCCAGCAGTGACCAGGGCTCCCTCTGCCTCTTCGACCTCTCTGCTACCTTCGATACTGTGGACCACTCCATCCTCCTCCACCACCTCTCCTCTCACCTCCAACTTTAAGATTCTGTCCTTGAATGATTCAGGTCTTATCTCTTAAACCGTCTCCAATTTGTCTCTTCCAACCCCTGCACAGGAAACTCCCTCCTTGTCGACCTCCCCAACTCTTCTCTCCACAAGTTTCTCCTCCCCGCACCAGGCACCATGACCCCATCATCCCCCACCACTGCCCGGCTCCACTGGCTCCCCATCTCTCGGAGGATAGAATTCAAAATTCTCGTCCTCACCTTCAAGCCCTACACAGCCTTGGCCCCTCTTACATCCTGCTGACCTCCTATCAACCTATCTGTTCCCTCTGGTTTGCTCCATTCTCCTGCCTGACCTGCCCTACCATCAGCAGTCGGGCTTTCAGCCTCTCTGCCCCCACCCTTTAGAACTCCAACCCACAATCCCTTCATCTTGCTCGCTCTCTTGCCTCCTTCAAGGCATGACTCAAGACCCTCCTTTTTGACCATGCCTTCAGCCACTCTGCTACCTCTCTGCCCTCCCTCACCCCAATCCTACCCCCACCCACGCTCTGATCCTGATCCCTGACTGTTCAGTGCCTTGGGATGTCCTCCCGATGTGAAAGGCGCTTTACAAATATAATTTTGTTCTTGTATGTCCTTCAGTGTCCCAAGGCAGTATCCTGTGTGAAGAGCACTGTATAAATGCAAGTTATTATTATCTTTGAAAGCTTTACCTGCTTTGTTAAAAACAATCAAATATTCTGAATCTGCCCGTTAGAAAATGAACTCACATGTAATCTGTGTTTCTCATGTATCATAAGATCACAAGGTCAGTCTGGATGAAGAAGGCCATTTGGCCTATATGATCTCGTCCCTCCCTCCAGTCAGTTGCACACAACAATGAGTGACCAATTTTATTTGGGGGATTTGTTGGCCAGGATCTTCGCTTTTCAAATAATGTCCACCTGAACAGGTAGATGGGACCTCGATTTATTGTCTCATCCAACAATGCAGCACATCCCATTGGAGTGTCATCTTAGACTATGTGATTCCAAGTCCAGATGTGGGGCTTGAACCCACGACCTTCTGACTCAGAGGCTAGAGTGCTACAACTGAGCCAAATTGATGGTATCCAGGCATCCACGAGATGGAACATATTTAGGCAGACTCTGTATCTGTAATGAATGCTCACCAGAGGCCACGGGCCCAGTGCAGAGACAAGAAACCCCAATTTCTACCTTGTCTTAACATGTGAGACTCTTCGTTCTGAAAATGTAGAATTGGCTGGAATTGTGGAAAATTCTTACATTTATCTTTTCATTTCGGAAGCAGCTGAGTTACAAATCCAAACAAAATTATCCACGATTCTGGACAATCTTAAATTTTACAACAAATTGGATTCCCAAGCTGAGACCGGGTGGAATTTGGTGCTAGCTTGAAGTGCTCCGGGATGCTACCCCGCGTGAAGGGCGCTATATAAATGCAAGTTGCTGTTCTTGTTGTTAGCTGCTGTGTAAGAAGCAACACGGGGGAGACTGTGACCAAGATCATAGAATGACTGGATGAAGAAGACCTTTTGGCCCATCAATCTCATTCCTCCAGAACACCCATTGTAACTACTCCTATCACAGCATCAAGCTACTTTATAAATTAAATCTGCTTGTCCTTCTAATAAACTGGTGGAACGAGCTTGATGGGCTGAATGGCCTCCTCCTGTTCATGTTCCCTTATGTTCTGAAGTACAGAATCACAGAGGTATCGAATGATGCCAGGGATAGCCTGGAAGGAGCTGGTGTGGGGGAATAGGCTGATTGTGGTGGTAATCCCCTGTGCAGGCAGGTCCAGAGACATTTGCAGCAGAGAAGACAGCCATCGGCTCATTGTGTCTGTGCCGCTCCCTCACAAGCAATCCTTTTTATAGTCCCATTTACCTGCCCTTTCCCCCCAGATCCCTGTAGTTTACTACTTTTCTGGTATTTATCTAGTTCCCTTTTGAAGGCTAATATGGATTCAACCACCGTTCTAGGCAGGGCATTTCATATTCTAACCACTCTGCGTGTGAAACTGTTTCTCCTAACCTCTCTGTTTGCTCTGTACTAACTAGCTTAAATTGATGTCACTGGCTCACTAACCAGTGGGAATAATTTCTCTATCAAAACTCTAAATCTGGATCCTGATGGAATTTCTAATTGAACTGGTGCGGAGAAATGAACTCTTCAGAAATGTCATCAATTACCAGTTTCTTATAAAGGAATCTGTTAATAAATACCATAAACCAGATCCCAACACTGGTCCCAGTTAGTGCAATTACGCCAGACCCAATGTCAAGGAATTGTTTATGCCTCAGAGTATCTGATCCTCTGAGTCTATTACTATGCTCACATCTCCAGAACCACGGAGCTGACTTGGCTCCAAGGTCATGTGCTTGATAACAATGTCAGAATCAATTCCACCCTCTGTGACGATTTCTTGTCTGGTTCCTGAGCCAGGCGAGTCTGCAGTACTCCGGGGCACTGCTGATGGCAGCATAGCCAGCCTAGCTCATTGACAGGACTTGGGCAGATCAGTCACTAGGAGCACAGACTCTTCCCCCAGCTCCCGTTAACCTTGAAAGCCAAACTCCTATCGGGGAGGGTGGGCCTAGCTGGGTAAGCAGTGGGAAGTTTGCCAGACAATGTTTTTAATGGTAATCTATGTGGTTTTAGCTGCTTTAGACGCCAGCAGTTACCCCATTGCACAGCCTTGCATCTGATACCTTGCAGGGTGCAGCCCTTTGGAAAGAGGTTGTGGATTTCATTCCAGACACAGAGAAATCTTCCTCAGTCTAGTTTGGATATTTGTACGCATGGTGATCAGTTTCAGAGGTCGTCAAATACCTGGCTAATCAAAAAAAAACGCTTATCTGTTATGGAACTGAGTGGATCAAAGAAGGCTGAGTGATAACATTGATTTCAAAAGGTTTTAAACAGGTTTGAAAAGGGAATTAGATAGGTACTTGAAAAGAAAATATTTGCAGGGTACAGGATAAGAGCGGGGGGAGTGGGACTAACTAGATAGTTGGTAGCTCTTTCAAAAAGCCAGCACAGGCACTATGGGCCGAATGGTCTCCTTCTGTGCTGTAAGATTGTATGATTATTCCAGGCAGGGCGAAACCTTGGGCAAGTTTCCTTACTCCACACCCCTAATAATAATCCCTCCAAAAAACCAAAAAACAATAATTAAATTGGTCATTTTCAATCTATGACTGTTTGTGGGACATTGCTGTGCGCAATTGGCTGCCGCGTTCGCCCACAAATATACAGTCAATTCACTTTACAGTGTGTTCTGTGAAGCGCTTTGGGACGTCCTCCCGACGTGAAAAGCGCTATATCAAATGCAAGGATTATTATTATTATTATTATTATATGAAATCAACCGTTGAGACATCTTGTGAGAGTTGAAAAAATAATAGGAAAGGAGAAATGGAAAGAGTAATTTACAGAATCCCAGTGGTACATGTGGACATAGCGAAGAGGAATGTACCAGAAATCCCAAATCACCTCAAGGTTGGCCCGAAGCCTGAGTCTAAGTACTGCCATCAGGTAAAAAATTGCTCTTTCAGCCTTCGAAAGGCAAGTCTCAAAAGGGGTCTTAGTCTATAACATTATGAACTGCATTGAGAAAGTAAACCCACAACAATACTCTTAGATACACTAAGTCAGCAGGACAAGAGGACACAGACACAGGGACATGAAGGGCAATTTCAGGACAGACACCGGATTTAAGTCTATGCACTGGGGAATTAGCATCTGGAATGTGTGACAAAGGAAGTCGGGTATTCTACGGAGATAAGTTTAAACAGCTGAATCTCTCTTTTGAACATTTCAAATTCTTGTCTGTTGATTGTGAAATTAGTGAATCAGTAACCAGATTTTGTAGAAAACCGCTCTTAGATTTCCTTCACAAAAAAAAATGCATAGTTGACAGTCTCTGCGAAGATTGGGGTCCACCCTATTTGCTCTAATTGTTTGCTCTTGTCTCCTCTAGCTGTGTTCAATCATTTTCACAGTGATTGGCTTGATCGGATCAGCGTATTGTTTCATCGTGTCATCTGTGGCTCTGGACCTGGGGCCACTTTGCCGTGTCACGCCGCTGGGGGAGTGGAAACATCCTTTTCACAAGGGGTAAGAGCTTAGCTGCAGTTTGGCCTCTTGAATCTGGCCAGAATTTGCTCCCGTTTATAAATAACATGTGATTGAGATTGTCGCAATGGCTTCATGAAATGTTGCCTTTCCATTCGCCCACAAGATATTCAGTCAATTCACTTTACAGTATATTCTGAGAAGTGTTTTGTGATGTCTCAAAGACGTGATAAGGCATTATATCAAATGCAAGAATTATTATTATTATCTATACTGGTTTTATGTACATTGATCACTAAATACAGTTTTCAGAATCTCATATGAGTTTTCTTTATCAACCGGGTATCTGACATGTGCGGAAACCCATCACTGTGCTTAAAAGTATCCAAACTAAACTGAGAATTCCATGCATCCGACTTACACATGGAAGTTTTTCAGTGTTTGAAATAGAAAACACATTCCGTCCCTGGAGAGACGCATCCTGCTTACCTAATTCAGAACCTCATGAGGAGCAGCCAATACTTGGGGAACCCAGATGTGTGTTAGGGTAACTTCTGGAGTTTAACTAGCTGAACCTGATTGTCATTTGAACACTGTTTGTGCAGCATTGACTACCTCAGCCACTAGGGCTTTGGCTCGTAGGAACTAAGTGGGAAGAATCGATTTTGAATACATTCACACATATACATCACCGAGCTTCCTTTCAAAGATAGGATACGTCTCATTTGCTACATACATGTCTCTGACAGGAATTACCTGAATGATCCAAACTTGTGGGTGAAATGTCTGGAACCCGAGAATGCGATCCCCTGGCACGTCAAGCTGTTCTCCATCTTGCTGGTGGTAAGCGCCGTTGAGTTCATTATCTGCATTGCTCTTCTCATCAACATTCTGATCGGAGTAATCTGCAAAGAGTGGAATTGCTTCAAGGTACTCAACATCATCCTCTCTGAGTAATATTATAGCATGTCTTAGGCTGTCTTTACACTACGCATTCCCACACACACCGACGGCTCCCATTCAGGGTGACATAGACAGATTACTTCATTGGTAGGGGAGAGTGGGTTAGACTGGGCACTTAAGTAGAGAGTGGGATTAGACTGGGGGAGTGGGGGGAGAGTGGGGTTAGACGGTGGGGGGGTGAAGGGAGAGTGGGGTTAGACTGGAGGAGTGAGGGGAGAGTGGGGTTAGGTAGTGGCTGGACAGAAAATTGACACACTCAGCTCCTGTTAACCCTGCAAGTCCATGCCCTAACAGGTAGAGTAGTCCTAGCTGGAGAAGTAGCGGGAAAGCTTGCCAGATTGCCATTATCTATGGTGGTTTTAGCTGGTTTAGTCTCCTGCAGTTGCCTCAGTGCACACTCTGGGGTCTCCAAGCCTTGGCTCTTGCCAACCTGCGCCTAATACTTTCCAGAATTAGGTAAGCAGGATGGATGCATCCCTCCAGGGAGAGAGAGCGCTTTCCATTCCAACAATCTATTTCTGGAATTTCCGTGTGTAGATAGCATGGTACTCTCAGTTTGGTTTGGATACTCTTAAGCATGGTGATGGGTTTCCGCCTGTATCAGACGCCTGGCTGAGCAAAAAAAAAGATAGACAACCTGTGTGTGTGTCACATCTTCTCACTCGGTGATGGTCTCGCACTGACTGAGATCCCAATGATCAGTATAAAACACTTCTCTTCACGTTCCCATAGTTGCGAAGTCCTCGAATGTTACCCCTGTTACACATGAAATGCCCAATCTCCCCCCACCACCATATGCACACACACACCCCCCTTCTAATTCTCCTTTGAAACGAGCAATGAACTTTGCCTCATGATGTCTGATAGTATTCCCATTATGCTTTAACTGACTCACTGACTCCTGACACAATCTATGAGTATTTTCCTTGTCACAACCAGTTGTAACCTTAACATCACGCCTTAACCTGCTCAACTCACTCCTCTCCTTGTAATAATGAGCTTCACACTCAATAACATGCCGATCATGTCAAACCATCTCACATAGTTTTCTGTAAAGTTTGTGTATTTGTAGACAAATGTGCAGCCAACGGGTCCACCCGGCAGCTGAACAGCACACAGGACCCCAGTCTCATCCAAAGGACGGCACCTCCACAACAGAGTGCTTCAGTGGAGTGTCGGCGTTGGACTGTGAGCTCAAACTCCCAGTGCGGGGTTTGAACCCCAACCTCCTGCTTCAGAGGGCTACCCGACTGAGGCAGGCTGACACCCGGTTACATAACCAATCATTTTCTCTGCTTTCCTTTCTCTCCTCATAGGGATACGGCCCCATCTAACCCCCATTTGAAGTGAATTCCATTAGATTGACTCAAACTGTGTGTTACTCTGGAAGGAGCTGAAGGTGACTGATTGAAATCCGCTGTGTGCAGCCGCAAAGAGGTTCAAGTGTGAAAATATTTTGCCCTATTATTTCTACAGAATCTTATGATAATATATCCCACAATTTACCTTACAAATAAATAAAGTATCCATGCAAAAGTGACATTCATTTCTTTCCCGACTTGAACCTTCCATCTAATACATATCAAGTTTACATTTATATAATATAATGCCTTTCAAGTCAGGAGGACATCTCGTGGTGCTCAACAACAGACGAGGTGAGCTGACTAGCCTGGCAGTCGATCAGAAACGCTGTGACGAATGCATTATCTCTGAGCAGGTTTATTAAGGGAGGTGCTTGTGTAAGTGCGTGGGCTGATAATGATGTAATACACAATTAATAAATCATTGGATTTTAATTGAACAATTAATAAATCCTAAACTAGATGCTTGTCATACAAATCAAACTGTTTCAGTGAAATATGTTGGGGGAGAAGTCTACCACCTTCATTAGTTTTGCATTATCTGCACATTTAGCCGCTGTGCTTGTGACTCCTAGCTCCAGGTCGTTCATGAAGATGTTAGATAAAAGAGGTCCCAAAAGAGTCCTCTGTGGAACTCCACTGGTAACATTCACCCAGTCTGGTGACATTCCCTGTACACTACCATCTGGGTTCCATCGGTCAGCCAATTACCATTGCAAGATACTTCCTCTGATTCCTGCTTTCCTTACTCTCAGTGCCAGCTTTCATTGAGAAACTGTATCGAAGGCCTTACAACATCCAGGCCAGGTATACAACATCCACCCCCTTACCCTTATCAAACTCCTTTATCATACAGTCAAAGAAAACTAGTAAATTAGTTTGGCAGGATGTCCCAACCAATTTTGAAAGTACTTTGGAGGACGATGTTATGTATTTGCTGCTAGGCCCTTTTTCCAGTCTCTCTTGCCTTCCCTATTCTCTTCTTTAATCTCTTCCTGTAGTTTTGTATTCAGCCCAATGGTCACCCGCTCCTTTCTCCCTACAAGTTTTATAAATCTTCCTTTTTTTTCCTATTGATCCATTTGGTGTGTTATATTTAGCTTGCCCTGCTGCCCTTGTGCATAAACTGTCCCGCGAGCCCTGCACAATGTTCTTTAGGGATTTCTGATTTGTCCTCGATATTGCCTTCCAGTCGGTGTCTCTGAGCTCTGTGTATAAAGCAAGGCTGTGTGAAAAACAACAGTGTTTCATTCCGTAATCACTCTCAAGAATGCCATCCTAAGGCAGAATATTACCGCTTACAGTGTCAATGGCTTTTTCTCTTGCACTTGCTCCTTCCATCAGCAGCTGACAAACACGACCAAGGGTCAGTTGCCTTGTGTGTGCTGATAACACGTGTAAATCTGATAGAAAAGAGTTGTTTTTGAGCTCAATCACATCACACCACAAGAACTGGGGAGTGAGGCAGGGAGGGAGGGAGGAAGGGAGGGAGGGCGGGATAGGGGAGATGGGGGTGTGAGACAATGTCAGAAGGATTTTCCTTTCAGCAAAATTATGTGATTCATCATGTTACTGAAATTTCATCAGAGAGGGGCATTCAATCAGAGAAAGTGTCACTGAGCTCACATCAGCTACCGCTCCCATGTACATTGGGCGACAACACTTACGGGTGGACCATTAACAAAAGCAGATAGTTGTCATGGCAAATTCAATGCCACCCACTGCACGTATCAGGGTGAAGAGAGGTTAAAGGCAGTATCTGTGTTATCAGGAGTGGCTTATATATACAGTGCTGGGCTGTGTGCAGTCAAACCATCGCTCTCCTGGATCTCGCGCTGCTCTCACAGTCAGTTGAAGACAGAAAGTGAGCCCGACTCATCACCATGTGTACTGGAAAGTGTGCCAAGTGCCTGGGCATCACCCTGATACCTCTGGCATTGCTCTGTATCATCGCCAACACTCTGCTCTTCTTCCCCAACGGAGAGACAAGATATAACACCCAAGAGACGCTGGCCAGCAGCGTTTGGTGCATGAGCGGGATCATCGGATCAGGAATCCTGGTGCGTAACCCTTCACTGTATCTTCCCATTGCCAGCACTCACACGCTGCTCAACAACACACCTTCCTTCATATGATTTCATGTCTTTAAATGAATGCAGGTTCACAACATTTCTCACCGTAAAGTGCTTTTGATTTGAGTTTGTGGTTACAATGTGTTTGAGAAAGGAAATGTCCAGAGTCTGTGGTAGAGCGGTAAGCAGCGCCTCAGGCTGGACACACCGAAGCAGTGTTCAGTCCAGAGCATAGGAAATAGCGCGCAATATACATAGCACAGTAAATACAATATATATTATAGTGAATACAGAGCACAGTAAATACAGTGAGTGTGACGTCCATTGCGGGGTCTCCTATTAGAAATAAGATCATGGACTGTAATAAGATGACAGTAATACAAGATAGACAAGATGGGTTTATGGATTTATGAAGGGGAAATCCTGCCAAACTGGAGTAACTAGGATGCCATATATCTGGATTTCAGTAAAGGTCTTTGATACAGCTCCTTTCGAAAGGCTGGTACTGAAAACAAAAAAAGCGGGAATCAGTGGAAGTATCTTATTGAACGATAGAACCCAGAAGGTGGTGCTACAGGGAATGTCATCAGGCTGGGAGAAAGTAACCAGGTGGAGTTCCACAGGGATCTTCTTTGTGACCTCTTATTTAACATCTTTGTAAACTACCTGGAGCTAGGAGTCACAAGCACAGTGGCTAAATTTGCAGATGACACAAAGCTAAGGAAGGTGATATATAATAACAACAACAACTTGTACTTATATAGCGCCCTCCATTCAGAGTGCTTAATAATAATTCTTGCATTTGATATAGTGTTTTTCATGTCTTTTAGACATCTCAAAGCGCTTTACAAAATATACTGTAAAGTGAATTTATTGTATATTTGTGATAGACTACAAAGATGAACAGGATAGGTTACAGGAGTACTTGAACATTCTTGGGAATTAGGCAGATCAAAGGCAGATGAAGTTCAACATAGAGAAATGCAAAGTGCTTCACAAGGGGACAAAAAAATTCAGGAAGGGACTATTATTTAAATGGGAAGAAAAAAATCTGTACGGAAAATGAAACCTGGTTGACAATAAATTTAAGCTATCGCAACGGTGCTTGCCAGCAGTGAGTAAGGCAAACCAGATGCTGGTCTCTATTAAAAGGGCAATATTGAGCCAAAATAGTGGGATAATTACTGGTGCAACCTCACGTGGAATACTGTGTGCAGTTCTGGTCACCGCAAAATAAAAAGGATATTCTAGCGATTGAGAGAATACAGAGGGGCAACCAAAATGATTGAGGGGATGGAGGGACTGGACTATGAGGAGCAATTAGGAAAACTGGGCATATTCACGCTGGAGAAGAAAAGGTTGAGAGGTGATATGATTATAGTCTAGATAATGTGGAGCCGGGTGATCCAACCTTTTAGCTGCCGAGGGCTGGATTCCCTATTTGAGAAAAGTCTGCGGGCCTTTGGAAGTATTTCACTTCCAGAAAAAAGACATTTATATTGCGTCTTTTTTATGTTGGAAAGGCATCTTGATATTCCCAGCCTGGCTTCTGAGCTGCAGTTGGGAGCCGAGAGAGGTGGGATGGGGAGGGGAAAGTGTGGTCAAAGAGTTAGGTCTTGATGTGCTTTGAAAGAGGGGAGGGAGTGAATGACTCGGAAGGATCCTGGGAATGGAACTCCAGAGCGCGGGGGGAGGATGGCGATGGTGGGGTAGATGTGGTGAGGGGACCTGAAGCAAGCTGGTGTTTGCTCTGCAAAGGGATAAAATCATCCGTTGGGCGACAAGCTGCCCGCAGGCCACCTGTTGAGCCACACTTACATGATAAGCTGTTTTTCCTTATACAGAACAGTAGACACCGCCCATAGTAAACAACATATAGTGTAGACCAGCCTGTGTTTTCTCTCCTGTGTAGATGGTGTTCCCGGCTCTGGTCTTCCTCGGAATGGAAAAAAATGATTGCTGCGGCTGTTGTGGAAATGAAAGTTGTGGGAAACGATTTGCAGTAAGAAATCAGAGATTATTATCAAATATTAACACCCGCCCCACTCCCACCACCCACACTGCTGGACACCCCACCCTCTCAGACATCTCCCAGAAACTCAGCCCCCACCCCCAGACAACCGAGTCCAGCATGGCTCATCAGCAGGACTTCCACCTGTTAACCCTGCAAGTCAGAGCCCTAACTGGTAGGGTGATCCTAGCTGGACAGGTAGCGGGAAAGCTTCCAGTGCTTTCAATGGAAAGTTGTTGTGGTTTTAGCTGGTTTGACTCCAGCAGTTACCCCAACGCACACTCTGGGGTCCCCAAGACTTGGCGTTTGGCAACTTGCGCTAATACTTTCTGGAATAAGGTAAACATGAAGCGTCCCTCTGCAGAGAGTACGCATTCCATTCCTGTATATGTGAATTTCCACGTGCAGGTGGGATGCATTTAACTCTCAGTTTGGTTTGAAGACTTTTAAGCACTGTGTTCAGAGCGTGCCATGTACCCACCCGGATGCTCACGTTGATGAGTTTCCATGTGCGTCAGACACCTGATTGGACACAGTGATGGGTATCCACCAGCTAACCACAAAAAAAGTTGGATGCAAGAGGAATCCTTGTATCTTTAAGTCACTAGCTCCTGCTGCTGAAAATTGTAGCTTATTTGTCAACATTGCAGCCCGCGACCCCAGTACTGCACTGAAATGTCAGCCCAGACTGTCAGCTCAAAGTCTCACAACCTTCTGACTCTGGCCTAGGCAGGCCGACAGGTGATCTCAGTACCTCTGTCTGTACAAATGGAGAAGCCAATGGTCGGCTTCGCCAAAGTCCACTTAGAAGGATTGTTTATTTTGTTCTTTGTGTCTGTCTAGAATTTCTCCTCTGTGATCTTTGCTGCCGTCGGCGTCGCTGGAGCTGCCTATTGTTTCATTGTGTCTGCAGTGGGAATCCACGATGGTCCAAAATGTGCCCTTGGGAGCAACACCACGTTTATCTACCCCTTTGAGAACGGGTAAGAAACACCTGGTCACTGCTCACTTTCACGATGAGCTGCTGTGGAAATACTGGATTGTTTTGATAATAATAATAATTGATTAGCAAATGTGAGGAGATGATGGATTTCCTCGAGTCCAAAATCGAGAGGTTCTGTTCTGCTGCCTCTTTTGATCACTTGCAGAAACATCATGCTAAAGAGTATCCAAATCAAACAGAGTTCCATACATCCCACCTACACATGGAAATTTCCCTGTGCCTGGAATGGAATGCGCACTCTTTGCCCTCTGGGATGGGTATTGGGACCATCCGCATGAAGAGATGTTGATCCATCTGATCTGTAACAACACAAAGAAGGCTTTGTGTATGTTTCTCGCGAGTAACCAGATCTCATTTGTGATCTAACCAGATCTCGTTTATGATTGCCCGGACCCTCACAGTCTCAGACATCACCATCACCGATAAAGCCATCTCGGACCATTATTTCATCTCCCTTATTCACTTTACAGTGTATCCTGCGAAGCAATTCTCCACCACAAACCAGCTCCTACGTCCAACTTCCCATGTTTCACCCATCCTCTCCTCCAATTCCAAATGTGAGGAGATGATGAACTTCCTCAAGACCCCTCATACTTCCTCCTACCCCTACCCTGCCTGACTCCAGCTCCCAGCTCGGGTGCAAACCCATTGTCCAGCGCCTTGGGCCATCCTCCCAACATGATAGAAATGTTAAATATATATAAATGTATATTTTTTCTAGAAATATAATTTGTTGTTGTTGTTCAATGTTATTATAGTCAATCCCAATGCAAAGCCTGAGTGAGTAAGATTACTACCAGCATTGATCAGGGGTGGTCAGAGACTTGTGGATCTTTTCATGCTCTTGCTTGTACAGGATTAATCAGTTACGCTTTGCTCTAACCCGTCCCTTTCTGTTTGACAGCAATTACCTGAGCAATCATACTCTGTGGGAAAAATGCTCTACACCGAAAAACATTGTCCCCTGGCACCTCACCTTGTTCTCTCTGTTGCTGCTGATGAGTGCTGTGCAGCTGGTGCTCTGTGCATTCCAGGTTATCAACGGGCTGATCGGCTTCATCTGCGGCGATTGCTGTAACTGCTGTTCTTCAGGTAGTGGCGCCTTTTATTACCAAACTCCATCACCTCACCACAAACACCGCCCTTCCCTGACAAGAATCAGGAAAAGGAGCAAATGGAGTTCAACATTAACACTGAGCGCATAGTGAGACTGAGGAAAGTGGCCTCCAGCCAATGCTCAGCACATCATTTGCCTCAACACATCACCCTCTCCAACAATCCACACCCCCCCACCCCTCCCCTTCAATAGACAACACCCCCAACACACAACCCTCCTCAATGCACAAACTTTTTTTTGGGGGGGGGGTCAGCCGAGTGTCTGACATATGTGATAAGGCCAGCTCGGACCCTTACTTCATCTCCCTTATTCGCTTTACAGTGCATCCTGCGAAGCACTTCTCCACCACAAACAAGCTCCTAAGTCCACCTTCCCATGTCTCACCCAACCTCTCCTCCAACTCCAAATGTGACACAACTCACCACGCTTAAGACTCTCCAAACTCATTCAACCCAAAGCGAAAATCTATTATCGAAGTGTTTCACGGATGTGAAGGACTAACATTGTATTCTCTCTCTCTCTGCAGAGTAAAGCTTCCTCTGAGCAGCAAGACGAGGGGCAGGTTCACAGCAGCTCCAATTATCAGAGATCCTTTAGTGAATTGTAACATTCCCTTTCACTTCCCCCCACCCCCCCGTCCCCCACCCCTCCATCTCTCTGTCTGTCCATGTTTATCTGTGTGTCTATTTGTCTGTGTGTCAGGAGGCGAGGAGGATGGCTTTGCTCGGAGTATCAGTTTCTGCCTCCCCCAGAGAGTGCATTTCTTCACCACTGTAGTTTATTAGTAATAACAATAATAATAATGATAATAATAATCTCAGGTAGGGCTAGAGCATCATCTTCCCATCCATAGCCATCACCATCCAAACACTGCAACATTTGGACATTTCCCTGCTCTCTCTCCCCTGGTAATACTTATACCCTAGTAATCTCCCTCTATTTGCTTGTTTTGAGGACTCGGGTCTTATGAAAAACTAGTTTTCCATAATATGCAAATTTAATTAGTTTTGTACTATATTTATGGTAAACTATTAAAGGTTTATTTGAAATCCTCTGTCTGTCTGGCTTCACTTGACCAGTAATCAAACGTAGGTTAAACTCGTGTTCAGTTAGGCTGATCTCAGCCGCACAGCACTTGTGTTACAGTTGGCCTCAGTACCTTTGGGTAAGGAAGGGAAAGCTGCCGGGTGGACACAGGATTGCCCTTGTGTTGTGGCACCCCCTGGAGTTAAAGAGCTGCCATTCATCTTAATAATAATAATAATCGTTGCATTTGATAATAATAGTAATAATCCTTGCATTTGATATAGCGCTTTTCATGTCGGGAGGACGTCCCAAAGCGCTTCACAGAACACACTGTAAAGTGAATTGACTGTATATTTGTGGGCGAACGCGGCAGCCAATTGCACACAGCAATGTCCCACAAACAGTCGTAGATTGAAAATGACCAATTTATTATTGTTTTGTTTTTTGGAGGGATTATTATTAGGCTCTGTGTGGAGTAAGGAAACTTGCCCAAGGTTTCGCCCTCTGCCTGGAATTGAACTCAGGTCTCTCACTGAGCTACAGGACTCCACCAGAGCACCATATCACGTTTTCGAGACATCTCAGTGTTTCACAGAATATATTGTAAAGTAAATTGACTGTATATTTTGTGGGTGAAACACGGCAGCCAATTGCGCACAGCAGTGTCCCTCAAACAGACACGGATTTTGTGACCAAACTATTTTTCTTTTTTGAAGGGATTAATACCCTCGGAAAAGCGATCCTCCAATCGACTAACAACAGGGCTCCTACTTGCTTGGTAATCAGAGGTGTGTGGAGTAAGGAAACTTGCCTATTGTTTCGCCCTGTCTGGGAACCCACTTGCGAGAAAAGGCAGTTCCTCCTGGTGTCCTGGCTAACAATCCTATGGATGTTGTGAGCAAATAGCTGCCATGTTAACTTACACAATCACATTCACTACATTGAACAGTAAATCCTGTGATGAGGTTACCAAAGTGATGCTGCCAAATGCACGGATTATTATTATTTTCGGAAGACATTTGAGAAAGCTCCAGATGCAAGGCTCTTACAGAACGTTAAGGCGAATGAAGCACAAGTTTAGAGGAGGTCATTGTGAGCGTGAGAATTCCACACTGCGAGGAGACCAAGTGTTTGCGTTATGTCAAGTGCAGGTTAAACACACGAACCTAATGCAGGTTATCTGACAGCATGAGAAACGATTGATTTTTGGCATTTGTTTATGGTGTGAATTTGAGGAATAAAGTTAGAAAATAGAGAAAACAACGAACAAAATGTTGCCTGCAGGACAAAGGATCATGGTACGGAATGACGAACTCAGGTCTGCGCTTTAAAGGGTGCCTGACCCCAGTGACCATTCCCTGGTCCATGTGCCAACAGCGCTGCCCTCCAGGTGGCCAATTGATGACCTGCTGTCTTTATGGCCTGTCCATTGCTGGGAGTTCCCACAATGACCAGCAGGTGTCACTGTGTGACCACAAAACACCAGCCACTGAGTGGCGCGGGTAATGCAACCTGATGGCTCAGATCACGGTCACTGTAGGTTACCGGCACCGGTGACTGCTCTCAGCAGTGGTTAAACCTGCGCTGCGAGCTACTGAATGTGAGGGGGGGGGGGGGGGGGTCAGCCCCCACCCCGCCTTGGGAGAGAAGGCCTCACACACATATGGTCTATGGGGAGTCAAGTGGAAGAAGCTTCAGTAAAAATTGAAGAGAGGATGGACTGAGCCTGGGACTGAGAGCTGAGCGTGCGGGAGGGGAGGGGATGTATGTGGTGAGGGTGTTTGTGGGGGGTAGGTGGGAGGGGGGTTGGGGGGAGATTGGGGGGGAAGTTAGGGGGTTTGAGAGAATCTGTGTACAATTCCAACAACGATAAATGACATTGATATAGCCCCTTTGTCCCAAGTCACAGTCCAGGCTGGAGAGACACTGCATTGTTGGCGATGTCATCCTTCGGATGTAAAACCAAGGACCTTCTGTGTTCAAGTGGACATTAAAAGATCCCATGGCATAACTCGAGATGAGAATGAAGTATCTCCCGGGGTCCTGGCCAACAAATCCCCAGGACAAAATTGGTTCCTCACTTCATGGCTCTTTGTCGGATATTGCTGTGAGCAAATTATCTGCTGCGTTCACCAACAAAATACACGGTGATGCACTGCACAGTAAAATCCTCCAGCCTCAACCCCTTTGAGACATCTCGATGATGTAGTGAAGCTCTGTATCAAAAGATCTGTAAAGATCTAATGAAGTTTGTGGATGTGCTGAGTGGGCTCCTGGTCCTGTTTTCTCTGATTATCTACGATTTGCCCCATTATCTTGTGCAACAAAGCACTGACTCAATCACCACATTGTAAAAACAAAAACACACTGAATACTTCCTTAAAGTTAAAATCCAATTATATTTATTTTAAGCTTGTTGTACAAGACTTGTTGTAAAGAAAGTGAAACCAGAACCAAACATGCATATACACAACCTGTGTACAGTCACTGTCATACCCAGGCCTGTGTACAGTCACTGTCATACACAGGCCTGCGTACACTCACTGTGAGATACACAACCTGTGTACACTCACTGTCATATACCGACCCGTGTACACTCACTCTCACATGTACAGCTAAGTGCCCACAGTGCTCAGACGCACAGTGAAAGCTCTCCCTGATCCCAGTGGCCCTGACAGGTTAGAGCTAGCTTCCTGAGGTTTAGTGTAAATACACCTTATTCAGGGTTATGTGCCAGGGAACACTGCACGCAGGGAGGCCCCACTCGTTCCGTAGTGTCCAATCCTCTAGCTATAAAGTTATTCGAATCCAACTTCTCATTCATGCTCCCATTTCCCACTGAAACAGTCTTCTTGTTGCATATTGGGGGGGTGCAACACTATCAATTTTACCCACACAATAACATGCCGGTCCAGCACTGACCACACACATACAGAGAGCGCACGCACAGTGAGCACACACATATAGTGAGCACACACATATAGTGAGCACACACAGACACTGAACAGACACACTGCAAGCAGTGAGCACACACACACTCAGTGAGCACGATGAGCGCGCACACACACACACACGCACAGTGAGCAGTTAGCACGCGCACACAGTGAGCGCAAACACACACACCAGACTTTTGATCACACCCCCGCACACCGACATCCCCCTTCAATGCCCCCCTTCAAAATTCATTCTGACTTTCTTACTCAACGATTACAAATCCTGAATTAAAACTCATGAACGAGCGAGTAGTGTTGTGTTTCCATCGTTTAAAAAGAATCCTGAAACAATTCAACCTGATAATAAAAAAATCTGAGTTTCATCACGGCAACAATTAAAAACATTGGGTTTATATAAAAAAGAACAAAGTTCACCACTCGATAAAATGTGGCCTTTGTTTAGTTTTTTTTGTAGTGTAAGAATCGTAACTATTTTTACAGAAATTAAGATAGTAAAGGTTATGCACTTAAATTCATACTAAATTATTGTAATCCTTGCATTCGCATTCTCAAAATAATATAATCTCAGAACGTTGAGAGAAGCAAGCTGGGTAATAGTGAAGTCAGTGAGAAGCACAGCAAAGCTGGAGAGTTTTGCTGTGCAATGGTTTAAAGGGACCCACAATCAAAGTGATCCTTCATTGTTTCTACATTTATACTGAACAATATGAAGGCTTTCAAGCTCTGCTTTGTTCTGGAGCACCTTGTTTTCCCTGGTGAAGCAGCTCTCTGAAACAACCTGTCATTAATTCTCTTTATCGCCTTGCTTTCTTTCGTCATTTCAACCCAGAACCACCCAGCTCAGTCTCGGGCCACGCGAGTAAAACAGGACAGAGTTAAAAGAGAAAAGAAACGGTTTGTCTCTTTGGTTCATTTTCTGTTTGGCAGACTAATAATAATAATAAAATATTAATAATAAAAAATCATCCAATTTGCCATGCAAAGTAGGACTAGCCAACGGCCTATTGTATCTTCTAGCAGAAATAAATCCCAGCAATACGAGGAAGTTCAAAGGCAACACTGAGATTCTGTAAGAGCAGAGATCAGAGGTACCCATTGGCATCTTTTCTATTTTAATGACAAGCCCAGCCCACCAGAGAGCAGAACAGCCCAGGTCACCTCTAATCCAAGCAGAAAGGGACCATCCACCTCCATTTTTCGTGATCTTTTCTCTCTCTCTTGCTCTCTCCCCCACTTCCATAAGCTCTTACAACCATGTGAGGAAAGTCTCTTTAGGGTTCAGGCTGCTCTCCACGTCAGGCAGGATATCGGTTTCGAATGGCTCCTGCAGACTTGGCATCAGATCCTCTCCCTCCAGTGTCCCCAGGTCCACGTTGGTCCCAGGCAGCGAGTCCAGGAAGTCAGGAAAGCGACTGGGCTGGTTTGCAGTCAGAGCACTTTGTCCCATGTCTCCTGTGGATTCATGGCTGTTAGTTACATTGAGCTGAATACACTCATCACACTCACAATGCTGGCTCCACTTTATCTCACACACAACTCCCTACACATTGTGTGCTTTGTTGGTGACCATTTTTCACATCACCAGTGCTGTTCAGGCCAGAGGTCAATACCATGTGGCGGGGGGAGGGGGGAATAGAGAGTTTACTGCTCTGGTTTCCCTCTCTCACAGGCGTGTGTGTGTGTCGGGGGGGGGGGGGGGGTGGGTTCTGTCTGCTCAACTGCATTTTGTATGAGTACAGGTGTAATTACAGGGTAATATCTTGGGAATCAGTGATCAGTAAACATCACCGAACACAATGACTACAGTGAATGGTAAGATTGGGCAGAAAAATCTGATTCAATAAACTTGCTGAAACCTGGAGGGCAAAATGTTGCCATGACCTCCCGTAATCTGCAGCCCAACTCTCATACCTGAGAGATACGGTGGTTGGTTTCTGTTGTTTGTACAGCTGCTGCAAGTCCGGCTCTTGGAACAACCTGGGCAGCGTCTAATCCATGTCCCTACGGCCTGCAGTGTCTCATTAAAGCACCCAACCTACCTGTGTCCATCTCCTCCACGTGGCCAAGGAAGTCTTCGGATGTTCTCCCTAACCCTAGGCCGCTGTCAGCACTGGCCTGTCGCGAATGGTAAGGCCCACTGTACGGTGAATGATGAGAGAGGAAAGAGAAGTGGTTATTAAAACTAGTCATAACATAACTGCCCTGATAAGAAAATCTGAGATGCTCCTTATCTCTTGGCTGCACAAAGGATAACGCACATAGAGGGAAGTTATGCCACTTACCTATTGAGGAAGGGATCCGAGCCATTGTTTGTGATGGCGTGCATCTCCTGGGTCATGGTGGGTGTGGAGACTGCGTTCTGGGCTGTGGGAATATTGTCTGATTCAATGGGAATTTGATTGGGAATCTGATTGTAGAGAGCTTTCTCCTAAAGGAAACACACACACTGTCACCAGCCGTTGCTCAGACAGGGAAACCCATCAGAACAGGTACTGCCCCCATTCCCCATCGCTCAGACAAAGGCCCAGAGACCACAGCCAATGCCACACAACTCAACCTCACAGACACCGTCACTCAGGAACAGGCAGCTCAGCCCATCTGTGTCACAGCCTCTTCAGGGTAGACCTTCCCTACATCCCTTGATGCTTTTATTTCACTGCTACTTATCCAGTTCCATTTGGAATGCCTCCACGTATTGATCCATTATCAGTAGCCACTTGTGGGAATCCCAGCCCGACCCCATCCCAGCCTGTCCTCATTCCCATCCCAGCCTGACCCCATCCCAGCCTGTCTTCAGCCCCATCCCAGCCTGAACCCATCCCAACCTGTCCTCATCCCCATCCCAGCCTGACCCCATCCCAGCCTGTCCTCAGCCCCATCCCAGCCTGACCCCATCCCAACCTGTCCTCATCCCCATCCCAACCCCATCCCAACCTGTCCTCATCCCTATCCCAACCTGACTCCATCCCAACTTGTCCTCATCCCCATTCCATCCTGATCCCATCCCAACCCCATCCCAGACTCAGGCAAATCCCCCCTTTCTGAATCTGGAACCTCAAAGAGTTGGCATTTCCTAGCACCAATCTGACATTGTGGAGTCCTGTAGCTTAGTGGTTAGAGCACTCGCTTTGCAAGTGAGAGACCTGAGTTCAATCCCAGGCAGTGGGAAACCTTAGGCAAGTTTCCTTACTCCACACGCCTAATAATAATCCCTCCAAAAGCAAAAACAATAATAAATTAGTCATTTCAATCTACGACTGTTTGTGGGACATTGCTGTGCGCAATTGGCTGCTGCGTTCGCCCACAAATATACACTCAATTCACTTTACAGTGTATTCTGTGAAGCGCTTTGGGACATCCTCCCGACGTGAAAAGCGCTATATCAAATGCAAGGATTATTATTATTATCTACCCTTTGACATTAAAGCTAATATCTTGATGCACTTCATAAAATATACAGTAATTGATGAGAGAGGAAGCGAAAGTTCTGGAGACTAATGTGAGTCTAATCTGTGCCAGGACGTCCCGTGGGATGAGCAGCCGATGGAATGAATTTGGGTGAGTCTTGGACGAGAAGGGGAATATAAACCGAAAGATGCCATGGCGGTTCCTCAATCACACAGCAGATAGAAAACAGCGGAAAATGTCAAAGGTTACTAGCACAACCTGAAACTTTCAGACATGGGTCTAAAGGCTAAAACCAGGCGGAATTCTGGCACTGGTAGCGTCGGCACAGTGTGTCCTCCCATGAGCATAGTGCTGGAGGGAGGAAGAGAGATAGAGACAGAGAGAGAGAGTGAGACATAGAGAGTGAAAGAGACAGAGAGAGTGAGACAGAAAGAGAAAGAAAGAGTGAGACAGAATGTGAGACAGGGAAAGTGAGAGACAAAGTAATGACAGAAAGATGGGAGTCAGCGAGTGTGTGAGATAGAGCATTTGACAGACAGTGTTCTGGATCTGTTTGTTGGACAGTGCACAGTTTGGCAACAGCGTGGAGTCCAGACAATCTTTATTTTTATCCAAACAAAAACAAAGTTCCTGTCAGCCCTGTCCGTGTTGTGTAAAACAGGCCTGTCCTCAGCCACTGTCGGTGCCCAGGAAACACTCATTGTTTACAGCAGATTTGGTCTGTGTTCCCCTGCTCTCTCCCCATCGTATCTGTGCTGGTGCTCGCTCCCCACTGGAGCTCTCTACTCGAATTTCATTCCCTGCTCTCCCCACCCAATCCAAACCTCTCTTCTCTGCTGACCTGCCAGTGATGATTGGTTTCACTTGTCAGATCAGTATTTTAATGGGAACTTTAAACTTTGAAACCCAGATTGTTTTATAAAACCTCCAACGGCAACAGGTGTGAAGTTAGTCACTCTACCTTCTCGGGCCGCAGCCTAGGAATATGATCTGCCCTTTTAAGAAGCCTCTGTGTCTGAGCCTCTCTGGCTTGGAATCTCTGATTTTACAAAGTGCGACTCCTCCATTTGAAGGAGTTTGCGATGGAGCAGAACAGCCCCAGGGCTATAGCACATGGCTCAGACCCGCTCTCACATTCCTGCTGATAAAGACAGTTTGTTCTCTGGCACTCAGACTGCAAGCTTCCCCAACTGTGGCTCATTGATGTCAACAGCAACAACTTGCCTTCATATAGCGCCTTTCACACGCCCTCACTCAGCGAGCATCAGCTGCTTCGTGTCCTGTGGCCCCATCGGCGGGTGCGCTTTCAGCCATTCTGCCCTCCCACTCTCCGGATCTGTATCCTGAGTGCCTCCCCTCACCTCATTCACGGCACGTCTCAAAACGTACCTCTTTGACCGCTCTTTGAGTCATCTCTCAAGTGCTCTGGGACGCTAGCCTGCATGAAGGGTGCTATATAAATGCAAGTTGTTATTGTATCTCCCCATATCCTCCTGATGTGAAAGGTGCTGTATAAATGGAAGTTGTACTGTATTCACATAGCATCGTGTCTCTGTGTTTTACAATGTTGGTGGATGACATGGTGAGGGATGGGGAGCGGGAGATGGCCAAAGGCATAGTCACGGAGATAGGTTTTAAGCCGGGACTTGTAACACAGTTGGGGGGGGGGTGGGGAGTGTTGGGGTTGAGGGAGTGTACCCTCGCAGTGTTGGTGTGAGGGCTGGGCAGGATACCTACATGTGGGCAAGGCAAATTACCTGTCTCATGAGCTCCTGCTGCAAGTGTTTGATCCGCTCCTTCTCCATCTGGATCTGCTGGAGCCTCATCTTCTGCTGGTGTTTTTGCTGCACGGACAGGGCGGTGGACAGGTTGAGCATGGGCAGGCGGGGGCCGGGGGAGCCCAGGGCTGGGGTCGGCCCCGAGGCCAGAGGCTGCTGCGTCATCACTGGTCAGAGAGCAAACAGACTGAAGTCACGCAGGCATCAGACAGTTTCAATAGAACCCATCAAAATGGGAGGCAGACAAACAGTGCCCACAGCCAGGGCCGGCCAGCCTGCAGAGTGGGATTGATAACGAAGCAGCGTTGGGAAAACAGCAACCCTGAGCCAAGTCCGTCACCGCACATCAACCACAGCAGCAACTCCGGGATCTGTGCTCTCCTCGCTCTCGCTCTCTCAGTCTCGCTGCGGGGTGTGACGTACAGAGCTGAAGACCCTGACTCAGAATGGATGTCACTGGAGCGGTTTAAGCTGAAATGCCCGTGAGCTCGTGCGCCGCTTCTGACGGAATTACAGCAAAACTCTTGTTATTTACACACATTATTGGGGTGTGAGCCCCAACAGCTACTCGTAAAATATAGACAACTGTGGAGGGGAGCGCTGCGGGGAGTATCTGAGTACTTTAAGTTGGGGGTGGGGAGTAAGGGGGGCTGCCCAGCACCAATTCCCTCGCCGATGCAGTAAATTCAACGGCAATGAGGTCCGCGTCCTGGTGCTGACTCCTCACTGGAGCTCCCTAACCCATTCCCTGTTCTCTCTCCTGATCTTTTTCTGGACACTTCGATATGATGTTCCCTCTAGGATTTATCTGGTTCCCTTGTTGAATGCTTGAATCGTCCGTTTGTGGTGAGACGTCTCACATCCTAAAGTTCCCCGGGGGGGGGGCAATCGTCTCCTCTGACACCCTGTTTCTCTGCTGTTCTGAAAGCATCGAGACCAAGTGAAATCCCAGTGCTGTGTGCTGGCCCCCCACTACCTGCCTTGGTCTTGGGGTGGGGGTCCCTACCCTACCCTCCTCTGTCGGGGTGAGGGGTGGGACAAGAGAGAGCTCAACACCCAAAAAGATGGAATGGTTTCAGGAGGGCCACATTAAGGGATTGGGGGGGGGGGGCCTAAACCAGATCACATTTGTGCCCTTTGAACTACGCACATCAATACGCAACAATCCTTTTTGAAGATACTTTCTTGCACGACTTCATAGTTGCAGACATTCAACTACATGATCCACACTTAGTGTAGGTGTCAAATCATGCTCAATACACAGGATTGCGAGTGCATTCACTCTATCCTGGGTCATTGTAGATCTGAGTGAGTTTTTGATGAGACTGAGCTTTGAGAACGAGCGATCACCTTCACTGGCAGTGACTGGTCGTGTTAAGGACATACGGAGAGCGACGGACACATTTGTAAATGTTGATTCCATCAAAGTGATTCTGTATCGTATACTTTAGCATTTCTCACCGGGTTTTCTCACACTGAATTAATGTGTGATATGAAATCCGGAAAGTGCACATATCCATTAACACTGTCTGCATCACAATGTATTTCCAGCGCCACTAAGAGAAGCTCTATTGCTGCTGCTCATGGCTCCTGCTCTCCAGCTGCCTCTGTCCTGGGCTCCTGACAGTCTCAGACCTCCTGCTCCAACCCACTGGCTATCACTCACCCGTTGCCTCACCAGACTGTACAAGGAGGCACCGTGAGTGACGGCAGGAGTGGCGGGCCTGGAGGTAACAGCGTCAATCATAGCCGGGGCCCCTCAGCCCTCGGGACCCTAAGCCATGGCTTGTTGGCTAATCCGGCCCTGGTTTCAGGAGCATCACAGATACACAGGAGCGGATTTTTTCAGATCCCGTCTGCGTAAAGCCGGGTCATGCGAGTGGGTAAACGAGACGCGTTTTATGTAGTTCTTGATTATTTAGATATAGATGACAGGCTTTGTGCCGAGTGGCGGATCTCAGTCCAACTCATTCTCACCAGCGACAATGGCTCCTGGTGAACAAGTGAGAGGTGGTTGATAAGCGAATGAATATAACCTCACTGTCATTGTATAGAACGCTTCAGTACAGCACTGTCTCTCACTGAGAACTTTGTGCAAATCCGACAAACTGGACCCATAGAAACACAGTTACAGCTCAGAGAACATCACCCTTACTTGCGCGCTGACTCTCTGAGACAGTCGTCACCCTTTCTGATACACACACACACAAAGTCCCCCACCACCTCAATACACACACAGCCCCACCCCACTTACCCCGTGATACACGGGTTCACACGTTTAGATCTTTGGATATTTTATCTATTTCTCTCTTAACCCTAGCAGTGATTCTGCCTGAAGCAGAATTCAGATGACAAAACTCATGAAAAGTGTGAAAAGTCTCTCCTGTCGTGTTGCTCTGTGATCTCGCTGCACTGTGGATGCTCTTTACGACTAAGTCCAGCACATGAGCGTGTCTGTGAGCTGCTGCCCTCCCCCGGCTCACGAATACGTCACAGTCATGGGGTGATTTTCCTCTAGGCCATCAACAATACAAAATTACATTTGTATCGCGCCATCCACGTCGGGAGGATGTCCCAATCAACCTGACGCCGGGGTAGACATCATCCGCTAGGAATGGAGAAGGGCTGACCCCCCACCACACTGCTTCTCCTTCCCACTCAGTCCAGGGTAGGGGCAGTTTGAAGAGGTGTGTGGGGCGGGTGGGGGGGGGGGGGGGGGGGAGAGAAAACGGGACAGAATGAATAACCTTCCTCTACACGTGGTCCTTTTTTGACTCTTAATGGACCTAAAACTCCAATCATGCCTGAAGGAGCACCCAGAACAGTGATTGCTCACTCAGTGAATGTTGCTCTCTCAGGAGGCTGAGATCAATGGTCGGGAGGCGGGGGAGGGAGGGGGGGGCGGCAATGTCGTGTCCGCTCCGCATTGCATCTGACCCGGAACCATAACCCGACCCTCAGGCCCCGTGACCGCCACTGTGGAACCCACTGTGACCTGAGCCAGGGCGGCTGGGCTCTGCCCGAGGCTGTGTTGGGTTCTTACTGCAGAGTTGATCCAGTCGTGGGTCGAGCCAGGACGTAGACTTGGTTTTGTGGTTGATGAAGTAAATTTCTCCCTCAGGTGTCACTGCTTGTTCCCACCCTTCAGGCACTGGTCCTGTTTGAATGGAAACACCACGAGAATGAGCAGTCTGTTGTCCTCCCATGTAAGAAATTCTGTGTAAATAAAGGGGGGTGGGGATGGGGGAAGAATGGAGCCACCTTCACACACCCGGGTCAGTGAGCGGACAGCAGGACGTCCGTTAGAAACAGATAACAGCGTGCAAAGCTGCCCCCCACCACGATCCACCCCCCCACACACACACACACACTCAGGAAAGACAGAGATCAACTACAGGCTGAATGGTGTGGTTGGTCAGTGACGGGTCAGGTCTCCACACTGACCGCTGATGGCACGAGGAGGACTCCACGGTGTGATGCTGTGTCTGGGATGGCCTGAGCCCGGCTGACGACTTCACTGGCTACTGGGAAACCTGAGGCTTGACCCGGAGATCGAGGAGGCTGCAAACCAGACAAAGCCATACCCCAGGGATTCTTCCAGAACATTTATCAGGCAGTCACAAAGTAAAATACGTTGTGTTTCCAGCCAAAAAGAAACCCTCTTCCCGGGTCAACAGGTGAGCAATAGCCCCCCCACACCACCTGGGCTCAGTAGGGAGCTAACAGGATGCAGTTGTCAATCAGTCCTAAACAGGGCCACATTAAGGGATTGGGGGCCCTAAGGCAGATCACGTTTGGTGCCTTTGAACTACGCACACAAAATATACAATACCTTTTTAAAATACTTTCTTGTGTGACTTCATAGTTGCAAACATAGGAACAGGAGCAAGACATTCAGGCCTCGAACCTGTTCCTCTATTCTATAAGATCATGGCTGATTTGTACCTCAACTTCAATTATCCACCTTTGCCCCATCTCTCTTGATATCCTGACCTAAAAAATGTCTATCCACCTCAGTCTTGAAAATGTGAATGGATCCAGTACTCCAGATGAGGGTCTGACCAAGACTATGCAATTGAAGCATCATTTCCTCTCCATTACATTACAGTCCTCTTCAGATAAGGACCAACATCCTTTTTGATAACTTTTTCTACCTGTGAGCTTGTTTAATGATCTGTGTAGGTAGACAACGGATCCCTTTGCTCCCCCAACAGTTCCTAGTTTCTCACCATTTAGGAGGTATTCTGTATTGCTATTTTAGGATCCATTGTGGATGACCTCACACTTCCCATATTAAATTCTATCTGCCAAATTTTGCCCTCTCACTTAATCTGTCTAAGTCCCTTTGTAATTTCCTGCACCCATCTACCCAAATTTACTGTGCCTCCTAACTTTATGTCATCTGCAAATTTTGATATAAAACTCTCTATTCCTTCATCCAAGTAATTTATATATTATATATATATGTGTATGGTGAAAAGCTGAGGCCTCAGTACAGATCCCTGGGGAACATCATTTGTCATATCCCGCCAATCACAGAACGTTCCCTATATCCCTACTCTGTTTCCTGCCTCCCATCTAATTATGAGCCATGCCACAAGGCTAACTCCGATTCCAAGCGCTTATCAAATACCTCCTGAAAGTCCATATAAATGACAACCTCTCTTATCCACCATATTGGTGACCTCATTAAAAAAATTCAATTAGATTCAGCAGACATGACCTTCACAAATCCACACTGACCCTCTTTTGATTAGCTCATTCTTGTCCAAGTGATCAGTCACTCTGTCCCTGATGTGAGATTCAAGTAACTTCCCCACAAATTAAGTTAAGCTGACAGATCTGTAGTTACTGGCTTCTCCCTCCATTCTTAAATAATGGAGTCACATTTGCAATTTTCCAATCCAAGTGCACAATTCCCGAATATTATAGAGAGCTTTGGAAAATCATGACTAATGCATCTGCAATTAGCTCCCCTACTTCGTTTAATACCCTGGGGTGGAATGCATCAGGTCCTGGAGATTTGTCTATCTTTAGACTCATTATTTTCTCCAATACCATTTTTTAAATTTATATTAAATACATTTAATACTTCCCTTTGGCTTATTTTTACGTTCCCTTGTACCGCTGGTATTTTGTCCTCTTCCTCTGCTGTGACAACTGAAGCAAAGTATTCATTCAACAAGTCTACCATTTCCTAATTGTGCATTATAGACTCAACTACATCCGTCTTTAATACATGTAAAAACCTGTCATCTACATGATCCACACTTAGTGTAGATGTCAATTCATGCTCAATAGACAGGATTGCAAGGGCATTCACTCTATCCTGGATCATTGTAGATCTGAATGAGTTTTTGATGAGACTTCGCTTTGAGAACAAGCGATCACCTTCTGGTTGTGTTAAGGACATACGGATAGCGACGGACACATTTGTAAATGTTGATTCCATCAAAGTGATTCTGTATCATAAAGCATTTCTCACATGGTTTTCTCAAACTGAATTAATGTGTGATATGAAATCCAGAAAGTGCACATATCCATCAACACTGTCTGCATCACAATGCATTTCTAGCGCCACTAAGAGAAGCTCTATTGCTGCTGCTCATGGCTCCTGCTCTCCAACTGCCTCTGTCCTGGGCTGGGCTCTGGGAGGAGACTCCTTAATCTGGCCCTGGGCCTGAGACACTGGGACACTTGGAATCCTGGCTTCACAGGGGCAAATCTTGGAGACGCAGACACTCACATAGAAAGAAGCGCTGGATTGTCAGAGGTGCCGTCCTTCGGATGCGATGTTAACCCGAGGTCCCTCCTGCCTGTTCAGGTGGATGTTAAAGATCCTGTGGCGCTATTCAAAAAAAGAAGCAATTCTCTCTCTCTTCCGGTGTCCTGGCCAACAATCCCCCAGATAAACGTGGTCACACAGTCACCGCAGCCTTTGAGAACAATTCCGTGTGAGAGATTTTCAATCATTGTGAAGTGTATGGACGATTACTCTGGTCTCCATGGGAGAAGCTTTTGATCACCATTCAGTAATCAGCGGCAGGAGACCCAGCCTCACAGAATCTTTGGCCAATTACTGCCCCCAACACAGCAACACGTCACAGAACAACCCCCGTCAGACATCCCCCAACCTTCAGACAGACCCCATTCAGCCCCCCGACAGACAAACAACCCCACCAGGAGTGCTCCCCCACCCCCCCTGCAGATCCTCCCAGATAAACCCCCATCCCAGACACATATCCCAGACATACACCCCCACCCCTGCCGACACAGAATGTCTTCCAAAACAGACCCCACCCCAGACAGACCCCAAAGTCCCCCCGCTCCAGACATGCCTAATAGCCCCCTCCCGCACCCCCAATGCAGTGATGGAGTCCTGTGTTCACTGTGTTTGTACAGTGGAGGCCAACTACGTATGCTATTCCTCATCAGGATTCATTAACAAGGGAATGCTGTCAGATTCCTGTGACAGAATGATGTGCTTCCAGTTAGTGGAAGGAATCCATATAGAGAGAACTCGTTAGAAATCACGCATGTTAAGCTGACTCAGGCTCTGGGCTCTGCCCGTTCTCACTTGTGAAACCACTGATACTGATACTATTTGTCTCCGGAGATTCTCATATGGTGACAGACGGCTGATACCCTCATGGTCTGGCCTCAGAGAAGTCCCTGGGGTTAGCACAGGCACAGCTCTTGCCCAGCTCGAGGTCAGGGATTGTTAAGAGATGAGAGACACAGCGCACAAAACTGCAAGAGCAACCGATACAGGATTATGGAAGCTAATCCCCACAGACAGCTCAGCCCGGATCCCGATACGGGGCAAGTGGCCTGGGCCCAGGATTCTCCCCAAAGCACCAGCAGCAGAATGCAACCGGAACTGAATCCAAATCCGAGAAAGAATCATTAGCAAAAGGTAATGGCCGTAGACACACCTCACTCACCTCCACTAGAACCCACCGTCTATCCACTGCAAAAAGACCAAGGAAAGGGTGACACAGAGGGACTGCGGCTGCATTCAGCCTAAGTGACGTTCATTGAGGAGGGTGATGCACTCCATGGCAGGGGATACACAGTGACACAGGGTTAGGTACACAGTGACACTGGGTTAGGTATAGAATGACCCAGGGTTAGACACACAGTGACAAAGGGTTAGGTTACTGCACAAGGATCAGTTATTGACACCTGGAGAAAGATGTAATGACTGAGCAGGAATTATCAATGGACAAAGCGAAGAGAGAAAGCCAATAACTTGCACCTACCCATCGCCCTTCACACCTGTCAATAAGCTGGGAAGAAAGGCACCGTTGGGCAGGGAGCGTTTGTACCAAACGCTGTAAAAGAGAGTTTTGAAGGCAGGGAGAGAAGGAACGAGGAGATGGGCTTTTAGCAAAGATCCAAAGAGACAGAGGCTGAAAGCTCGCTCAGTGTCCATGGGAGGAACGAGGAACGAGCAGGAAGAATTGGAACTCTTACAGTTTCATGAAATCTATTGCTTTTATCTGTTCAATGGACTGCGGCAGAGGAGGACAGGCCCGAGCACTGGCGGCCCATCGCTGGGTTAGTCTCACCGTTGACCACAATGCACAGAGAGTGGGTGAAGCTGCACGCTGTGAGGAGCTGAGCACTCACCAGGGTTCTGATGAGATAACTGCATGGGTCTCTGCTGCATCTGCCCGGGCGAGCCCGCCGTGTTCAGATTCATCTGGCTCAAGGTCTTGCGTGGGTCGTGCCAGGTTGTGATTCTGTCCACGTGGCTGTAAAAGTTCAGACAAATAGGTTAGTGTTCAGTCTGGAGTATCAAACATTCTTGTTGGTGGGTTTGTAGAGAGGTAAGCGACTGCTGCTCAAGCTATGATCAGTTCAAACTTTTTCTTTGCCATTCCGATACCTTTCTTACCACCCTGGCATGCCTTCTGGTAATGAGTCTTTCTTTCCTCTGTGCCACTTTCCTTCATGGTTTTAAATGTCTTTTTTCCCCCTCTCTTTATGAGTTGCTTGTTGTGGTACCAAGGTTAAGGACACTCCTGTCCAACCAGGCAGGGGTGTCCTTAACCTTGGTACCTTTGATTTGCATGGGTACACATTGGTCCATTGCATTCCAATATACAGTCAGTTCAAAAATATAAAGTCAGTTCACTTTTCAGTGCATTCTGTGAAGCGCTTTGAAACGTCTCAAAAACGTGATAAGGTGCTACATCAAATGCAAGGATTATTATTATTATATTCGGAATCACCTCCTTGAATGAGCTCCACAGTTCCTCTGCTCCCTTAGCCATGTTTAAACCTGTCAGACCTGTTCTACAAGACTTCTCAAGGGCATAAAATTGCTCTTCTTAAAATTTGGCAATTTTGTTTTTATAACCTCACTAATCCTTGTAATACTAAATGTGATAACAATATGATCACTGTTTCTTAATCCCTCACCGACCTTTGTGTTGGAGATTTGATCGTCCCTGTTACTCATAACCAAGTCCAAGATGTTATTTTCCCTTGTTGGAGAAACTGAGTCATAAAACAGTCTCCCTTTTAAGTCTAGAACCCACTTCCCTATCGTACCAGTAGACACATTTTTATCTCAATCAATTTCTGATGGACCAACTATTACTATTATTGTGGAAACCCTTGTTAGCATCCAGTTTGCTGGCATTTGTTGAAAAGAAACTGGTGTCAGATTAAAGCCGAATTGAAGAATGTTCTACAACTTTGTGCCATCAAATATGATAAAACGTGGTCCTGCAGGTAAGAGGAGGAGGAACTCTGGGTGTGAGTGTGAAGCCGGGATTTCAGGATGACTCACACGCCAGGGCTTCGAATCTTTTTTTCTAAACAATTACATTGTTGTGTTCGTCTCTTCCTCACGCCAAAACCGGGCAGCTCCCAACAAAGGAACAAAGCCAGCTCCCAGCTCTGCTCTGTACACACATAGGGTAGCAAGTCTCAGCCTGCCCTTGAGCCAGCTTCCACATCGCACATGAACATCAATGAGAGAGTAGGAGCTGCCAGGTTACACCCTCTTTCTTGCGATTGAAGCTCAGCCTGTCAGCACTGCCTGACCCATAGTTCCTCCGCACACTGGCTGCACCTTCAATCTCACTGTATTGTCTCCCAGTCAGGCTCCTTCCCGTCTTTGCCCGTTTGGGTGGAGATTAAAGCCATCTCAGGGGCAGTTTCTCGCGCTGTCCTAGCCGACAATCTTCAAATTGATCATTCACCTCACGTCTCTTTGCGAGATGTCAAGTGGCTCCTAAGCTTGTTGTCACAGCCATTCATTTCCTTTCCCCATGTGTGTCCACCTAAACACATCTCTCCTCCCAATATTTCCCCCAACATGTTCCTCCCCCCAACACACTCCCCATGTTAGGGAGGCGGCTGAGGGGGAAGCCTGCACACAGTCACTAGACTCATAGAAATGACAAATGGGGCTTCCAACTAGAAATCATACTCTGGAGCATTTATAAACAAGATGGAGTTTAAAGTAAGAGTGATGGACCAAAGGCCCCATATGGCTCCAATATAGTCCGGTGCCTCTCACAGCCAATAAATGGAGAGGTTCAGCCTGGATCTCGCCTCTGAGGCAGAAGGTTGTAGGTTCAAGCCCCACATCAGGACTTGGAATCACATCATCTAAGCTGACACTCCAATGCAGTACTGAAGGTGTGCAGCATCGTTGGAGGTGCTGTCCTTCAGATGAAATGTTAAACTGAGGTCCCATCTGTCTGTTCAGTTAAATGTTAAAGATCTCATGGCACTATTCGAAAAGAAAAGGGAATTTCTCTCTCCAGGTGTCCTGGCCAACAATCCTCCAACGAAAATTGGTCACTCACTTCATGGCTGTTTGTGGAACAATGCCCAAATGTGGACAAATTGGCTGCCACGTTCACCCACAAAAACACAGTCAGTGTACTTTACAGTACTTATAGTGAAGTTCTGTGAGACATGATAAAACAATATAAAAAAGCAAGTTCTTTCTCATACAATCTTTAGGGGCCGGCTGTCTGAGTGGCCAGACGTTGACAGGTTAAAGGGACACCGTACAGTATTGTTCTTAAACCAGTTAGAGCGGAGCCAGTACCCAGGCCCGGCTGGTGGTGTGAACGTGGTGAATTGTCAGCCTGGAGCACGCTGGAACACATCACTCTGGTTTCTTTATCAATGAGTGTTTGGCAACCAAAGGCGGGGCTGTTTAGTCAGCTCGTTCTATAAATAGAATTCAGATAAACCAAACCCTGAAACATAGGCCGGGAAACACACATACACACGAACGCAGATACACACGCAGACACATACACGCATAGACACACACACACACATACAGACATATACGCACATACATACACACACACGTAGACACGGGATACATACTTCGCAGTCTGTAAATTGGCTGACGTGTTTACTTCCAAACACCCCTAGGTACTGTAGCTTACAGTCACTACAGTTTACAGTCAACCCGCAAAGCTTTGAGACATTTGGTGTCAGTGGATAACATGGAACCTTATCTTACACAACCACTGCCACCGCCTTCAACCACTGCCACCAACCGCTGCCACTGCCACCAACCGCTGCCCTCAACCGCTGCCACTGCCCTCAACCACTGCCCGCAATCACTTTCTGAAGTTATTTAAGTATAAAAGTGAAATTATTCCACTGCTGGTTTATAATTAGCCAGAAGCCACGAGTAAAATCTCTTTATCCTGTTCGTCAATGTGAAAGATTTGACGGACGTTTATGTCTATTCTTAGCCGACTCTTAAAATATCGCGTGTTTCTCAGTGTCTGGCCCAGCCTGGCCGGCTCCTCACTGCCCTTCAACAGGTGGTGAGAGCCCGGGGCACAGCTGCTGCTGTGTCAGGCTCTAACTATAGCCACGCACACTCGGTCTACATTCCACATGGTTACACAGCCAAACCCAGCCGGCCCCCAGCCCCAATCCCCGGCCCAGCCCCAATCCCCAGCACCCAGGCAAACCTAGCCCAGCCCCAGCCCCAGCCCGAACCCTCAGGCCCTCCAAACCCAGACCAGCCCCCGCCCCAACCCAGCTCCAACGTCCAGCCAAACCTAGCACAGCCCTAACTGCCAGCCCAGCCCCAACTCTCTGGCACCAGCACTGCCCAGAGCTGTGTGTACAAAAGGCAAATCAATCCACGCAGGAGACCGGATCTCAGTTACAAACATTTTGCCTTAAAATTAACGGTGAAGAATGTTAAATTCAGGCTGAATTTACAAATCTACAATCGAATCTACAATGCAAAATCCATCTTAAACATTAAGACAAAATGGTCTCAGTCTAAGAATGGGTGGAATATCAGCTATTAGTGCGTCTGCGAGAGGGAGAGTGTGTGTGTGTGTGTGTGTGAGAGAGAGTGACAGAGAGGGGAGGGCAGAGAGAGAGAGAGACCGATAGAGAAATAGAGTGAGACAGAGAGAGAGACATGGGTAGACACACACACACACAAAGCAACAACAACAACAACATTACATTTGTATAGCGCTTTTCACGTCTTGAGGAGCCGAGACAGAGAATCACGAACAAAGAAATCATAAGTTTTTTGCTAGCTATCTTTTCCATTGTAAATGCAATGAAAAAAGTGCTATTTTTAGCAACCTGTGTATGATAGACTGGACGGAATGAGAGACAATGACAGAGAGAAACACAAAGAAACAGAGGGACAGAGAGATACAGAGACGCACACAAAAATAGAGAGAAAGACAATGAGACATATGTTCGTAGACAGAGAATCATAGACACACACAATGCGAGGGAGAGACACGCGCACAGAAAAGACAGAAAGGCAGAGCCAGGCAGACAGACAGAGAAAGGAAGACGGACAGATCGACAGACAGGCAGACAGAGCCAGGCAGCAGTGATCGAGGGTGTTAAGTCAGTGAGAGAGGAGTCAGTGCGAGGCTGTGACGGGTCCCTATGCTGTGTTGGCCGCTGAGGTCAGAGGGTACCATTTCTGGATGGGAATACTGATGGTAATAACAGAATAACATTGTGATGGGAACTGGGAGAGAACACAGTGTGACACCTGTCCCCCTCCCCCGTAACCTGACCCAAAATAACTAATCACAAAGGCAATCCTCTACATTATCTCTCACTCTCCTCTGCTTCTCGGGGAGACAGTACCGTGCCAACAAATACAGTCACAGCACGATCACAGATATTGTAACGTTTCAACAACAGATCGACATTTACACAGAACCGTTCACATCGGGTAGTTCTCTTTCTGAGTAGTTTGCATCAGCATCTAATTAGATTCATAGAATTATACAGCACAGGAGGCCATTTGGCCCATAGTGTCTTTGCTGGCTCTTTGGAAAGAGCTATCAAAATCAATCCCACTCCCCCGCTCTCTCCCCATAGCCCTGCAAACTTGTCCTCCCCAAATAATTATCTACTTCTCTCTTAAAAGTTGAAAAGGAATCGGCTTCCAATTAGGGTTCAGACTCTCATGTCTCCCAGGCCCACTCCCTGGTCACCTCTCAGCCTTATTGCCACAGGCGGCAGATTGTGTGTGGCTCGGGGTTGATTGGAAGCCAAAGCCTTCCCCGCACAGCCCCTTGACATTACTGCTCCTCAGATATGTATTTTATTCCATCTGAAAGGCGACTCTAATGACAATAATCGTTGCTATTGATACGGCACCTATCACCTCACAGGATATACGGTAAAGTGTCGTGACTGTCATTTTGTGGGCAAAACGGTGGCAGCAGTTTGTGCACAACAATATCCCACAAACAGCCATGGAGTGAGC